TGAAATTCGAACTCATCAGTATAATAATGGTTAAAACGTTTTTGTTTTTTTAAACTGAATACAAATTGTGACGTCTAGAGGGTCAACAATCTAAAAACATGATTTTCTTTAACAATCAGGGCCCATAATCCAGGAAGTTGCATCTGATATGCACAATCACCGAAAGGAACTAAGATCTTGCGGTTATAAAGATACATTTCCATCCAAGTCTCAAGTTTCATCACAACCAGATAAAAATTGTGACCGTCCACCAGCTAAAGTAAAATCGTGATTTTCAGTGCAATCAGTGGCCATAAACAATACAGAGGTCCGACACATGTCAATTTCAAAAGGAACTGAGATCTTTAGAAAATTTCGGATAATTGTGACCTGTCGAGTGCCCACAAACAAATTGTGTGAGTTGACATCCAATGAATGAATGAATGAATGAAATGGGGTTTAACATCCTACTCCTAAACTGGGCTAATGAAGATGGGCATATGCCATACAGTGTGCTATGGCCTACTCTTATATCGAATTCCAACTGCCAAGGGATCTTCTACGCGCACACCAATGTGTACACAGGACCTCGGTTTTCTATATCATCGGAAAGACTAGACAGCTGTCCTTGTCAGGCCCTCCGTCCTGCATCAATGACAAGGGGAAACCACGCCGGAAAATCTGGATGAACTTTCTCGGCCAATGCAGGGATCGAACACCCGACCTCCAGGCTAGCGAGCCAGCGTCTTACCCACAGGATCCCCCTGGACTGGCATCCAGACAAGGGGGGGGGGGAGTCAGGTGGACGACATGATATACCGGTACGGTCACATGAAAATGTGAGAAACTTCCAAAATGTGGGCATATAAAAAAACAGTAAGCTTATATTATCCAACATTGATATACATGTACATGTAAATTATTGTGATACGAGTTGAAATAATAGTGGATTTGGTTAAAAGTTGAACTTCACAAATTACTTGGAAATCAAATTTGGGGGGGCCATTAGACAATGGAATGAAATTTAACGTCCTACTGTTCTGCTCCAAACTGGGCTAATGAAGATGGGCATATGCCATATAGTGTGCTATGAGGGAAATTTTGCCCTGGCAGCGGCCTACTCTTATATCGAATTCTAACTGTCAAGGGATCTTTTACGTGCACGCCAATGTGTACAAAGGCCCTCGATTTTTCGTACCATCTGAATGACTAGACAGCTGTCCATGCCAGACCCTCCATCTTGCATCGCTGACAATCGGTAACCACATGAAAAATCTGGATGAACTTTCTCGGCCAATGCAGGGCTCGAACACCTGACCTCCAGGCCAGCGAGACAGCGTCTTACCCACTTAGCGCTATTAGACACCAAAACTGTTAAATAAATGTGGACCTATTTTTTTATTATTTCAAATCAAAAATGAAAATTTGGTATAAAGAACAGCAAATATTCATATAAAATACAGTTGGTAAATAAAATTGGTATTTTTTTGGTGAATAAGATTAATTAATAATTAATGTCAATTTATAACCCTAGAGAGAGAGAGAGAGAGAGAGAGAGAGAGAGAGAGGGGGTTAATATCCACTGACACAAACTAGGTCATTTCGGGAGTAACATTTCAATAATTCGCTTACGTTTCACAGTATCAACGATATAACGTCATAAAAAACGGGGTTAAAACATTAATCTAATGTTTTACTGCAACATTAGCTAATGATGTAAGATGTAAAGAATATGTAAAATAGAAATACAACGTTTTAGAAACTTTATTGGAAGGGTTAATTTGTCGTTTAATTTTAACGTTTTTAGATTAGGAAAACAGAACGTTTTAAAAACTGAAATCAATATAACGTCACAAACAAATATATTACTAACGTTCAAAGAATCACAAGTTAAAACGCTACAATAGTTACGTTAGAAGAACATAATTTACTGACGTTTACAGGTTGTCTGACGAGGGTTGGGAAATAACGTTGGTTCAGGTGGTTCAGTTGACGTTCTTGGAACAACTAATCTGAACGTTTCTTAAGTAAACATCACTAGAACGATATTAATTAAATTTTAGTAACGTCTCACAGTATCAGCATATAACGTCATAAAAAACGGAGTTGAAACATTAAGCTAATGTTTTAATGCAATGTTTGCCGATGAAACATTATAAAAACATTCAAAATAACGTTCGGTCATTGTTGAATGAAAGTAAAATTAAAACGTCAAAAGATAACATTCTGGCGATGTTTCTGGAACGTTTATAAAAAGTACAGTCTATCTCTGAACCCTTTTCGAACGTTTGGAGAACGTGCTTAAAAAAACATTCTGACCGCAACCATATTAGAACCAATTACGAATGTTACCAAAACGTTTTGTGTTTGCTGGGTACTGACCAGTGTGTATTCCTTTGAAGTCAGATCATATGTACTTTGTAAATGGCATATGGGATTAATTACATGTTTAACAAGAACGTGAATAAGCAGAAGTATATGGAGTTGAAAAGTCAATATCATATATTATAAAAAAACCCAGCTGGGGTCAATAAGTTCTAAGCACCTAAATGATCGTTCGATTTGATGAAAGTTATAGAGTATTTTGTCACATTATCTTGGAACTTAGCATAATTATTCCATTTGCCCCAAGGACGGCAACTATTGATTTTGGTAATGGTCCGTCCTCCTTTGGCGGTGCCTCACCCACTTTTTGTTAATATTTTGTCTATAAATAATCCACAGGTTGCAATTATTTATATATTTGGGCCCAATTCAGTATGATCAACCATAGGGTTGGACCTATTTATATTGTTCGACGTCCAACCCCCAGGGACAGAGCCAATTTTTGCGTTTTTTGTCTAAAGGTTGGAATTCTGAATCTGAATGGATCATCATGGAGAGAGAGAGAGAAATGGGGTTTAACGTCCACTCGACACAAACTAGGTCATTTCGGGACTAACATATGGTTTTTGATTTTATTTCAATAATTCGCTTGCGCGTAGTGGTCTTTAACAGTGGGAGGAAACCGGAGGACCCGGAGAAAACCCACAGGCGACCCTACTCCTTGTCACGTACAACCGGGGATTCGAAACCACGCCAGTCGACTCAATGGACAGACTTTATGATACAGCTAACCATTCAGCCATACCCCCCCCTCCCTCCGGATCATCATGGAACTTGCATATTTATTCCTTATACTGCGAGAATAGCAACTATTTATTTTGGTTCATGTGCGGCCCCCCCCAGGGGCGGTGTCACACCCACTTTATTTTAAAAAGTACCATATGAATCAAAGCATCAATTGTCTCAATTGTCCAGTACCATTGCTACGACAATAAACACCCTGCGCCACAACTCCAAACACCCATAACTTGACTCAGAATAAAGTAATTTAATGGAATTTCTATCTATTCGTTTTTATACGCCCACATAGAAATGTGGACGTATATTGCCGTAGCCCCCGTCCGCCCGTCTGTCGGTCGGTCCGTCCGGACGTCCGTCCGTCCGTCCGTCCATCGTCCACAATTTCTCGTGAACGCTCAAACGCCAAAAGTTATCATCCAGTTGTTTTAAAATTGATATATGTTGTTTGCATTAGTGCGATGAAAAAGCCTATTTAATTTCAATAATTTTCGTTTATAACGTCTAGAGTTATGGCCCTTGTTCACTTTGTTGAACCTTGTGAACGCTCTAACGCCAAAAGTTATCATCCTATCTTTCTGAAATTTATATGCATTATTTGAATTAGTGAAACAAAGAAGCCTATTGAATTTCAGCAATTTCCGTTTATTACGTCTAGATTTATGGCCCTTGTTTCACTTTATTGAACCTTGTGAACGCTCTAACATCAAAAGTCATCTGCCGATCTGTATGAAATTTGCATGCGTCATTTAAATTAGTAAAGAGAAGAATCCTATTGAATTTCAGCAATTTCCGTTTATTACTTCTAGAGTTATGACCTTTGTTTCAATAATATCTAGAGTTATGGCGGTTGTGAACCTTTTGAATGTTTGAATGACAAAAGTGATCATCTGATCTGTATGAAATTTAGATGCATTATTTAAATTAGTAAAACGAAAAAGCCTGTCAAATTTCAACAATTTCTGTAGATTACTTCCAGAGTTGAGACCTTTGTTTCAGTTTGTAGAACCTTGTGAACCCTCAAATGGCAAAAATTATAATCTGATCTGTATGGAACTGTCTTGTAAAGACCCCCAATTACCTATAACAAAGGAATAAATATGCGACAACCCTTGTCCACCGATCGGACGATTTAGCTGTTGTGGGCGAATGTTTCGTTGCCTGGCAATCTATCTTTAATTATCTGTTATTGAGCTATGAAAGCAAGAACAGCCAGTTCTTTATCTAAATCTTATAGAACGTATCTTTAAGTAGAACACCCGAGACCAGTTCTCATTTGTGGATTTCACGTAGATTAAAGGCACAATACTCCAGACCAAAAGTCATATATGCTCTGGCTTACTAACCACGTGGTCGGGATTCGATCACGATGTTCATCACGATTTTCCACTGTGGTTTCCTCTTATCTGTGGGAAGGACGGAGGGTCTGGCATGAAAAGCGTCTAGTCCAGTGTATATGTTGGTGTGCACGTAATAATAATAATTATAATATAAAACTTTATTTGAGATGGTTAAATGATTAGGCTGCAGAATCATTTCTTCCATCTCTGCCCTTCATAAAAAGTATAATACAAAGATGACAGCACAACAAATAAAAAGAGAAGGATGCACAATAGGTATAAAATAAACATGATGGAATTATAATACAAAAGATGACTGCACCAAAACAGAGAGATATACATAAAACATACTACTTACAAAAACGTGAAACAAGGACAAATTACCTTTAGATTATTTATATACATGTATATGGATATAGCTTGTACCAGTGTCATTCTTTATTTTGCACTTAATTATTTTATAGTAACAGCCGTTAGTTCAAAATGAGATATGATTTTTTTTTTTAAATTTTGAGATAAATCTGGCTTTTAAATTACAAGAATTACCTTTCATTTCAGTTTTTATTATGTCGTTATAACACCCAAGATATTTCGCACAGATACGGATAACGTTGTAACTATATCAGCTTCAGATGTGACGAAATCACAAACAGTACATTTAATACTGAGTTATGGCGAGAAACCGGAGCAAAAACAAGAACAGAAAATAAAGATAGAAAAAGGTAAAGTTCAGACATATCGACGATCGGTTGACTGCTGAATACCAAATACTAAAAGATCAAAAGCCGCCCAAGAGTGCTTGCAGCCTGCATTGGGATGTTTTATAAAGTGCTGTGCTGAATGGTGTAAACAGGAGAAATGGCTGGCTGAAAAAACCCTAACCCATCACCTACCTAGAGTGCCCCGTATTTTTTAAAAGTGGCATAGCCTTACCGATGACTCAGCTACAGTGCCTAACAAGTCTAATGTGGGACCTATTGTGATCCATGACCAACCTAGAGTGTCCCACAATACTTATGCATGGCCTAGCTTGACCCATTACGGAACTAGAGTTTTTACTATTTTGATGCGCAGCCTATCCTAAACCAAGATCTACCTAAAAAATGTTATGTTTGGCCTAGGGTTTTTTAGGTAATTAGTGTAATGTTTTCGATATTTATTGGTTTTTCGGTATTTAGTGGTTTTCGGGTATTTTCGGAGCGTTTTTGGTATTTTCCAGATTCGGTTCGGATTTTTGCGGTATAAAGTACATCCGAAAAAAGGGTGGAAATATTATGCAGTTCTTCCAATCTAAAAGATTCAATATAACTTAATAATAAGCTTGAAAACATGAAAACTTCAGCTTCAAGATTCTGTATCATACTTAGAAATAATAACTTTCGTGTTTCAGATGGGGTTCAGAACACAACGTTTCGCATTAATTCGTCGGATTTGCCCCCCACAGAATCCATAGTGTCTTTTGAAGTTCGTGATGATATGGATGGACCTAAACAGGACCATTCCATCCCTGTTGACAGAACTAGCGGCCATATTATGATACAGACAGATAAGCCAATTTATAAACCTAGAGAAACCGGTTAGTGTGTTTTTACAATTTGTGAATTATTTAAACAGGCATTATTAGAGCGACTTGGCGTCTATGGGTGTCTTAACTTCTGTAAGCTTATTTTAGTACCCCAGACCAAGTACCTTATGTATAACTCATTTGAATCTGTAACCATCTTTATACGCCCACATTGAAATGTGATCGTATATTGTCGTCGCCCACGTCCGTCCGTCGGTCCGTCCGTCCGTCCGTCCGCCCGTCGGTGCTTGTGGACGCTCCAGAGGCAAAAGTTAATATCCGATTGACTTTAAATTTATATACAGGATTTAAAGCCATGAGACGAAGAAGCCTATACATTTTCAGTTATGGCCCTTGATCACTTCAAAGAATCTTGTGGACGCCCTAGAGGCCAAAGTTAATATCCGATTGATTTTAAATTTATACACAGTGTTTAAGGTCATGAGATGAAGAAGTCTGTTGATTTTCAGCGATTTCCGATAATTACTGCCAGAGTTATGGCCCTTGATCATTTCAAAAAATCTTGTGGATGCTCTAGAGGCTAAAGTTAATATCAGATTGACTTTACTTTTATACACAGTGTTTAAGGTCATGAGACGAAGAAGTCTATTCATTTTCAGTGATTTTCGATAATTACTGCCAGAGTTATGGCCCTTGATCACTTCAAAAAATCTTGTGGACGCTCTAGAGGCCAAAGTTAATATCCGATTGACTTTATATTTATACACAGTGCTTAAGGTCATAAGACGAAGAAGCCTATTGATTTTCAGCAATTACTGAAAATAATTACTGCCAGAGTTATGGCCCTTGATCACTTTGAAAAAAATCTTGTGGATGCTCTAGAGGCTAAAATTAATATCCAATTGACTTTAAATTTATACACAGTGTTTAAGGTCATGAGACGAAGAAGTCTATTCATTTTTCAGTGATTTTCGATAATTACTGCCAGAGTTATGGCCCTTGATCACCTCAAAAAATCTTGTGGATGCTCTAGAGGCTAAAGTTAATATCTGATTGACTTTAAATTTATACACAGTGTTTGAGGTCAAGAGACGAAGAATCCTTTTGATTTTCAAAGATTTCCGATAATTACTGCCAAAGTTATGGCCCTTGATCACTTTGAAAAATCTTGTGACGCTCTAGAGGCTAAAGTTATCGTCCGATTGACTTCAGATTGATACACAGAGTTTAAGATCTTGATACGAACAAGATACGAAGAAGTCTATTCATTTTCGGCAATTTTTAATAATTACTGCCAGAGTTATTGCCCTTGATCCCTTTGAAAAATCTTGTGGATGCTCTAGAGGCTAAAATTAATATCCAATTGACTTTAAATTTATACACAATGTTTAAGGTCTTGATCCGAACAAGTAAATTTTTATGACTTGAACAGCTAAATCCATGATATTAAAAGTTTTGTATACTAAGCGTTAGCATGGGGCAGAACTTTATAAAAACCAAACAAATTCTAATGGTTTTCTGATAATTACTTCATGAGTTGTTACTCTTAATCAGATTTTAGTGTATTAAAAATCTTTCATTACCGAAAAAAGCAAAAATATGCAACAACACTTGTTGACTTCCCGAACGATTTAGCTGCTGTGGGTGTATGTTTCGTTGCCTGGCAATCTATCTTTGTAAGTTTTCATGCCACTATAGTATTTTGACATTTGACGTCTACTCTATGTCACAAATTATGCGAAAAGGATTGTTATTATTTTGGATATATTCCAAGGTCACAATTACAATTTAAATCCCAAGCAGACGTATAAATTAGTATTTGATTGTTTTGCAGTAAAATATCGTATTTTGGCTGTTAATGAGGATCAAAGTCCAACAACAAGATCTGTAAGAGTTGACATTACAGTAAGTATGTTAATAATAACAAGTACAGGCATGGACCAGGAACCGAGTGGGGCGTCATCACAACTATCTTAGAATAGTGACGTCATATTACAAATCGAAATCCTGTAATTGATGCACAGTAAGTCAAATGAACAAGTACGCTAGGGGACCAGTTCCTGGTCAAAAAATAAATTGACCCCATCGACAAAATTTTATTCTGACGAAATACGCGATCTGGAGCAGGTATATCAAGAATGATGACAGTCGTAGAGCTATTTTGTGGGTTGCACCCGGGGCGGATCCAGGAATTTTTGCAGGAGGGGGTTTACCAGGTTCCTGAGACAATGTACCTCCCCTCCTCCCGCATGGTCTCTATCGTCATTTTGGCGTATATACATACACATTGAGCTTTTTAAACAGAGAAATTCAACACCTGATTTGACGTCAATATTTATTATGAATTAATACAATGACATTGTGATTCAATTTCATGGATGCAAAGCATTAATTGTGATATCACAAAATGTCTATATTATTATTTCGTGCTTTTAGTGCCCATCCTGTCCCACAACTGACGATAAAGGATAAAGCACACAAGCACACGGCCGAGATACTTTTCTCATAAAAAGTGTTGATTTACAAAAAAAAATTATGTAGCTGAGCAGGGGGGGGGGGGGGGGGTTCGACCCCCAAAACCCCCTTCTGGATCCGCCCCTGTGCACGGGCGGTCGCGTGTTTCCAGAATGCTCAAAACTTGGTATTGGTGTCGACTGGTATTAAAGGGGAAAGGCCCTCGAAAACTGTTTTGGAGAAAGAATATTTGGGTTCATTTGTGGCGAAACGGGAGATTGCCAGTCCAAAATTGGAGTAGTAGGCAAATGGCTCAATATGACCCATCTTAAATACGCCACGGTTCTGATCATGATTTTCATCATTTTTTCAGAGCCCTAATGGTATCATACTAGACAGAATGACATATCCTGGTGAAGAAGCTTTCAATGGTAAAACTTTCTTTCTTCCAAAAGAAGCTCAACTAGGAGTGTGGAATATATCAGCATCTTTTGTTGGAGACGTGAGTTATTTTTTCTAATCATTCCGTGAAACAAACCAGGAAATGGTAAGTTAATATAATTAATGAAGTGTATGGTAAAATTTCGAGCATGGAATTGGTATTCTACTAATTCAAGTCTCTGAATGTTACTTGAGGGATGTGGAATCCCTTGCAAACATCAATATTGCGAAAGTTCAATTTCTAAAAAATATATCAGTCCAAAAATGGCAAATTTCGTTCAGAGGCATTAACTATGTGTAACAGTGCTAAGAGAAACTGTTCGGATGTTTTTCAGGAGGGAGTTCAACAGACCGTAGAGTTTGAGGTTAAAGAATATGGTATGTAAAGTTTCCTACCGGTATTTGATTTTTATGTACACCTCAAATTCAAACCTGATTATATATTTATGTCTCCCATATCATCAGTGATTCGTTCACAATTCTACATATTCTCGATCACGTGCATCAGCTTATTAACCCTTGCTACATCAGAATTCGATTATGAACGATTGTTTTAAATTAACCGAGGCCAATATATTAAACAACTTTAGCTGGAGAAGACAATATTATGAAATGGGAGACAAATGAAATGTTCTTTCTTTGGTGGGAGAAAGAATAATATTGATGTTTACTTTTTATCTTTTAAAAAGAAAAATTCGCCAGGTCTAATGCCAAGTGACATTTTCCGGACTTCCTTTTATTGTATCACGTGATCTTCTTATTGTCCACGGGATCTCTTGAAATTTGCCTATATTGTCCACGCGATCTTCTTGAGATTTGTGTATATTGTCCACGCGTTCTTCTTGAAATTTGTGTATATTGTCCACGGGTTCTTCTTGAAATTTGCATATATTGTCTTCGCGTTCTTCTTGAAATTCGCGTAGAGTAATATTGAAATGAATATTATTAATATATATAATGATAATACCACATCTTGACATACATGCGCATTTCTTTATTTTCCCCACATATTGTTTCGTACCCCTGTGTTATGTTTTTTATAAATAGATATTTGGTTGTACAGTTTAGTAGAGTGATTATAACAACTGTGTTATGTGTTATAACACAGCAATTAAAGTATCCATTAAATTATCCATGAAATTTTTATACGCCCACATTTTCATGTGGACGTATATTGTCGTCGCCCCTGTCCGTCCGGACGTCCGTCCGTCCGTCCACAATTTGTTTGTGGACTCTCTACAGGTCACAATTCTTGTCCGATTTTGGCGAAACTTGAAATATAGCTTTATCCCAAAAAAATCTCGGCTGCTTTCTATATTGGCATGTATCGGATCAAAACTTCATGGATTATGGCCCCTGTTTGTACGAAAAATCACGTTTTTAGCTTGTGGACCCTATAGAGGTCACAATTTTTATCCGATTTTGTTGAAACTTGAAACGTAAGTTTATAACCCAAAGATCTCAGTTCCTTTCGATATTCGCGCATATCGGACTGTAACTTCCTGAATTATGGCCCCTGTTTGTACGAAAAATCGCGTTTTTAGCTTGTGGACCCTATAGAAGTCATAATTTTTATCTGATTTAAAAAAACGTCTTATTATATCACCGTTACACCCTAAGGACGACTGAGTTCGAATTTCGTGAAAATCGGCCCAAAATTGACAGACAAAATGGCCGCCGTACGTTCTCAAATAGCGTAAAAAATATGGTATATCAAGGTTGTGGACCCTATAGAGGTCACAATTTTTATCCGATTTTGTTGAAACTTGAAATGTAAGTTTATAACCCAAAGATCTCGGTTCCTTTCGATATTCGCGCATATCGGACTGTAACTTCCTGAATTATGGTCCCTGATTGTATGAAAAATTGCGTTTTTAGCTTGTGGACCCGATAGAGATCATAATTTTTATCCGATTTAAAAAAACGTATTATTATATCACCGTTACACCCTAAGGACGACTGAGTTCGAATTTCGTGAAAATCGGCCTAAAAATTGACAGACAAAATGGCCGCCGTTCGTTCTCAAATAGCGTAACAATATGGTATATCAAGGTTGTGGACCCTAAAGAGGTCACAATTTTTATCCGATTTTGTTGAAACTTGAAATGTAAGTTTATAACCCAAAGATCTTGGATCCTTTCGATATTCGCGCATATCGGCCCGTAACTTCCTGAATTATGGCCCCTGATTGTACGAAAAATCACGTTTTTAGCTTGTGGACCCTATAGAGGTCATAATTTTTATCCGATATAAAAAAAACGTATTATTATATCACCGTTACATCCTAGGGTCGACTGAGTTCGAATTTTGTGAAAATCGGCCCAAAATTGACAGACAAAATGGCTGCCGTTCGTTCTCAAATAGCGTAAGAATATGGTATATCAAGGATGTGGATCGTATAGAGGTCACAATTTTTGTCCGATTTTAATGAAACTTGAAATGTAAGTTTATAACCCAAAGATCTCGGTTCCTTTCGATATTCGCGCATATCGTACCGTAACGTCCTGAATTATGGCCCCTGATTGTACGAAAAATCGCGTTTTTAGCTTGTGGACCCTATAGAGGTCATAATTTTTATCCGATTTAAAAAAAACGTTTTATTATATCACCGTTACACCCTAAAAACAGCTGAGGTCGAATTTCATGAAAATCGTCCCAAAATTGACAGACAAAATGCCCGCCGTTCGTTCTCAAATAGCGTAAAAATATGGTATATCAAGGTTGTGGACCCTATAGAGGTCACAATTTTTATCTGATTTGTTGAAACTTGAAATGTAATTTTATAACCCAAAGATCTCGGTTCCTTTCGATATTCGCGCATATCGGACCTTAACTTCCTGAATTATGGTCCCTGATTGTACGAAAAATCGCGTTTTTAGCTTGTGGGCTCTATATAGGTCATAATTTTTATCAGATTTAAAAAATCGTATTATTATGTCACCGTTACACCCTAAGGACGACGGAGTTCGTATTTCGTGAAAATTGGCCCAAAATTGACAGACAAAATGGCCGCTGTTCGTTCTCAAAAAGCGTAAAAATATGGTATATCAAGGTTGTGGACCCTATAGAGGTCACAATTTTGATCCAATTTTGATGAAACTTGAAATACATATTTATAACCCAAAGATCTTGGTTCGCACATATTGGATCATAACTTCCTGAATTATGGCCCTTGATTGTACGAAAAAATCACTTCTTTTTTTGAGCTTGTTCTCTGTCCATCTCTTGCAAAATGTGGGCGTATCTTGCAGGGCAACCGCTTGTATTATTTTCCTACAGCCCCTTCACACATACCGATGACCTTGCTGGGCGCTTACTACACGCAAAGCTTGATAGGGTCGCGTTGAAGTGCATGAATAGGGGAAAACCAATTAAATTAATTATGGCGGCAATCGTTTATAAACAACTTGACGACGTAGATACTGCTGAGTACAACTTTCTTGCCATTTCAAACCTAGATACTTTTTATACGCCCACATTTTTATGTGGACGTATATTGTCGTCGCCCCTGTCCGTCAATCCACAATTTGTTTGTGGATAGTCTACAGGTCACACTTTTTATCTGATTTTGACGAAACTTCAAATATAGGTTTATCTCCCAAAGATCTCGGTTCCTGTCGATATTGGCATAACATCATGGATTATAGTCCCTGATTGTACGAAACATCAGGTTTTTAGCGTGTGGACACTCCAGACGTCACAATTTGTATCCGATTTTGATGAAACCTGAAATGTATGCTTATGAACCAACGATCCCAGTTCCTGTCGATATTCGCGCAAATCGGACCGGAACTTTCTGGATTATGGATCGCGATTGTACGAAAAATCGCATTTTTAGCTAGTGGTCCCTTTAGAGGTCACAATTTTTAACCAAGTTTAGAAACTGTTTCAATATATCACCGTTGCACCGTAATGAAGGTGGAATTCGAATTTCGGGAAAATCAAAATGAAACTGAGCGTGTTTCAGACGATTACTTACTGGATTATGGCCCCTGATTGTACGAAAAATCATGTTTTATTTTTAGTTTGTTCTCTATCAATCTCTTGCAAAATGTGGGCGTATCTTGCCTGGCAACCGCTGGTTCAAATTATTTTTCCTCGTTATTTTCAGTTTTACCCACATTTAATGTTGAGATTAAACCAGAGATGACGATTATGAAGAAATCGCTTCGTTATATAAACATTAACGTTGAAGCAAAGTAAGATATTAAAGAAACTTCTATTTTTCTTAGTAACTTATATTTTAAGAGAATTTATATTAAAGCTGATGATCATGATTAACATTTCTTGGACAATGTCTGATTTTCATGGTTTAAACCCCCTTAAAGCTGAACTCCGATTACAAAGCTACAGAAATAATTAAATAAAAAAAGGTAACACCCTAAACGACCGCCATAACTGTTTTAAATTTGAAAAAGAAACATGACGATCGCTCAGGGGTAACAAAAACACAGGCAGGTCACGTCCACATCCAGTGTATCCCGTGTCTAGCAAACTGTCCACATCCGGTTAGCCATTCAACTACCAATTACCTCCTGACTGATAAAAATATTATTGCTATACAATTATTATGTCTGATCAGGTACATATTTTTTTACTGATTAAATGAAATAAGCCAACCACGATGTACTTTTCCTCTTAAAAAAAATACGAGAAAAACTGTCAGTTACTTCTAAATTTATGGCCCTTGTTTTACTTTGTTGAACTTGTGAACGTTCGAATGACAAAAGTTATAACCCGATCTGTATAAAATTTATATACTTTTTTTGTATTAGTAAAACGAAACAGCCTTGTTTCTGTGGCAATGCCCAATACGGCATGGATAAATACAAATGGGAGAAAGGTCTTAAGGAAGACACCAGAAAGTAATTACACTTGTTTACTTGGCAGACACGTGCTTTATTAAATCCTTAGAGTTACATCCCTTAGATGGGGCTCTTTATAGGTTACATCTGCATACTGAGGCCCTTGAAGGGTGGACGGCTAGCTGATACTACATCCCCCATGGTTAAGATTTACAACATAATTAAATATATGTATCTGCTGAACATAAACAATTTGTTTGTCTATAGTCACTCAAAATAAGCTTAAAGATCAAGTCTATTTGGTTTTAAAGAAAGTCTTCCAGATCTGCAAATGTATCCACTTGGCTGGCTCTGGAACTATTGAAGTTTCAGTTTGACCTGACTGGGGTACTGGAACAATATGATGTCTATTCCGACAAAGAGTTTTCTTATCTTGTGTTTTGATATAGTAACTTCTTGGAGTCCCTGCAGATTGGACTATAGTGCCATCTCGTACACCATTACTGTCATCTCGAATGAGTACCTTATCTCCTGCTGTCAGAGGTGAGAGTTCACGAGCTCGATGACGAGAGTAAAAATTTAGCTTCTGACGTATGCGAGATTTTTCTGTGGATTGATTCACATAACTGGATGGAGGTAATTTGGACTGAAGTTTATATGGATGAACTGGTAGAGTAGTTCTCAAGTTCCTCCCCATCAATAACTGAGCAGGACTGTACCCATTTTCGAGCGGTGTAGCTCTATATGACAGTAACGATTAGTAAGGATTTGATGATTTTATCAGCATCTGCTTGATTGTCTTTACAGCACGTTCCGCTTCCCCGTTGCTCTGAGGGAATCTGGGACTGCTAGTGATGTGGGTGAAACAATAATCTTCTGAAAATGTCTGGAAAAGGTAAGAGGAGTATTGTGGGCCATTGTCGGAAATGACAATATCTGGAATCCCGTGTCTTGCGAAAATTGATTTGAGATGATTGATCACACTCGAAGATGTTGCACTGGTGAGTTTAGCAATTTCAATATACTTGGAATAGTAATCCATGACTATCAAATACTGGTTTGATTGGAATTCAAAAAGGTCTGTGCCAACATTTGACCACGGTCGAATAGGGTTGTCCGGAAAAAGTAAAAGTTCTGTGGAGTTTGGTCTGTAACGTGAACATTTCCTACAGTTGAGCACAGCATGTTCTATTTGTGAACTAATACCGGGCCACCAAACAGATTCCTTTGCCCTGGCTCTGCATTTGGTAATCCCCTGATGGGAATTGTGTAGTAGCTCTAGCATTTCCAATTGCATGGATGCTGGAATTACCAGTCATTGACCCATTAGTAACAAATCATCTAGTACAGAGAGTTCGGCTTGGTAAGGCCAGTATCCTCGTAGATTAGTAGGTAATGACTTGTATATGAGCAATAAGACATAACTGTTTTGGTCAATGGATCTTCTTGAAGCTTTTGTCGAATCTCATCTAGTCGACGATCAGTGGCAGGTAAGGTTGCAAGTACGGAGTGAACATAAATGTTGGTATCATTCAAAAGATGCTTCTCATTAGTTGTTAGGCTGTGATCAACTGGTGATCTTGATAACGCATCAGCTGAAAGGAGATCCTTTCCAGGAACATGAGATATAGAAAATAAATATGTCATTAAACGCATGCGGAAACGTTGTATTCTTGGTGGGAGTTGATCAAGTGGCTTGCTTCCAAGTAACGGCAAAAGTGGTTTGTGGTCCGTTTGAACGTGGAACTGTTCCCCAAGGAGTAAATCACGAAACCTCTCACATGCCCAAGTAATGGCTAGCGTTTCTTTTTCTATTTGCGCATAGCGACGTTCACTTTCTGACATGGACCTCGGACAATAGGCTATTGGTTTGAATTGTCCCTTGGGGTCCTTCTGAAGCAATACCGCACCTAATCCAAACGATGAGGCATCTGCTGAGACAACGGTCTCTGCCCGCGGATCATAATGTCCAAGAACAGGAGCAGAACATAACTGATTCTTAAAGATACATTATGGGAGATTTTTATAGAGAGTTGGCCATTCTTGCTATAACAGTTCAAAAGTAGATGATGAAAAAAGAATATATTGAAAATTTCAGTCAAATTACTTTATTCTGAACATAGTTATCATCGTTGTAATATTTGACTAGAAATGGTAGCGAAATGCGTCTTCACCTTGACTGATCGTTTGATTGACAGGCGTTAACTCCACCTACATATCTCGATTATCAAGTAAAGTTTTCATTGGCATACGGAAACGCTCTACAGCGGCCTCGCTAAGTACACTCTATCAATTAGCCTCGATCTAACTGATAAATCCATGTCCTATCTTTAAGAAGAAGTTCTCTTTCTCTCAATGGCTGTGTCTTCTCGGCTAAATTGGGAACAAACTTTGCAAGTTGGTTTACCATACCCAGGAACCTGCGGACTTCAGAAATATTTTTCGGAGGCAGCATACTTGTAATGGCGGTAATCTTTTTGGGATCTGGATTAAGTCCAGAACTGTCAATTACATGACCAAGGAATGTTATCGTCTTTTGGGCAAACTGGCACTTCTCTGAGTTCAAGGTAACACCAGCATTCTGCAGTCTCTGTAAGACAGCAGCCACTTTTCTGTCGTGGTCAGCAGTGTCCGTGCCATATATAAGAATATCGTCCATCTGACAGACAACGCCATCTAAGCCATCCAATATCCTTTGCATTCGCTTCTGGAAGTGTTCCGGTGCTGAAGATATACCAAATGGTAGGCGGTTAAAACAGTAGCGCCCAAATGGTGTAATAAAGCAGGTCAATAATGCAGACTCATGTGAGAGTGGTATTTGGTGAAACCCACTGTTGGCATCAAGTTTGTTGAAAATCCTCGCACCACTTAATTGACTTAGGGTATGGTCTACAGCTGGCTAAGGGTGGTTCTCACGAAGAACATTCTCATTTAAATTCGTAAGGTCGACACAAATTCTAACCCGATCATTGGATTTTTGAACTACTGCCATACCAGCACACCATGTAGTTGGGACATCTACCTTTGATATAACCCCATTTTCTTCCATGGACTTCAGTTCTTGCTTGACAAGATTCATCAAAGGTTGCGGAACGCGTCTAGGTGTAGATAAGGCATAAGGTTGAGCACTGGGTTTCAGCTTGATTGTATAATCGCCTTCCATTTTACCAAGACATCTGAACAATTTTGGATAATGATCTAACCATTTGTCAGCTATATCATCAATTCGCTGAATAAGGCTAAGTGCTTCTATTGCCGGTCGGCCTAAAAGGGCCCTGGTTATCCCCTTAACTACATAGATATCTTGAACAGTTGATTTGTCACCTTTCATTGTCTTCATATTAGCACTAAATTTGCCAACTACAGACAGGACAGAGTTACCAGGCACAATTGACGTTTTATCATTATTTCGGAGCTTGGGGAAATTGTTAGCGTTGTATACTTCCAGTGGAATAACTGTAACATCGGCTCCCGAGTCAATTTTGAATCTTCGATGACTCTAGAATTAACCTGTAGGCTAATTTTCCAAGGCTGGGCACCGCTATTATGACCAATGCTCCCCAGAAATGCGTAAGTCTGATGTTCACTTGACTGAATTTCTGACAAATTTTTGGGACTTGGATAACTGCGACAAACATTATTCCAGTGTCCTAGTTTTCCACACTTTCTACATTTGAAATGTGTTGCAGGGCATTGACTTCTAGGATGTGAGGTTTGACCACAGTACATACATGGATTTTGATTCTCAGGCTGAGGTTTCTTTTTCATCTTCTTGAAAGGCTTGTGAGTTTTAAATTTTGGTGCATGAAGCTCCTCAACTTTGTTTGGGGGTCGATCATTTGAAGACGAATTGCCGTGAATAACAGGCTGTTGTTTGTGTATGATTTCATCTTGCCTAGTCCGATCTACAGCTTTCTTGAGAGTCAGTTTTTCTGAAAGATTCTATCACGAATCATTTCATCGTGTAAAGCACCATAATTACAGTTTTCAGCAAGCGAGTACAGGTCAGTAATAAAGCTGTCAACAGGCTCTCCTTGACGTTGACAACGCTGATTGAATTTTGCACGCTCGAATATGACATTCCATCTGACGGCAAAATACGAGTCAAAGTTTTTCTTTACTATGTCGTAATCCTTCTCCTCCCTTTGGTTAAGAGAAAATGTTGGCAGAATATCATCGGCTTCTGTGCCCATAAGATAGATCAGTTGATTTACTTGCGTTTCGCCTTCTTTGTTGTTCAGCTTGGATGTGATACGGAAGCGCTCGAATCTGCGAATCCATCTAGGCCATCCTTTCGGGTTTGAGAAATCAAATGGGTCTGGTGGTGTGATTTGAAAGTTTGCCATTGAAAAGTAAAGCAAATTACCTACACCGCGCTTCTGACACCATGTGGCAATGCCCAATACGGCATGGATAAATACAAATGGGAGAAAGGTCTTAAGGAAGACACCAAGAAGTAATTAGAGTTACATCCCTTAGATGGGTCTCTTTATAGGTTACATCTGAATACTGAGGCACTTGAAGGGTGGACGGTTAGCTGATACTACAGTTTCAGTTTGTAGAACCTTGTGAACCCTCATACGACGAAAATTGTAATGAGATCTGTATGAAATTGTCTTGTAAATAAATTCCCCCACTTATTTACAACAGAAATTTTTTTTAGCTGCTGTGGGCGTATGTTTCGTTGCCTGGCAAACTATCTTTATTATTATTATTATTATTATTATTAAGGAATGTTTTTGACCGACATTGCTTTTAAAGATTTAACTTCGGGTCAGTTTGGACGGTATGAAGTGTTGAATTTTGAAAGGGTCATTTAATTTCGTTGATTTCGATCAATAAAGATTATTTTTTTCTCCAGATATTCTTATGGTAAAGTAGTAGAGGGACATTGTGATCTTCGAATGGGTGTAGTTAATGATGAACATGTAGCATTGTTTAAACTACCCGAAAAAAAACAGGTCAGACTCTAATTTCCAACCAGACAATTCCATTTCAATTAAGCTTTAGATTTTCGTTTTTAAACAATTAACTGTGTATTTCATAGATATGGTTTGACAATGCTAAGTAAGAAATCTCTTCTTGTGAAGATATGTTCTAAGTCACATTCATTTCTTGTTGCATATTATTACTGTATATATAGTTCTTTAAGAGAATGATTATTATTGACTGCTCGGACGACTTAGTTTTGTTGCCCGGCAACCTATCTTTAAATAATTAACCGTGTATTCCAGAGAAATCTTTTACATCGTGTGATTTCATAGATATAGTTTGATAATGCTAAGTAAGAAATTTCTGTTTGTGAAGATATGTTTTAGGTCACTCTGATTATTACAGTATTGCAGGAGGGGGGGAGGATCTCCATATTGACTGACAACCAACGAACATTGGAAAGAATAGGACGCTGTAAATGCTATTTTCGCCCAAATTAAACCTAGAGACACCCCACCTTCTGGATTCACTCCCGCTGTATTATGTTTCTGTATATTGCAGACGAACAGATTGTCAAGGGAAGGAATGGCTAGATTCATGATTCCGACACAAGATCTAGCAAGGAGTTCCTTATGGTTTCCAGAAGACGGAAAACATCTTTATATTGAAGCTAGTGTTACAGAAAAATCAACTGGGATGAAAGTCTCTCAAACTAACACATCTATTGTTTTTGTGACAAATTATTACAACATTGAATTCACGTCTTCTAAAGATACTTTTAAACCCGGAATGCCGTATCGGTTAGAGGTAAACACGTTTGTTAATTTTATTTGTGAATAATAAGTTTGATACGTTGATTTTCCTTTGTTTTTCTGATTTTTTATTATTTATTTATACATTTGTGACTGTCCTTTATTTGTTTGTCGGTGTTGGCAGTTACATTATTGCTGACCTGAACTTGAAATTTGGGGTATAAGAGAAACTGGAGCAGGGGAGTTAAATAGGCCTGGTGACGTTGTACTATAAATTCCGGGTTTGGTGTAATGTTGCTTCCGGGTTTCACGAAACTCCTGTATGGAAACCTTGCAGGGCCTTACCCGTGCAACGCTAAGTAAACAATGAATGAATGAAATATGGTCAATCTGATTAAAATACAGATCTATATTTCGTTTCGTTTTTTATACTTTCGATGGCCTACACTACATAAGGATCTAACCGGGTGTAGTGGAAGGTCGCGTCAGAGGTAATATGAGCGGCTTTTGACCTTATAACGTCAGAATTTGATTAACCAATCAGCATTGATGTTTCGAGTGTGTTACCCACAGTTCCGTGCACCTCCCGCTAAAACAGACTGTTTCATTGGCTGATGCCTCACGGGTTATATAACAACTTTTCCGGATCCTAATGTAGTAAAGACAAGTAAAACGAAATTTTGAACTATAAAAAACGAAACGAAATAGGATCTGTGTTTTATTCAAATTGAAATATGGTTTAATGGCCCGCCAGCGCCAACCCGGCTATATTGCGCCAAATAGTAATTTGCAATATAGACCTGGTTGTGCAAACAACGGTAAAAATGCACTCTATCAAGATATGCTTAACAGTCACTAGGTGAACAGTTTGTAATACATAAAAATACATGTATATCATAGTAAATTCTACCTTAATATGATAACAAATATAGGAACTATATCTGACATACAGTATAGAAATGTCATGGTAATAAATTTAGTGAAGCGGCTAACTGATAAAGGTCTACATATGTCATCAGATTCGTATATATAACTTCACCTCTGGCGTTTGAACAAGACGTTCCAAATATTTTTAGAGTTATTGCCATAGAAAACATCAACTCATCTCCCCAGTATTGCAATCCTTACATTGGTTCCTTACATTAAGTTCAAGCTACTTCTCTTTGCCTTCAAAGCATTAAACGGGGTTATCGATGCAGAATGGTAATTTATTCAAAGTGATAATTATATGATATACTCTCGAATGGCTAAATTATATCAGCCGGGCTGTAATTGAAGAAATTTATTCTCGAAATATATACATAGGTTTAACTTCTTGACTTGAAAACTAAATGGACATGTTTTGCTATTTTTAGATTGATGTTCGAGATATTCGGAATGGTAACAAATCTAATTTGAGTGTTTACATCAATGCAACTTTCACTGGTAAAACAGAGCGCAAGAACTGTAAGTATACAAATAGTGTTTCTTTGATTTTTTATGCACCTATTGCTGTTCGTCCATTTGTTCGCCATAATGCCGGTCCAGTGTATACATTTGGTTGTGAACGTTCTACCAACTGCATGATCATCTTTGTGATCTCTATGTTAGTTGTTTACATCGTCTAGCCTATTGGATCACATGGTTTTGTGATAATAACACCCAGGGTTATTGTGTAATACTATAGGGGATATTTTAGTTCTATGTAAGGTGCTTTGTTTAATATATTGAAATGGTTAAACAAATGGGTGACAACGAGAAATAGGCTAAGTAGGTATTTTGCAAGATTGAACTTTCTTAGACTAACTCACAGACAGTTTCTGCCACCACCAATTGCTGAAAGTAGGGTACTATCATCCAGTCATCTCGTGCACAGATTAGTCTAATTAGAATAATGTTGATGTAACGGTGCCCATACCAACCCCACACGTAAAGCTGGTAATTGACCGGCCTTAATAGCTGACGCATCTATGCTTTCTCTATACGAAAGAGCAGGGTTGAATTTCCCTTTAGACATCATGTGGGCTTCCTTGAGAAATATACTGTTAGTCGCTTACGGGCTGGGCGAGAACATCATGTGGAACTATCTGTGGGTCTTTCGACCTTTAGGACTTTAAGGTATGGTCAGACACCATTCAGTGTTCCTCTGGAAGACAGCATATAGCGGTCCTGGAGGTACGTTTAGCCGCCGGGGCTTAGAGGTCGGGATTCAGACAACATTCAGGCTTCTTAGAAGAACCTACTCTCAGCCGTTAAGTCTGAGTTCTATACTCTTGTTAAACCCAGACTGTAGATATTATAATAACTCCTAATGTACTATCATAGATGGTGCAGTTTCCTGTATTTGATATATAAACATAGTTATAAAACGAAGTGTTCCACCGTTAATTGATCATACACAACGTGGAAGTCAGAGTTAATTCTCCTATTTAATGACCCTGTAGTGTCACAGTCTGTGTTTTTGAAGTCCGTGACCAGGATAGTCACATATATTAGGATTATGTTTATTTTGTTTTCAGTGGTGAATGATGGCAAGTCAGATTCGAATGGTCGTATATCTCAGATATATCAAATACCAGATTGGTGTCATCATTTACAATTCGTTGTGAGTGAGGTGTGTATCTTTCTTAGTTTAATTAATATTTAAAGGGGGCAACACGCCAGATGGTTAACAAGTAAACTACATAAAGACTGTAATTATAACCGATAGCACATTATTAGTACCTTATTTAACCAAGATTATACAACCACCCACATTGAAAGTTGGTCATAGCAGCGACCACCGTTTAGTTTTCAAGAATAAATTTCTTCAATTACAGTCCGGCTGATATAATTTATCCTGTTCAGTTTCAGCAAATCGAAAGTATATCATTTACTAATCACTTTGAATAAAATATTACCATCCGGCATTGATAACCACTTGGAGTCAGTTACTCTGTACATAATACACTAAGAAGCTGATATAATTTCTAAAAATTCCGTTTAACTCTTATAACCTGTAATACATAATTGTATAATCAGTACACGAGTCGTGTAAGCTATGGTTTCGGGTGCCATTATGTAATGAACAAATAAAAACATATCCTACAACACAATGTGGAAGAAATTAGTAAAGACTGATTCATAAACGACAAAATAGTAATTTAAAAAAAAAAACGTGTAGAATACACTAAGCAGGCGCAAACGACTGTCGTTCAATTTGAACTGTTCGCGTATTTCACCCAACATAATTGATTAGAAATTATAATATTGTTTTAAAAGATTGGATATAAATACATTCATATTACATTAATATGTGCTTTTAGAACCATTTTTGTCTATTTCAAGGTTCCAAAAAATAGACCTATTCGCTCTTTAAGAGACCCGGTGCCCCAATCTCAAAAGATAACTTGATTTGTCCACAGCTTCTACGGCAGTTTTTCAAGCAAGGATAACACCGAAAATGAGAAGTCTGTTTTGCGTTATTCAATTTTCAATTCCATTTCATGTCGTATCACGAAATGTAGCAAAATAGGAAATGCTGTATGTGCTGTTTACTGTATTGTTTGTTCAGTCTGTGTTTTATTTTACCGTTTTCTTGCATTTCATCGTATGATATGTACATTAACGGTCATATTTATATTGTTTCTTCCAATCAATCTAACACTAATCCTAGCATTACAGATGCGGCGCAGTTTCAGGTGAAGACTAAAGCAAACTCAGTGAACTGGTAATACCAGACTAACAGGGGAGTGAAACATGTGTGTTTTGTGTCCCGTTGCATGCCCAGTTGTTTTCACTAACATGGGATATTTATGTTTCAGTAATTTGCTGAAGCGCTGTTGTCTTAATTAGTTGGAGGAAACCGGGCAAACCAACGAAGATTATGTGGGTGCTATAGGCGTGTCTCAACCATTAAGTCACCCCATGTCGTGTATTTATGTTGATATATTAAACAGTTCATTTCTGTTTGATTCAGGCAACCTCCCTTGATCCAAAGTTGGCTTCACAAGAAACCAAATCATTTGCAATCAGAGCTTCTGATGACAATAAAATTTCACTGGCCGAAAATATAAAACATAGGGTAAGTGCTCGTTCTACATTAGCATAGGGGTACGAATAGCGGGGGTGGTGGCAAAACCCTTTTTTCTGACCATTAACAAATTTTTCTTGAAGTGGCCATGACTATTATTCTATTCCGCAATCCGAAACTTTTACTAGCCATTGGGTGGGGTGATGAAATTCCCAACCGGAGTTTAGAGTTTCAGAAAATCACACAAATCTGATTTTGATTCAAACTGCAGTTCCAGAAAATTTTCTCCGCTAAGCGCTACTTGCCGTTATTTTTCTGAATTTTACTAAGGTTATTTTGTGATTTTAATTTCGCGACTTGTACCATAAGCTGATTCATTGTTTTGACTGGTGTGGGATTTGATTATAAATTGCGTACAATTCGCATGTTGCTCTCTTGTCATGTGGATTGTCTTAAGTTAGAAAAATCGCCCCGTATGCCTATGTAAATTGGAATATAGCTAACTATATTTTTTTCTGGATAACTCAAAGAAGCTAAACCTATTTGATTTAAGTAAAGATAAAACATTGGACTGGGTTAATATCATGTGCTATTTTGCTTAGTAATTGGCGGGCCTAGCTCTTTACGGGTCCCAATAAATTTCCATAGTTATGTCGCTTGAAAATCTTGTGGACGCTAAAGTTGTCACCCGATTGTCTCTAAACTTATATACAATCTTCGTATTCATGAAACGAACCAGTTTCGGAGATTTCCGACAACTGGAACAGCTAACAACTGAATGTATCATCCGGGACATGTTTTGTATAATAAATGTGAGAACCAGAAAGAACTAGACTACAATACTTTTATTATCGACTAATTAAATTAAAACATTTTGTGTTTCAATTTTAGGATACCAGTAACTTAGATATAAAAATAGCCTATGAACACAAAGATGGCAGAACAATGTTTATTTTGGTAAGTCTGTAATGGTCATGTACGTGTTTTTATACGCCCACATTGAAATTTCCGATAATTACTGCCAGAGTTATGGCCCTTGATCACTTCAACAAATCTTGTGGACGCTCTATAGGCGAAAGTCAATATCCGATTGACTTGAAATTTATACACAGTGTTTAAGGTCATGAGATGAAGAAGCCTATTGATTTTGAGCGATTTCTGATAATTACTGCCAGAGTTATGGCTCTTGATCACTTCAAAAAATTCTTGTGGATTCTCTAGAGGCCAAAGTTATTATATCCTATTGATTTTAAATTTATACACAGTGCTTAAGGTCATGAGACGAAGAATCCTATTGATTTTCAGCAATTTACGATAATTACTTCCAGAGTTATGGCCCTTGATCACTTTGAAAAATCTTGTGGACGCTCTAGAGTCTAAAGTTAATATCTGATTGACTTTAAATTTATACACAGTGTTTACGGTCATGAGACGAAGAAGCCTATTCATTTTCAGTGATTTTCGATAATTACTGCCAGAGTTATGGCCCTTGATCACTTCAAAAAACCCTGTGGATGCTCTAAAGGCTAAAGTTAATATCTGATTGACTTTAAATTTATACACAGTGTTTGAGGTTACGAGGCGAAGAATCCTATTGATTTTCAAAGATTTCTGATAATTACTGCCAATGTTATGGCCCTTGATCACTTTGAAAAATCTTGTGGACGCTCTAGAGGCCGATTGACTTCAGATTGATACACAGAGTTTAGGATCTTGAGACGAACAAGTATATTGATTTTCAATGAATTTTTATGACTTGGAACAGCTAAATCCATGATACAGTATTAAAAGTTTTGTATACAAAACGTTAGCATGGGGCAGAACTTTATAAAAACCAAACAAATTCTAATGGTTTTGTGAGTTGTTGCTCTTAATCAGATTTTAGTGTATTATAAATGTTTCATTACCGAAAAAAGTAAAAATATGCGACAACTCTTGTTGACTGCCCGGAGGATTTAGCTGCTGTGAGGGTATGTTTCGTTGCCTGGCAACCTATCTTTGTTTAGTTTGTATACATCCACATGAAAATGTTGTCGTATATTGCCGCCGCCGTCTCCCTCCGTCCGTCGGTCCGCCCTTCATTCACAATTTCTAATGAACACTCTACAGACTACATTTATTATCTGATCATTTTGAAATGTATATATGTTGTTTACATTAGTGAAGCAGAGAAGCGTTTTGATTTCAACAATTTCCCTTAATTACTTCTATGATTATTGCTCTTGTTTCACTCTGTAGAACCTTGTGAACGCTCTAACGACTAAAGTTATCATCCGATCTGTGATTTCCGTTCATAACTTCTAGAGTTATGACATTTGTTTCACGATATGTATAAAATTTATATGCATCATTTAGATTAGTCCAACGAAGAAGCCTATTGAATTTCAGCAATTTCTGTTAATTACTTTGTTATGGTCCTTATTTCACTTTGTTCCACGATCTGTAAGAAATTTATATACACCACTTATGTTAGTGAAACGAAGAATCATATTGAATTTCAGCAAATTCCGTTAATTACGTTTAAATCGATGGCTCTTGTTTTACTTTGAACGTTCGAATGACAAGTGAAAGCCGATTGAATTTCAGCAATTTCCGCTTATTGACAACGTTCGACTTTGTCAGTAAAAAGGAAGAAACCTATTGAATTTCAGCATTTTACGTTTATAACTTCTTGAACCCTGTGAATTCTCCATCAATAAACGTTACCGTCCGATCTCCGACGATCTGTAAGAAATTTATATGCATTATTTAGATTAGCAATTTCCATTAACTACAGAGTTGTGGCTTTTTTGTTCACTTTTTAAACGCTCACACTGATATGTTGACGTATATTGTCGTCGTCCCCGTCCGTCCACCCGCCCGCCCGCCCGTCCGTCGGCCGGCTTGTAGAAGCTCTGTAGGCTAAAGTGAATATCCAATTGACTTGAAATTTATACACAGTGTTTCAGGTCATGAAGCGAAGAAGTTTTTTTTTGATTTTTAACGATTTCCGATAATTATTGCCAGAGTTATGGCTCTTTTTTTTTATCACTTTGAAAAATCTTGCAGAAGTTCTAGAGCAGTGGTTCTCAACCTTTTGTTGCCAACGGCACACCTTGGAACACATGAAAAAAATAGCGGCACACCTGACTTAATATATATATGAAAAATATTCGAATTTTGCAAAATAAAAACATGGTAATTCAGACGGAATACAACCGTAGACAGATACTAGTCATAGACACATAGAATGACTCAAAGTAAATAAAGAAAAACACCAGTGAATACTCAATTGCGATCACATGGTTTTTTACATTTACTTAGTGTGCCGTTCAAAATTTCGCGGCACACTTAGGAAGATCTCGCGGCACAACACCTGTCACGGCGCCACACTGGTTGAGAATCATTGCTCTAGAGGCTTAAGTTAATATCCGATTGACTTCAAATTTATACACAGCGTTTAAGGTCATGAGACGAAGAATCCCCAATCTGGTCTTATATATCACTGGGTCAGATCGATGTCCAGCCTTGAATTCCAGATACCACACCCACGCACTTTGACCTGATTGGTCAGTATTCGGTCTGGGGTGGGTTAATGCCCCGAACGGACAGATAGTTGTTGACCAATCCGCTACGGACATGTGTTATATTTCAGACTACATTATGGCCGGAGGATGCAGCTGGTTATTATATAATACCAGGTTAAGCTTTCAGTACAGATTGCTTTTCCATACAAAGGACCTTACGTAACTCCGGTCAGCTATGATGATTAATCACTTCACTTCCGCGTGGCTGTTAGTCGTGTCAAGCTAGTGCCAATGTCGACCATCTGTGAGTCATCTGATAAGATTGCTAATACTATACAAAGGACCTTGCGTAACTCAGGTCAGCTGTGATGATTAATGACTTCACTAACGACTTCCGCGTGGCTTTTAGTCGTGTCAAGCTAGTGCCAATGTCGACCATATGTGAGTCATCTGATAAGATTGCTAATCGATTTCATGTATGGAAGGTGTTAAGTGATATTTCCTAATCGAAATAAATTCTAAAGATTTCTGATATTTACTTAATGGGTTGTTACTCGTAATCAGACATTCGTGTGTTGTAAATGTTTTTATTACTGACAAAAGAAAAAATATGCAACAACCCTTGTTGACTGCTGCTGTGGGCGTATGTTTCGTTGACTGGCAACCTATCATTTGAACACCCTGTGAACGCTCTAACGACACAGTCATAAATCGATCTGTATGAAATTGATACCAGTGTCTTGTAAAATCCCTCATTACCCACAAAAAAATTAAATATGTCACACCGTGGGTGCATGTTTCGTTGCCTGACATCCTATCTTTATAGTTTATAATTAAAAGAAGTTACGTATTGTGTGACTTTTACCGGAATGGAGTTTTATTATAAACTGCTTTCTATATAATTTAATGAAGGTAGACTTGTTGTTGGTTCGGTATTGATGCTTAATAGTTTATGTGATTATGGCAGATATGTCCTTATGTGGCTTTAGGCACTTTATAACCATTTTGAATAATCTTTTGTTTATTTAATCACGTTTTTTCATGTATATATTTTTCCTTGAAGGTTTTCTCCAAAGGACAAGTTATCTACACGACGTCTTTCACATCAGTATCAACCGGACAGAGCAAAATAGAAATTCCAGAGAGTTTAAGACCAGAGTTATCGCCCTTTGCAAGGATTATAGTATATTACCTGGATTCTGATCAAAATGAAGTAAAAGCAGAAAGTATTATCGTACATTTCCCTTCACGCTGCTTAGAAGAGGTAAACTTATAGAAAATCACCATTGACACCATATCGTGTTTTTTTTAAGGTTAAAAACATAACTTTTCAGATCTTTGTTCCATTTTGATTTATTCACAATTGGTCATGGGATTTCCAGATAACACCGGTAGGATGAATTGACTTTCAAAATAATGGTAGAGAATGTATACATGGACAGCAAAGGCGATTTCGTACAGTCTAATTAAAACTGGATGGTTTCCGTTATATATTTATGAAATTCAACAATACAGAATATCAAGATTATGTAAGATAAACATTACGAGCTGGTTGTCTTGCTATAATAGTTCAAAAATAGATAATGCAAAATTAACATATTGACAACTTCATTCAAATTACTTTATTCCGAGCAAATATATTAGCCTCTGTTTGGGGCTTATCCTTGCTTCACCATTTTTAACTTAAATCATTGAATGGCCGAACCGTTCTAATCTACTTAAAATCGGACCCAACCGATGACATGGAAGGTGATTATGGTCTTGCCATGTTCATACATATCTAATTGATAGTTTATGTAACATTTATGGCCTAACAAAAGACCCGAATATTTAGCTTTTGTATATTGCCTATTTAAGTAAATGACAAATTGTATGCCCCACCTCTTTCGGACAACCTGTCACTGCGTGCTTCATGGTACATCGAGCCAGACTGGGTTCTGACCAATTAACTCGTCTAAACTTCCCGGTGTTGTGATGTAATTATTTTGAACGACATCATAATCAGAGTAATGTACACTTGAGACGATAAAATATAAAGGATGGAATGGAATGGTGATTGGGGAGACTGTGATCACGATGTTTTTCAAGTTCCACTTACCAATGGTTCTTTTTCGTGAAAGCCAATGTGTTCACAGGTAGATTAGAAATATTTACCTTTTAAAGTGGGAACTGGGGCCCGATGACAGGATTAGAACACGGGAAATTCTAGTAAAGAGGTATAAATAACGACTACGAATTGAGATATATCGAAATTATACCCTATATTATCTACTTCCTTGTGAAAATGAAACGGGTTATCAATAAAGTATGATGAAATTATATTTTAATTTCAGCTGAATGTAACTTTCGAAAACAAGATGATTGAATTGTTTTCTCAACCCAAGAAAAATGTTAAAATTAAAGTGGATGGAGGAAATAATACGAAAGTGGGTGTGGTTATTGTTGATAAGGCAGTATATTATTTAAATAATAGATATACTCTAACAAGAGACAAAGTAAGTACGCACGATTTTATCCATATATGTCATCGAAATTCTTTTCTCCAACAATTCTTTTCTGTGAATTTTGTAAATGAAATGTTAAAAACAAATGTTGATCTGTAACAATAAGATGGGACACTATGGGGTGACAATTATCCAGTCGGGACTTTCACGTTGTGTATAACTTTAATGAGCAAGTAACTCTGGAACACGGTGTGGTTATAACTATGTTTATATATGAAATACAGGAAACTACTAAATCTATCATAGTACATTATGAGTTATTATAATATCTACAGGCCGAGTTTAACAAGCCTAGAATTCAGACCCAAGGGCTGAAACACTACAATTTGTCTCTATCCCGGCCTCGGGCCAGATGCTGCGAGTACGTCCTTCTAAGAAACCTGGATGGTGTCTCTATCCCGGTCTAAAGCAAATTTGATGTTTATATCAAACGTTTAGATACGTCGGCTATTCGGGTGGGGCAATTACCATTTTTTTAGGTAAATGTTTCATGTGGGTACCCGTTTTCATCAACAATATTTTATTTAATTAGACTAAACTGTACACCGGATTCCCGGATAATAGTTACCTACTTCCAGAAAAAGATAATGGTATAACTGTCAATGAGTCCGTCTAAATAAGTTGTAGAATAATGCAAGCTACTATAATTAGCCCAGTTCTCGTCACACATCTGTAGGTAACGAATCTCTATATTAAACAGAACACCTTTCAGAGAGCTTAAATAAGGAGGGTTGCATAATTAAAGTCGATATCAAACACACATTAAATACAACACAATATAAATACTTGCCTACCTAACCACGAACATTTCCAAGGGTAATCCAGTCACCTGGAGACTTCTTCTGTTTCCATTTGCACCTGGAAACTTCGTCTTCCAAGCACTCCCCTCACGGCCGACATCCTGGTCACGGCACCAAAACCTAGATGCGACACTATGGGGGTGACACGTACCTAGTCAGGACTTTTACGTTGTGTATAACTTCAATGAGCAAATAACTCTGGAACACGGTGTGGTTATAACTATATTTTTATATGAAATACAGGTAACTACAACATCTGTGATAGTACATTATGCATAGTTTAATGGTCGAGAGCGAGATATTAAGTAATATATTGATATTGCACACGTGTATTAGCACGAAGGCTATATCTATATATTACAAAATGTCTTGCACGAAACCATTAAACAACTTAAAATACAGACACTATCCAGGACGCGCTTTTCAATGAAATACGTCAATGAAATACGTCAATGAAATACGTCCAATATTTCAACTAGTATAAATAATGTACGCTTCAAATAATGGTACGGGCAATGTACCAAGCCTACATTATTTATACTAGTTGAAATAATATTTGAAATAATGGTACGCCAACATCAAAGGAGGAAGTATTTTAAGAGCTATTATATTTAAAGTCTGAATTTAACAACAAGACTAGAACTCAGACCCAACGACTGAAACACTACACGCTTTCTCTATTCCGGCCTCGAACCAGAGGCTGAGAGTACGTCCTTCTGAGAACCCTGCATAGTCTCAAATGATATCTAAAGCAAATTTGATGATGCTGTTTAATTTACGTTTAAATACGTCGGCTATTAGGGCGGGGCAGTTACCATCTTCGAGTACCCGTTTTCCTCAACATTATTTTATTTGATTGGACTGGTCTTTGCACCCGATTCCTGGAAAAATGGATACTGGCTTAACTGTCAGTGAGTTCTTTAAAAAAGTTGTAGAATAATGCAAGGTACTATGATTAGCCCAGTTATCGTCACACATCTGTAGGTAACGAATCTCTATATTAAACAGAACACATTTTAGAAAAGTTAAATAAACTCTACAGTATACATATATTATATAGTATTACACGGTCACAATTGATGTTGTTATGTATAATGTTACCAATCCAAAGTTTGTTATGTGCACTCTTCAAACGAGAAGTGGTATCAGGTGCTCTATGCAATTGTCTTCAAGAATGAATTAGCATATCCTGCCCGTGTACGATACTCACCACTAATAAATACTCATAACATAATACCCAGATGAAAACCGAAATAGTTTTATACGCCTACATTGAAATGTATTCGTATTTTGCCGTCGTCTGTCGGTCTGGCGGTCCGTCCGTCTTGTGGACACTCTAGAGGCCAGAGTTAATATCCGATTGACTTTAAATTTATACATAGCGTTTAAGCCCACGAGACGAAGACGCCTATTGATGGTCAAGGATTTCCGATAATTACTGTCAGTAATATGGCCCCTGTAACGGCTCTAGAGGCTAAAGTTGATATCCGATTGACGAAGAATCCTATTAATTTGCAAGTATTTCCGATAATTACTGCCAGAGTTATGCCCCTTGATCACTTTGAAAAATCTTGTGGGGCGCTCTAGAGACTAAAGATAATATCCGACTGACTTTAAATTTTTACATGGTGTTTAATTACAGACAACCCTTGATAACTGCCGGGCGACTTAGCTACTGTGGGCTCATGTTGCCTGGCAACCTATCTTTTAAGTTTGGTTCTGTAATTAATTTTTTTTAGATGTTCTCCTTGCTGGGTAAACGTGATGCTGATTCTAAAATTGTACAAAGTAGACAAGCCAATAAAACATTTAAGGTGAGTTCGTAAGCCATGTGACCCAAACTCAAGCCCCCCCCCCCCCCACCTGCTGCAGTTGCTTTATCAAGTGTGCGCGTTGACCGTAAAACGAAAATTAATGAATTAACCTAGTAGTTGCAATTTTGTTCCGGCAGAATTCGACAGGAACAATAACTTCCTGGCATCCAAATTTATGGATGTGTGACAGTATTCGCCAGTGAGAAGTCGAATCCGAGACCACATTGGTTCGACCCGGTCCCAAAACAGTTACTCTTTACTTATCAGATAGAGTACTGTTGATACCACTGCTATAAATAACACAAATATTAGTTTCAATAATTATTATCCAGGTAACTAACCTTATTTGGAGTTCGGGATGGGGGTGGATGGTCGAATGGTTAGCATATGCGCGCTGCGCTGTATCATAGGTCTGTCATTGAGTCAACTGGCGGGGTTTCGAATCCCCGGTTGTACTTGACAAGGAGTAGGGTCGCCTGTCCAACCTCGTGGGGTTTCTCCGGGTCCTCCGGTTACCCCCCACTGCTAAAGACCCCTACGCGCAAACGAATTATTGAAATAAAATTGAACCATGTGTTAGTCCCGAAATGACCTAGTTTGTGTCGAGTGGACGTCAAACCCCATTTCTCTCTCTCTTTATTTGGAGTTCAAAATTATAAACCAAACAGAGATAAGAAATGGGATCTGTCGGAACACGACAACTTTAATTGCATGAGAGACTAATGAACATTTTCTGCTCAGGTTAAGCAAAAGATAAACAATTTAATTCGTCGAGACTTTGAAATGTGATAATGTGGATTCTAATTGAGGAACAATGTCCAAACTTGGTGCAGGTATGTTCGACAGTGAACTTTTTATCCGATGCTTATAAAAAAAGACCTAAGTATTCAAGTACTTAATGAGTGCCTTCCCTTTTATTTTGAGATTAAGGCAAGGGACATCATCCTTACTGTTCACTTCAATAAAACCTTAAGTATTCAAGTACTTAATTAATGAGTGCTATCTCTTTATTTTGGGATTAAGGCAAGGGACATCATCCTTACTGTTCACTTCAATAATAATAAGAATTAAACCAGCAATCTAAATCGCCAGTTCTTGAATGTAATGGAAATAGAATAAAACCCAGTTGACGCCCTACTCCACCGTCCAGGCTAATGGCGTCGGGTATACGTCATGCGGCTTGTCGGGCAGCGGCGTTTCTGTATACGCTTCATCAAATCCCAACTGTCAAGGATTCATGACGTGCACGCCAGCAAGTAGAACTCGCCCCACCCCCACCCCCCGGGCCCGTAGCCAGTTCATAAAATACGGTATTTTTTGCAGGGGCTAAGGATGTGGCCGGCTAAGAACGCTCCTAAGAAATCATTATTGTTGGCGAAGTATTGGGGGGGGGGGCTCCGCCGTGGCTACGGGCCCGCGCCCCCTCCAAATAATTAAAATCCTTTGCATTGCCAGATGCTGTGTCCTGTCTGATAAAGACTAGAGAAGCCTAGTCGAAATAAACAGTAATTGTTACAATATGTATATACTGTAGTAAATGCGCCAGTGCCAACCCAGCAAACCACCGTGACTCCCATATCATTTTTGGTGAACACTGACTGATACGTCGATTAGTGACTATATTTTACCATCATCTATTTCAGGAAAATGGTTTGCTATATTTTGATAATTTTCATCGAAAACATTATTCCGGCTACTCTCCCATTGGAGGTAGGTACTGTATAACACTTTTTATCGATAGCAAATAAAACGGGACAGGTACTTTAAAACCCGGGGTATAAGATAATACGGTCAATTGTATACACCCACATTTAAATGCCACCAGCCCAATGTATCCGTCTATAAAGACCCCACTTTGACAAATAAATCATGATTATGTTCCTGGAATGATGAAGTCTGTAGCAAACTTGGTTCAAAGACCATCGCTTGACAAATATTTATAGACTATGATTTTGTTTCCGAGATGAAGTCTGTAGCAAACTGGGTTTTAAAACCGACCTGTGCATCTTTCACCTTATAGGAAGGATGGCGCAACAATTGAAGTACCTTCCAATATTATATTTAACGGGAATGAATTTTCAGGAAAAATTTAAGGTAAGTTTTTAATGGGCACTAAATCGTAATTAACTGTGATATACTAGATGGGCTAGCTTTGAGAGACTTCTTTTTGAAACTTGCTTTTACTGTTAAAATGATTGATCTTATGTTCAGCACATTATCGCCAATGAGTTAGAAACGACACAAGTTTCTGCAAGATCGGTGCCAAAGCTCTCGATTGCGCACCAGAGACCTATCATATTCCTGACGCCCCGTAACAATCTGCGTCGTTTTTATCTTGTGGTTCCTCCAGAGATCACAATTTGTATCCAATTTAAAAAAAAACTATCACTGTTACACTATATTAATGATTGAGTTCGAATTTCATGAAAATAGGAGCGAAACTGTCGGAATAATGGCCCCTGGCTGTACGCAAATAGTGTTAAAGTATCATGGTTGTGGACCCTATAGAAGTTATAATGTTGGTCCGATTTTGATGAAACTTAAAACATGTGTGTATATCCTAAAGTTCTCGGTTCCTGTCGATATTTGCGCATATCGAATCGTAACTTCCTGGATTAAGACCACTGATTTTAGCTTTAGCTTGTGGACCCTCTAGAGATCACAGTTTTATAAACATCGTTTAAATATATCACCGATACACCCTAATAATGGCTGGGTTCGAATTTCGTAACAACCGGATCGAATCTGCCGGACAAAATGGCAGCTCATTGTACGCAAACAGTGTAAAAGTTTGTAATATCATGGTTGAGGATTTTGATGAAACTTAAAATATATGTTTATATCCCAAAGATCTCAATTCCCTTCGATATTCGCGCATATCAGATCATAATTATGACCCCTGATTGTTACGAAAAATCACATTTTTTAGCTTGTGGCCCCTCTAGCGGTTACAATTTTTATCCGATTTTAAAAACCGTTTCAATATATCACCGTTATAGATGAAGGTTGAGTTCGAATTTCGAAAAAATCAAAACGAAATTGCCCGAAAAAAATAGCTGTTCCTTGTACGCAAATAGTGTAAAAGTATGTAATACCAGGGCTGTGAACCTTGTACAGATCACATTTTTTTCCGATTTTCATGAAACTTAACATATCTTTATATCCCAATGATCTCGGTTCCTTTCGAGCATTTCAGATCACAACGTCTTGGATTATGGCCCCTGATTGCACGAAAAATCTCGTTTTTCTTTAGCTTTTTCTCTGTCCATTTCTTGCAAAATGTTGGCGTATCTTGCATGCCAGCCGCTTGTTGGAGTTATAACCCTTTCAGAATATTGTAGTTTGCAAGGGATTAAAGATGCTTCAAATAACTCTAATTTAGCCATTGAAATACGTTATTAAAGTGACTTCCTTAAAGTGTTTGTATTATTTAGTGTTTGCCTTACATTTCTAAAGCTCTTTCTGAAAGTGTATTATTGATGTTTTGCCTTTTAGGTCTTGGCTTTGAGGGGGTTTCTTATGCGAGGGATCCAATCATAAATGTTAACCGTGATGATTCTCTGGACCTAATACCCATAAAGAAGATAAGAAAATATTTTCCGGAGTCGTGGTACTTTGAAGATTTTACTCTATCTGAGTAAGTATACGTTTGTGTTGCTAAGTAAATATATTTATTTAATGGTTTACATCGATTCTAAATAATAAGGAGGGTTTGCTATCCAGCATGTGTGTTTCGTAATCTAGTAAACGTTTTACGCACCGTGTACAAGATTCTGACTTGCATAGTAGCGTATACCGATACCGTACTAGTCTGGAGGCTCAGTGCGGGGTGGGAGGTGTCCTTGAAATGGGCACAAAACCAGACCCGACTTTTCTAGAGTAAAATGTTGCGTAGAACACGATGTCGAGTGGTAATCAGTCCGTCGTTGGGGCGTTTACGAGATATTCGGGGTCAAATGGGTTCATTTGCACTGAAAGTGAATGCGCAGTCATTCTTGTATCATGAAAATAAGCTGAAAATGATCGAAAGTAATCACCATTTCAATAAAAATGTACACTTGCAAAATTCACCTTTGTTCTTTGTGACACCAGAGGTCAAAAGGTCACATTTTCCGTTTTAGCACTACGAAGATTTAAAGTAATAAATGTCAGCTAAAATATAAAAACTAAAGCGAAACCTGTTCTAATTAATAAATTTATCTTTAGGTGGTCTTAGCACCGAACTTTTACTTTGGAACGTCGAAAATGATCTTGCATAACAGAACCAAAACGCTTCTGAACCCGTTTCCAAAACAAGTAAAGACTGTAAAATCAAAATCTCTCCGCATTAGTTTTACAACGAATGCTATACATAATGATACTAGTTGTCTGAAAAAACAATTGAATAGTTTCATGACTGGACTCCAACTTGCAGGCCGCGTCACAAAGCCTGCCAAAATTTACCAATACGACATATATATATCCTGTGAACTACTATGTACAATGCATCCGTCCAACACTGAAACTATTCAATTGTTTTTCTGATAACTAGTATCATTGTGTATTACAATCGTTGTGAAAAAAATTCGGGAGAGATGGCGATTTGACAGTTTTTACGTATTTTTGAAACAGGTTTCAAAGTGTGTTGGTTCTGTTATGCAAGATCATTTTCGACGTTCCAAAGTAAAACTTCGGTACCAAGACCCCCTAAAGATAAATTTTAAATGTTCCTATTATTAATTAGAACAGGTTTTGCTTTAGTTTTTATATTTTACATTGACATTTTATTGCTTTAAATCTTCCTAGTCTATATCCGGTATCATTAGCCTGTTTCGTGCAGTCATGTATAAGACGTTACACCCCATTTGTTTTATTAGCAGTCAAATCAAAATCCATAAATACAACATGGCATAGCCAAACAAATGTGACAAGACAACTGACTAACAACTCTATTTCTTGTTTATTTCTAGCAAGGGTAGAGAGACTGTTCGTGTAACGTTGCCAGATTCAATAACTAAGTGGGTTGTATGGGCTGTTGGTCTGTCGTCAAATCGAGGTGTTTGTGTTGCTGAACCTCGAGAAATCACGGCTTATCAACCTGTTTTCATTCAACTCCATCTTCCTTATAAGGCTGTCCGGTTAGAACAGGTCAAGGTCACAGTCACCATGTTTAATTATAAAGATCATCCAATGAAGGTAATTACACCAAACTTGATAAATTTACTAATTTACTTTCGCGGGACATTTTTGGGTATATTAATTAGTGAAGCAAATGTCAAAATTCAGAAATAAATTGTAACTTCTGTGGGGAAGGAAATACACTCATGCGCTTCTCCTCGCCAGACCCAATTTTCACGCTTTCACCGTATCTCCGTATGTCCCAATATCACAAACCCATCAAGGCATGTCCTGTATATACGTAATCACATGTTCCTGATGACTTACTTAATCACAGAGCTTTTATCTTACCATCCCTGTCTACCCGTCAGTCTGTTGTCCACAATTTCTTATGAAATTCCTTATGAACACTAGGATTTATCTTGCATTTAGTAGTAGGATTCGGGTTACCTATACTGGATGTAACACGAGATAAAGATTCCGAATCACCTACGAATATATTCAGTAAAGATATGTTAGTCCCAAAATGTACTTATGTGTGTTGGGTGGAGGTTAGGATTTGAGGATAGCACGGATTATTCCTCAAGTTTGTCGTTAGATAAATAGCATCCGACAGACTGTCCTTGGTAATCGTCAGCTATTGGTGCGCTACTCCTTTCATAATTTCTATAAGTTGTCCTAATCCCTTTTTATACGCCCACATGGAAATGTGGTTGTATATTGCCGTCGCCTCCGTCGGCCGTCGATCGGCCCGTCGTCCACAATTTCTCGTGAACCCCCTACAGACTACATTTATCATCTGATTGTTTTGAAATTGATATATGTTGTTTACATTCATGAGATCAAGATAATTTAAATAATTTCCGTTAATTTCGTCTGGAGTTGTTGCACCCTGTGAACGTTGTAACGACAAAAGATATCATCCGATCTGTATAGAATTTATATTCATCATTTAAATTAGTGAAACGAAGAAGGATATTGAATGTCAACGATTTCTATTATTTATGTCTAGAGTTATGGTTCTTATATCACTTTGTTAACCCTTGTGAACGCTTGAACAACGAAAGTTATAATTTGATCTGTATGAAATTTGTATGCATCATTTGAATTACTGAAACGAAGAAGCCGATTGAATTCCACCAATTACTTCCATAGTTAAGGTCCTTGTTTCAGTTTTCAGAACCTTGTAAATCCCCAAACCACGAAAATTATAATCTGATCTGTATGAAATTGTCGTGTAAATGCCCCCCCCCCCCCTTACCTACAAAAAAATAAATACGCGAGAACCCTTGTCGACCTCACGGACGATTTAGCTGCTGTGGGCGTATGTTTTGTTGCCTGGCAACCTATCTTGAAATTATTTGAAAGCTACAAACAATTCTTTTTAATTGGCCAACGTTTAGATATTTGTGAATTAATCGTCTGTGACAGAAAACGTTGTGATGATCGCGACAGATGGTTTACTAACGAGAGATTAGGCAATAAATAACCCTTGGTGTAGACAGGCCTTTAAACTCACTTTCTTTTTATGTTTTAAGGTTAAGATAAACTACACTGGAGACGTTAGCTTGTGTTTACCAAATCGTATGTCCACAATTAAAACAACTCTTAAAGCAAAAAAATCCCGGTCAACCAATTTCTTCATCATACCCTTAAAAACTGGAGATCTTACTATCCGTGTTGGGGTGTGGGACATTACGAATCGTAATAAAGAAAATCTTGTTGATGTGGTGGAAAAGCAGCTTTATGTGGTGGTGAGTTATTTCTCTTCGTTATTAGTCAAGCTGAAGTAGATAATAGGGCGATTGCATTGTAAAAGCCAAATCTGTCTTATTGCAGGTCTTTTTACTGGCTTCACAAATTACATAAATTATTGATTAGGCCTTTACACACATGACAAGTCCATAATGAACTCTCTAGATCCCCGGATGGCCGTAGTATTTAATGGATTAGAACATCCGCGTCGTTTAATAATTTAATATTAAGATGGAAAATCGAGAATTGTTATCCTAGTAATGCTATTCTTGTCAAAACTTCAAACATTCATACAATCAGCTCTTTCTCCAATTCTTTAAGAGTTTTGAATAAAATACAACTTTCATGTAAAATCATACGTTTCCTGGCGTTACATTTCTGATGTGAGTTGAAAGTACAGTTAAAATGTCGGCATCAATTATTGCTCTTGACGGATATGACTGTTGTGTTTGTACTCATATTCATTCTAAAAAGCTGATGCACAATACACAGACCCAGACACAATATACAGACCCCATAAGCCACACTACACAGACCCTAAGTCACAATATGCAGACCCCCTAAGTCACAATATGCAGACCCCCTAAGCCACACTACACATACCCTCAGCCACAATGTACAGACCCCCTAAGCCACACTACACATACCCTAAGCCACAATGTACAGACCCCCTAAGACACAATATCCAGACCCAAAAGTCACAATACACAGACCCATAATCCCAAAACATGCTTTTACGCTGGAAAAACAAAATACGAGAAGCTGAAGAGTCCTATTATAGAGAGCATGTCGCCTTTCCCTGTATCATCTAATTTAGAAAAGAATTACCAAATTTAATATTGATATTTATTTTCGCATCGTAACGCTTTACGAACATATGTAAAATTGGTTTATTACAGCCTGAAGGAAAAAGATTGAGGAAAACAATAACATTTGCTCTCGATCCGGAAGGCAACAAAATAAGTAGAAATACAAAATCTACTGAAATAAACATTAGTGATACGCCCACCATTAATCGTAAGTTTAGTTATTCTTATCAGGCAGGTGATCCTACTGCTTGTCACGGACAGATGTAGGATCGAAACCACGCCACTTGATTCAATGATAGACAGTATGGTCTAAGACATTTCGGCCACCCAACCCCCCAGAGACCAAAGAATAAGTAATCCAATTACCAATTCATTCTTGTTGATGTAACCAATTCATTAACATTTTCTGCCCATAATAAATCATCTCGTCATTGACCAAATGGGAGATATGAAGGAAAAATCTTATGTTAATTACCAAAGAAGAGGAATGGTTTAAATTATGTTCTTCGGTCAAAAGCTGTAATTTGTATGGTATGCCAGATGAATTACGCCATTAAGCTAGGATTCAGTATGTATGTAGTTTGTATAGTATGCACTGTTTAACGTACTGCATGAAATGCCCTATTCCGACAAGGAATTAATTTCGTTTTGGACCTTGATGCAACAACGAAAAAAAACAAACTTTTTTATACGTCATATGGCGGAAATTTGCCCGTCGTTGTGTCTGCTGGTCACCCCCATGAGTATAGTAAATACACATTACACTGGTCGAAATATGACGTATACATGAAATCCCTGCCAGCAATTTTCAATAATTTTCTTATTTCATCCATACGCAAACATAGAATCATAGCCTGTCTGATGGTAAATACAATAATCGGGGCTATTTTCACAAAAATATAATTGCATGTAAAATGAATGAAGAATTTATTGTATTCCATTGTTTTGATCTAGATACACTTAACGTAGGAGAAAATACACAAAAGACAGAAGTTGATTTAGCACTGCCAGTAGAAATAATACCAGGAACTGAAGATTGTGCTATTCAGGCGTGTGGTAAGCTTTATATCTCATAACTGTCCATTTATACTTTTATTATATCACAACCATCCATTTTATACTTTTATTGCATCATAACTATCCATTTATACTTTTATTATATCATAGCTATCCATTTTATACTTTGATTATATCATAACTGCCCATAATTGTATACTTTTATCAGAACTGTCCATTTTATACTTTTATTTTACCAGAATTGCCCATTTTATCATAACTGTCCATTTTATGCTTTTCTTATATCAGAACTGTCCATTTTATACTTTCATTATATCACACTTATCCATTATATACTTTGATTACTGTCTTTATGTCAGGTTATGGATGACAACACTGGTTTAAATCTCATATAATACTTTTATTGTTCTTCAAACATATCATGTACAAAACCTCTTAACGTTAAAGACCCCATAATCAACTTGGGTTGAGGGAGCCATGTTCTAGATTGGCTTGGCACGAGTGTGCAAACCCCCACACGCTCTCCCTCGCCCGTCTCGTCCCTGATCTCGTTTCCATTCTGGGTTTATAAATCCTTCTCGACAAAGGATCTCATTACACATCTGGCTTCTGCATCATATCAGATTTAACATTCAGTACAGTTTGCTTATAAGACAAAGGACATTAAATAAAATAGGCCAGCCATAACTGTATATTATGGTAATGACTAATGAATGCCATCGGGACCACCAAGGGTGTTAATCGCCGACATTAGAATATTATAATCTATTCTGCTTCCATGTGTCAAGATGGCACAAAAGTACCTATAACATCTGTCATTATGTAACATTATATCATAACTATCCGTTTAATGCGACGATATTTCAATGTTGGCCAATCTGATTAAAATACAGATCTATATTTTGTTTCGTTTTTTATACTTTCGATGGCCTACACTACATGAAGACCTGACCGGTTGTATCGATAGGTCGCGTCAGAGGTCATACGACCGACTTTTGACCTATGATGTCAGACATTTGATTAACCAATCAACATTGATGTTGCTAGTGGATTACCCACAGTTCCGTGCAAAACGGGTCTAAAGCTCACAAACCGTAACAGGTCATTTCATTGGCTAATACCTCACACCATCCAGAACACGTCTATGATAACAACTCTTCCAGATCCTAGTGTAGTAAAGACAAGTCAAACGAAATTTTGAACTATAAAAAACGAAAGGAAGTAGGATCTGTGTTTTAATAAGATTGAGTGTTGGCGTATTATATGTCGTCACCCTGTCTGGCGGTCCGTCGTTCCACCAACAACTGGCTTGGCTTGTAAACGCACCAGAGGCTACAATTTTAGACGGATTCTTTTCAAATTTGTGAAGCATCGTGTTCATGAGAGGACGGACTCTATTGATTGTCAGCGTTCTACGACTTTCTGTTCCGTAATTAATTTATTACTCTCCACTCCGAGCTACCCCTATACATCAAATTTCAGCCTCGGGACAGCTCTAGTATCAGGGGCGTACATAACGATTTTGTTTGGGGTGGGGGGGTGTTTAGCCAAAATGCGACCGACTGATGTCCATACTCCTAGTACGAGTGACGCAGTCAGGAGCCGAGCACCACAGGTGCGAGTTTTGTAGGGGCCATGTGCAGTAGCGGATCTAGATAGGGTGGGGGTCCAAATCTAGGTCGCCGCCTCAGCCACAATCCCACCCCACAATGAATGTCAACAAAATACTGGCTATAACATTAAGCGTCCCGGTAGAACATAGATGGTATTGTATAATTATATAGTTGTTTGCCGATCATTGTCTCGCTGAAAGCAGTTTTATTTAAGTTGACATAAAGTTTATGTCATATATAATTGTGCTTATAATACTGAGCAACCTGAAATTTTTTTGAAACATTGAGTCAATATCTTTGCATTTGAGGTCATTGCTGGGAAAAATTCTTGTGGACGAGAGGACCAGAAATGTGAGTCAATTAGACAAAATCTCGAGATCTGCCCCTGTCAATTCCGCCTGTTTTGCAAGAGTTGACAGAACTTTTGTATAGTCTGACGCCCCACGACCCACACACCAGTGCCATTGGTACTACTAACATAACTAGGCAGTTCAGTATAACCGTGAATATGATAGTGCTGAGGCAGTATAAGACAACAGAGGAGTGGAAGAATGATGTTATAATGGAATTGAGTGCCGTAGGCGCGAAAATATTTCAGATGTGTAACCGAGCTTTTCATTTTTGGGACTGGGCCTGACAATTTTAGTCAATGTCATGGCAAATGGATCCAGATTCTCGTTAACGAGAGGATAAGAAATGGGACAGAATCTTGAGGCCTATCTGTCAATGTCGCCTGTTTTGTGAGAGTAGAACTAACAATTCTACAGTCTTTTGACCCACGACTCACTCACTAGTGGTACTACTAACTGGGCGATTCACTGTAACTGTGAATATGATAGTGATGAGATAGTATAAGACAGAGAAGGAGTTGAAGAATGATGGCATAATGGAATTGAGCGCCGATATGTAACTGAGCTTTTAATTTTTGAGGACTGGGCCTGAGGGCACTTTACCTCAATGGGGCGCTTACTTGGTCTCTGAAATGCCCTGGACTTTGGGGAGAGATTTTGCAGAATTCTGATGGTCAGAAAACACCCCATTAATTCATTTAGTCTAAGACCGACTGCGGTGAGCACTTTTTTTTGAGACCGACTATTTCTTTGCCATGGGGTGAAAAACATTTTTTTCAAACATGATAAGTTGACAAGGTTATTTTATACTAAAGTTTTGCGTGAATAGTGTGACGTGTGCAGTGAGCACTTATTTTGATACCGACTGCTGATATCTTACGACCGAATGTACCGATTTTGCGACCGACTAGTATTTGGGATCTATTCTGGCATTATTTGTTTACCTCATTAATTCATTAAGACGGCGATGCATAATTTTGAGACCGACTGCAGTGACTGCACTTATTTTGAGACCGACTATTTTTCTCCCTGGGGGAAATTTTGTTCTTAAGACCTACATACTCACAACAGAATAAGAGTGAAACACATCATTTTTTCAAATATGATAAATTGACATGGTTATTTTATACTAAAGTTTTGCATGAGTAGCGTGACGTGTGCAGTGAGCACTTATTTTGATACCGACTGCTCTTATTTTGCGACCGACTGCACTGATTTTGCGACCGACTAATTTTTTTCCTGGGGGGGGTGTACCCCCCCCCCCCCACATTTACGCCCCTGTCTAGTATAGCCGCCAACCCTGAACAGACAAACAGAGAGACAAACTACTGTCACAAATATTGTTCAATGACTTATGTTACTTTACGTTACGTTACGTTACTTTATATGCTATAATTATTGCAGGGGATTTAATGGGTGATATTATAACTGGTGCTATGGCTGGCAAAGGTAACATTTTTGTTTCATCGTTTCACATGGCTGAAGAAGTTATCGGCAATATGGCTCCTGTTGTTCACGCTCTTCAATACCTCAACTCATCTGCCCTATTAAATAAAAAAATGTTCTTAAAGGGTCGAAACTATATAACGCAAGGTAAGTTTTCCCGTTCATGTTAAAACTTTTAGAAAATTGAACCAATGTTTTTTCCGTTAGTGCTCACATTCTTAAGCTTATGTTAGTACAGAATTTCAATTTTTATAAACGATTCCGTAACTTTCGAGTTCCTGTTTGCCCAAGCATCTCTTATGGACTATATCTAGACAAAAGTTTGTTGCTGAAATCCTGTTACGTCCCAAATTACCGCCATGAATATTTAGAAAAGTATGTGCGAAACGTGATCATACGCTGCGCTGCGCACACTAATTATCCCTTAATGATATGCTAATGCGAACTAATCGTCTGTCAATCTTACGGTTGGCACCAATGTGTTTCCTGTGAGCTTACTAATTACTTTATGGTCATGATTTATGGGAAGAATTAAACTTTTAGACTACCTATATAGAAATACCCACATTTATTGATACATCTTACAGGAATTACCAGACTGATGAAATTCAGGAATAAAAATGGTAGCTATAGTTTATATGAAGATTCACCCCCTATAACTTGGTAGGTACAGGTAGTCTTATTTAAATCTATCTACATTCCTAAGAATATTCTGGACAATTCACCAGATCCTTGCCCAAATATTGCATGGGTTGTGACAGGTGTTCTACAGGAGAATTCAGAGCCAAGAACGGTGTTAAAGTGTGAAGCATTGGTCAATTGTAACATTGTCACATTCAGCCTATTGGAAATGATCGTCAAAATAGTTCATAGTTCTTGTGTAACTGTAATTGGGGAATGGCCGTGACTATTCGATACCTCTTGTAACTGTTGCTAAGGGATGATTAAAACACACAGGAGCTACCTGAAAAATACTATTGTCACTATACATAGGTTTATCCATACACAAGGTGATAGCTAGTCATGAAGTATTTATCAACACCCTCTGACAAATGGGCGTTGGTATGTCTTTGAAAATCTAGCACAGGTTTCTAAGAGCCGTCCGCAGTTTTAGTTACTACAATATATCTTGGATATAAAAGACAGGGATTCTACCTTCCTTCAGATTATCTTTGCAGTATACGACTTGCCCCGCAGTCTTCTGTTATGCTCTTTAAACGATATTTTTAAATGGCCTTTCTACTAAATTTCTATTTGTAGGTTAACATCTTTGGTATTAAAAACATTGTGTCATGCCAAGGATCTGAGTTACGTGGATAAGGAACTCATTAATACTGGTTTTCTATGGTTGTTAGATCAGGTAGATGAAGAAGGGCGACCAGCAAACGACCAGATAACTCCAGAGGTAACGAACACTCAGTAATTACTTACTGTAGATAATTCTTATAGCACGTTCGTGCTAAATGTGATTACATCTGATTGTAAGGTTGTGCTAAATGTGATTACATCTGATTGCAGGTTTGTGCTAATATAATGATTACACCTGATTACAAGTTTGTGCTAAATATGAATCCCAGGGCCTATTTTAACGTACCTACAGACACGAACGTGCCTCTGGATTCATATGTCCGTGCTTTGACAATCTGAAATCGTGCTTTGAAAAAATTCTATGTAGCCTTGTGAATCTGGCAAGATTGTATGGGGAAACGTAGCTGTCATTATGATCATCGACCACTTTCAATTTCTATTTCAAAAGTTTTGTATTGTTCGCGTATTCCCACCACCACCTAAAGCGCGAAAATTACATAGCAAAACATCGTCAGGTGCCCTTGGGTCGACTTTGGATGCTTCTTTGGACTGTTGGTACTGAAACACGATTATAAATATTTTAATTCTTTTGTATTTCGGTTATAAAAGTGTAAGCGTGACATCATGTTATCGGAAATCAAATTCTGGAATTTTCACGCAACCCCAAAACACCGGACACCGTGTTTCGCCAATAAAACTTTAAAATAGGCCCCGTTGAATCCTATTGCGCTAATTTTGCGTTTCCGTCAGACCATCTTAAAGGCAATAGTGCTTCGCTTTATGATGAATTGAAGGAATACCATTTACCTAATAGCACGTTAAAGGGCATTTTAAAATTGGATCATGTGCAAACGAAAAGTTCGCAAACACTTAGAGCCGACACTTGTATCATATCATAACTCTACATGTCTTTTCTTCACAGGATTCCCATGAATATGCTGTTATGCTAGCAGCCGAGATATTGATTGCTTTAAAGGAGTGTGAGGCTAAGGACATGTTAAAAGAAGAGTATTTTGTAAGTAGATAGTTGATATATTCTGCTGCCATGTAAGCCTTGAAACAGGCATTATGCAAGAGCTAAATCTGTCCATTGTAGGTCTTTCTTTAGGTCTTAAATCATAAACAACTCTTAATGCCATCGGATGGGTCCTATTTTAATTAGGTTAGAACTGTTCGACCATTTAATGATTTGATTTAAAAATGATGAAGTGAGGCTAAGCCTCGAACAACACGTGCGGCGGTTATAATCAGTACACACCTCTTTTCGAACCTTAAAGGGCTAATATCTTCACTCAGAATAAAATATATTCATTTTGCATTATCTATTTTTGAACTAGTTTCGCAAGAACGAAATAATTATATAAGACTGGAATTGTGTACTTAGGGGGCTCCGTATGATTGCATGGAATAAAACATTTGAGCCAGAATTGTTAAATTGGAAAGGTGCCGGGGGACATTTTTGTATACGCCCACGTTGAAATGAGCTTAGTATGTTCGCCACCCCTGGTCAGAGTTCATAAGCGGCCAAAGTTATCATCTGATTGACTAAACTTTTATACATAGTGTTTATGACCATAGTGTTTATGTGTTTATGCCCATAGTGTTTATGCCCATAGTGTTTATGTTTCCATTGAATTGACAACTATTTTTTATGTTCCTAAAATGAAGACCCCTATTCATTTTTAATGATTTTCGATAAACTGTCAGATGTATGGCTCTTAGTGAAGTAAAAGAGTTCTTGTGTGTGCTCTAAACGGGAATTGGAATAAGAGTATGCCTCATAACAGACTGGCAATTGCAATGTGTTTATTAGCGCAACAGGAGCCAAAAAATAATACGTTACAGACCATTTCATTTCAAATTCATTAACAATATAATAATTGTGAATTATAGGAAGATTTATTAGGTCTAGAGATCCGTATGTTGTCATTCATCGAAGAAAATATCGACAACGTCAGTAATTCTATGGCTTTATCTAAAATGGCGTATGCCCTTCAGTTGTCAGATAGCCCAGATGTTGACTGTGTCGTTAAGAAGATGGTCCGAGCTGGAAAATCCTCTTCCGGTGAGCACGGTAAGAATTCAATCAATTTAATTTAAAATTTAGTCGGTTACAATGAAGACATTATTCCGTTATATAGCGAAGTCATTAATCCGTCATATAGAAAAAACATTATTCCGTTATATAACGAAGTCATTAATCTGGCATATAGAGAAGATATTATTCGGATACAATGAAGACATTATTCCATTATATAGTGAAGTGAATATTCCGTCATATAGAGAAGACATTATTCAGTTACAAGAAAGACATTATTCCGTTATATAGCGAAGTCATTAATCCGCCATATAGAGAAGACATTATTCGGTTACAATGTTATTTCGTTATATACTGATGTCAATCAATATTCCGTCACATAGAGAAGACAGTATTCAGTTACAATGAAGACATTATAAGTATAGTGTGGACGTTATTCCATTAATTATGGTAATTATGGTGAAGACATTCCGTTACATTGTGGTGTCATTATTCCGTAATATGACGAATTCATAATAGTGAAGTCATCATAAAGGGAAGACATTATTCCATTATATAGAGGAGACATTATTTCATTAAATGGTGGGAACATTATTTTATTAAATGGTGATGACAATATTCCGTTATACGGCGGCTACATTATTCCATTATATAGGGAAGACATTATTCCGTTATGCGGAATAATGTCCACCAGACACAAGAAAGGGCGTAATAGCAGTCGAATAATGAAATAAATGATGAATGTAGGTTAACTATTCTTTATTTTGTTGTAGCGTGTTGTCATTTTAATTGATAGTTATATGTCTCTTACTTAACAATAGTTTTTGATATTTGACTATTTCTGTTTCAGGTGTAACTTACTGGACAGAACATCGTGTGTCTGATGGTAAACCATACTGGTATCGTCAAAGTGCTGATGCCTTTTCTATTGAATCAACGGCTTATGCACTGCTTGTGTACATCCGCCATAGAAAACTAGATCCCCACTCATTAGCCGATTGGTTGATTCGTCAGAGAAATGCTCATGGTGGATTTGTTAGTCCTACAGTATGTTGATCGTTGTTTTGTTTTGCAAATTCACATGATAAGTTACCCTGAGAGTTGTGGGCCCTAGAGTAGTCATGTTATTTTGGATGTGTTTGATAGAAGCTAATGTAATCGAAGTCATTTATACGTAGGCCTGATGGGGGTTTCTTTGGCCATCGGTACATAGGCCTAGTGCGGCTTTCTTGGGCCCTCGATACACAGAGGTTTTCATGAACCTTCGCCACATAGGCCCAATGTGGCTTTCTTGACAACATCACATCGGGGGTTTATGATGCTACCGTCACATTATTAACTGCTAAATTAAAGACAAGATTTGTGGGCTAATCAATGTATTGGTGGACATTTCATAACCAAGGAAATGCAGCTTACATATTTCCAAATGTCTGGCAGTATAATTAATTATTATGCAGCGTCGGTCATGAAAATGATGATATGTTTTATTATTACTTTAATAGGATACAGCGATAGCAATTCAGGCCTTGGCAGAATTCTCCTCATTAAAACATTCACCTACAACAGATCTTCGTCTTGAGATATCATCAGACTCATCTATAAATTATAATCACGTGATTGCCTTTAATCAAGAAGATGCTATTGATCTGAAATATCTAATGGATGTAAGTATGTTAAAATTATTTGGAAGTCATTTAAAGGAGCTAAATCGCTAATATTTGGGACCAAGAAATGGACACAAAAGGTCGCAAGTTATACAATAATTAAATATCAATGTATATAAACTGATTTCAAATCAGTTATGTTCGGCAAAATACGCCAGAAGTCTCAATCGAATGGCAATCTCCAAATAAGAATATGGGTCACCGTTTGACATGACTTCTGAAATATGTCGAGCCTCGTTCTTCCAGTCCCTTGTTATAAATGGCACTGAAAAGCATTATGGTACACGATTTGTGTACCAATGGTAAAATGTTTATTTTGTCTTACATACTGGATATCTTTCCCGGTAAGATCACAACATCAATGTTGATTTAAATTGACAAATAATTCATGTTTTCAATGTCGAAGACTTTGGATGATATTGACTTAGAGACTTAGATTCTTTAAACTCTCAAAAAATACAGTGGCTAGGCCTCGTAGAGACCTGGAAAGGGCCCATTGATTTTTGATAGATTTTAATAATCACGTAAAATATCTAAACACTAAAATAATATTGATATATTAAACCCAATCGGGCTCTTGTTTTACTTCTCTACTTTTGATAACTCTGATTATATTCATCTTAATTAAGGTTCCTGTAGGAGAAAAGATTAATCTTAAAACTAATGGAACCGGTTTGGGACAGGTTCAAATTAACGTAGCTTATAATGTCCCTACGGCACCAAATGATAACTGTATGTATGAACTCAAAGTAACGAGAAAAAGGGCACGTATACCAAGGGAAAAAAAAGACAACGAGTAAGTATGGAATAGAAGTTTTGTTTATATGTTATCATCATTCATCGTTCACAATTTTTTGTGAACATTATATAGTCTTTGTTTAGTATCCGATCTTTTTAAGATCTAGAAACGGTTTTTCATCAGTGAGAAGTATTATTTTAGCAACCTCTATTGTCTACTACCAGATCGATAGGCCTAATTTCCCTTGACCGCTTGACAAACGGCGATCACTCGGCAGACTCCGGTACCCAACATCTAGCCTCGGCTGTATGATGGTAAGTGATATGTAGCTACACCCATACAATTCCGGTGCCTCCTACCGGTGTACTTATTAGGAAAACTAGTTCCAATGGCGGAATTCGTCATACAGCCGAAGGTAGATGTAGGGTCCGGCGTCTGCCGAGGTTTTCTGAGTGAAACGGCGATCTGCTTGATGTGTATATGCCTTGTGTAGATTAGTGAAGCACAGAAGGCTGTCAAATTTCAACTATTTCCATTAATTACCTCTGCAATTATGGTCCGTGGTGCACATGATTACTTTGTAGAATCTTTAACAACACAATTATTAATTACTAATAGTTTCGTTATTGCCCCTGATTATTGCCAACACCCATTGGTATGTTAGAGTATAAAACAATTATTTACCGCAGGAATTTTAAATTGATTGTTCGATGCTTTTAGAAAAGTTAAATGGACAAGACATCAGCCACGTTGTTGTCTTGTTGTAAGATAAAAGAATGCATTAAAAAAAAGAGAAATACGCGATTTTGTTGTAATTGGTATTCGGACAACGTACAGGAATATATAGTGTAAACTTCCCAATTATGAAAATTGTTTAAATTGTTTTCTTTTTATACGTCCACATGGAAATTTAGTCATATATTGCCGTCGCTCTGATCATTTTGAAATTTGTTGTTTACATTAGTCGACGATGAGGCCTATTTCCGTAATTTCCGTTTATAGCTTCTAGAACCCTGAACCCCGTGAACGCTCTTTCAAGAAAAACTCCAACCCGATATGTTTGAATTTTATATGCATTAATACATTATTCAGATCAGTAAATCGAAGAAGTCTATTAAATTTCAACAATTTCCGTTAATTACTTCTAGAGTTATGACCCTTGTTTCCCCTTTCATCCAATCTTAATTAAATTAATATGCATTATTTAGACTAGTAAAACCAAGAAGCAAATTGACTTTCGACAATTCCGATTAATTACTTATATAGTTAAGGTCCATGTTTCAATCTGTTGTTAAACACCCTGTGAACGTTCTAATGACAAAAATTACCATCGTATCTATATTTATATGCATTATTTAGATTAGTAAACTGAAGAATCCTATTGAATTTCAGCAATTTCCATTAAATACTTATAGAGTTATGGATCTTGTTGAACCGTTTGTGAACGCTCTAGCGACAAATGTCATAATTCAGTTGATATCTATATCTTGAAATGCTCCCATTACCTACAAAAAACTAAATATGCTACGACCCTTGTCAACTGATAGAACGATTTAGCTGCTGTGGGCGTATGTTTTATTGTCTGGCATCCTATTTTATTTTTATTTAAGGACATCATTGTGTAATTACTGTACTGCTGGCTGTCGTATAGTCGATAAAGAAAATGATGAAATTAATACAAGTGATCTGAAATCAAAAGCCAAAAAAGGATTAAGGGCAAAAAGGGACATGAGAACTCCCCCTGGCGAGCTTGAGAGGGAGTGGGAACCGTTGAGAAATCGCCGATATAGAGATCGTCACGAGACAAACAGACAGAGGAATCGAGATCGACAGAGAGATGGAAATCGAAGAAGAACTCGAGCAAATCGAAGAAGAACTCGAGCAAATCGAAGAAGAACTCTAGCAAATCGAAGAAGAACTCTAGCAAATCGAAGAAAAACTCAACCAAATCGAAGAAGTAGCGACAAACCATCAGTCTCTAGTGTTACACTATGTCTAGAGATATGTCTACGGTAGGGTTCGTTTATCCATTTATTATATTAAACTCTTGGTTTTAAAGAATTACTTGGAATGTTTTGGCTAGACCCAAGAAGTAATCCTGCCGAAATTCAGATACTCTCAATGATTGATCGCAGAGTTACTGCCCCTGCTACCGAGACCTTGTAAATGCCCAATACGCCCGAGTTATTGAGACTTTTCTTCAATCTTGCTGGGAATGTTCGGATAATTGTTAGACATGAGGACCCTGTTGAAATTCAGGTGAAGCCCATCAAATCTATACGTTGTTATTGCCCCTGATACAATATACCAGAATATAGAGAATCCAAAATTCAGCAGCACGATTGTTAACAGGCAGCAGGAAGTACCAACACATAACACCAGTCTTGAAACAACTCCATTGGCCCCCATTAAGCAGAGAATTGTGATCAAAATACTTCTGCGTACCTTCAAATCTTACAGTTTTGTTGATACCGTATGCATGCAACAGAACATTGAGGTCGTCAGACAAAAAACTATTGACAATACCGCCGATACATCTCGAAAAAACAAAACGATCTTTTTGGTTTGCAGCACCCTACTTGTGGAACTCCATCCCCCACCATATTCGATTAATATCAACACTGCTTTCCAAGACCAGTATTGAAAACTTTTCCTAGCGCAATAGAAACTTTAAAGGGACTATCCCGATTTGAAAAGACTCTCAAAAATAAAAGTCCGAGTACGTATGAAATTTAAGCGCCAAAATATAGAGGAATGGTGTATGTACCTGTCTCCAAATTTCAGCTCAAAATATTGAGTCGTGTGGACGTGAACGTCAAAACAAGTAACCCTTTTGAGATTTCAGAATGTTTTCGTTGGGTGACCTGATAATCGATTTCCGTTCCTTGAGAGGTATATACAGTGAATGACCCATGTTGTGTAAATTTCAACTACACATTATTTTTATTTAAAATAATGTCTAGTTTTATCCAGACACCGCATAATATAGCTTGGGTCACGGGTTTCCATTTCCAGATGAAGACTGGCGGGTTTAAGTTGTGTGAAAACGTATGACATATTGATTTAGTTGCTCGGCCCTTAGATAGAGGATTTTAAGGGATTTTAAAACAAAATTAAGCAATTTTATTCTCCAAAAATATTATCGGGATTAGCCCTTTAATTAGTATTGTTGCGTGAACATAAATTTAGATATATAATTATTGTTATAGTATTTTCAAGCTGGCTGGGATTTTTCGGCTAATTGTAGAGCAGGAAACTGTTGAACTTGAGATTAAACCCATCAAGTCTATGCGTTGTTATTGTCACTGACAGTAGAGACTTTTGGCAAACGTAAATTACTGGTCCGTATCGCGTATCCGTAACGATTTTGCGTGTGACGTCATGAATGCGTGTGTATTTCTCAAACGTGATACGGCACACGGATACGACAGCACGTATCGAACAGCTTTCATACGGAAAAGGTCCGTATAACATCGTCGTCTTTTTACCGTATGTTTTGCTACTTTTAGACGCTGAAATATTGTGCCGTAGAGTTTTCTGTGAATCTATGTGTATCCTAGAACACGAAGGTGTATATTTGACGTGATTTTAACCATGGCAAAGACTGGAATTTAATCATTACTTTTGATGAGCTTTTCGCGGAATTTTCGTATTTTTCCTGTCTGTCTGCACGCTGGTTGATCTACGTGCTAGATTAGGGAGATGGGGCCTTGCAAATCTGTAAAAGGGGTATATACTTTTTGAAATGATACATTAGTGAAACCAAAATTATTTTTTTAAATAACTCAGCGACTGTCGAACGACTTGACACCCTTCAGGAATTTGTAGACTTGACTAGTAGTGATGTTGATCTTGGTAGATAACTGCCATTATGCTGTAACAGAACTACGCTCAGCTCAGCTACCCATACGTACGCGGCGCGAAAATCTGCCAAAACTCTAAAACTAAATTAACGCAACGTATCACGTGACGATACGGATACGTTATACGGATGGGAATAATTTGAAAACATTGCGTCAAAAAGCTGCAGGCAGTGATGACGAGGCTAGTGTCGTAACTGATTTTAATTTGGTTTGACAAGGAGTCACATGGGGGTATCTTAGCAACACTGTACCTCTGATGTGTAGAGAACCGTTTCGTTACAGCCTTTAAACAATCAGACATTAGAGACTTTTGGTAAGCCGAATTTTCCCATCCGTATCACGTATCCGTATCGTACACGTGATACGTTGCGTCAAAGTAATTTTCGAATTCTGGCAGATTTTTGCGTCGGGTACGTATGCGTCGATGAACTGAGCTTAGTTCTATTACAGCATGATGGCAGATATCTACAAAGATCACCATCAGTTCTAGTCAAGTGCCTAGTATAGTCTACAATTTCCCGGAGGGAATGAAGTCGCTCGACAGTCGCTGAGCTATTAAAAAAATTAATGTCGAATCTTATTAAAAAATCTTCGACTTCGACTCGACTGTAATTTTTGGTTTCACTAATGTATCATTTTAGAAAGTTAATACCCCATTCCCACAGAATAAAATCATTTTCAGATTTGCAAGGTTCCACCTCCCTAAATTTAGCAAGTAGATCAACCATCATGGTTAAAATCACATCAAATATACACCTTCGTGTTCTAGAATACACAACATTTCAGCGTCTAAAAGTAGCAAAAAAGACACGACAATGTTATACGGACCTTTTCCGTATAAAAGCTGTTCGATACGTGCTGTCGTATCCGTGTGCCGTATCACGTATGAAATATACACACACATTGATGACGTCACACACAAAATCCATACGGATACGCGATGCGGACCAGAAATTTACGCTTGCCAAAAGTCTCTATTATATGTTCATTCAGTTAGTGGATCAGTTAGTTATAGTGAATATTAATTCAGTTAGTGATGGGTAATGAGTGGATGTTAATTCAGTTAGTGATGTGTAATGAGTGGATGTTAATACAGTTAGTGATGTGTAATGTGTGGATGTTAGTTCAGTTAGTGATGTGTAATGAGTGGATGTTAATTCAGTTAGTGATGGGTCATGAGTGGGTGTTAATTCCGTTAGTGATGATTACTGAGTGGTACTGATGGGTAATCTGTGGATGTTAATTCAGTTACTGATGGGTAATCTGTGGATGTTAATTTAGTTAGTGATGTGTAATATGTGGATGTTAATTCAGTTAGTGATGTGTAATGTGTGGATGGGTAATCTGTGGATGTTAATTCAGTTACTGATGGGTAATCTGTGGATGTTAATTTAGTTAGTGGATGGGTAATCTGTGGATGTTAATTCAGTTACTGATGGGTAATCTGTGGATGTTAATTTAGTTAGTGATGTGTAATATGTGGATGTTAATTCAGTTAGTGATGAGTAATGAGTGGATGTTAATTCAGTTACTGATGGGTAATCTGTGGATGTTAATTCAGTTAGTGATGTGTAATATGTGGATGTTAATTCAGTTAGTGATGTGTAATGAGTTGATGTTAATTCAGTTAGCAATGATTATTGAGTGGATGTTAATTCAGTTAGTAATGGGTAACGAGTGAATGTTAAATCTGACGTACACTATCAACTGTTGAATACGGTCGGTTTTCCTGGGATTCCATGGCGGTTCTAGTGAGTGAAAAGCTGGCTTATTAACACGGGTTTTTCTATCGTGGTTTCCCTTTGTCAGGGGGATGCTCTAACAAGGACCAGTCGTACGGATCCGACGAAAAACCTAGGTCCCGTGTACACGTCGGCGTCCACGTAAAAGAACCCTTGTCAGTTGGAAATACAAGTGGGTCATAGCGCCGTTGTCTCGATAAAACTTCCCTCATATCAGTTATCACACTTTACCCAAATTGTAACCCTTTTATGTTTTATATAGATATCGTGGTACATCAAAGAGTGGGCCAACAAGAGTTGAAATAGATATGTTAAGTGGATTTGAACCAATAACTGAAGATTTGAATCTGGTAGGTTGGCATACTGCACGCAGCGATCCATCTACCTCATACTTCGAGAATACATCACTACCCTAAATGCCGTCCATTTATAACGCTCACGTGATCATTTTGAGGCGGGACTTATCGACTGGCCTACTGCTTTGTACACCCGAAGCACTGGTTTATGTAAACAAATGTTAAGTTAGCAAAATGTCGACTTCTGCCACTCCGGTAAAAGCGATATAATATATGTACTAGTGGGTAATATTGCAATACAGTCTTTACCATTGTAAACTGTCTTTACAGTTTCAATCTGTTTATCTTTCAAAGTTAGATACTCCTAAATTTGTCTCCGCAAACAAAACTGCTTCTGTGAAATGATCTTTCATGGGCGCCGCCATATTGAATAATTAGTGGTCAATGCCGGTCAATCAGGTTATGGCCTGTTCTCAGGCGGAGCTAGCTGTAGACAGGCAGCCTCAGTTTGGGATGGTAGGTTGGTTACATTTGGAATATTATTAAAGTATACATTTATATACAGCCATATCGTAAACTGTTGTAATAATTAAATCGGCATTTCCACTTTTGATTACAATAGTGAAACAAAATGTAATTAATTAGAAATTAGTAAATTAATATTCAAGAAACAAACACGTAACCTCATTAAAGAGTACATAAAATGACCATATGAAAGTGGTATATGTTAATTGTATACACTTACAGCAATAAACAATATTTTTGTTTCAGTTAAAATCGTTGAGTGAGGAACGAGTTAGAACATACAGAGATGATTATGGTTTGGTTATAATTTATCTAGACGAGGTTTGTTACTAATCCTCTTATTTAACTATAGTGGCGACCACGTGTTGAAACTTTCTACATTAAGATATATCGAGGTGGTGGGGATGGGGGGACGGGATTATTCTGTGGCTTACTAGAGTGAGCGGGGGCATCAATCATTCTGTAGCTCACATGTAGGGGTGAGTGTGTTTGTGTGTTGGGGGGAGGGGGCAATCATTATGTAGCTTATAAGAGCAAGATGTGGGGGGTAATTTGATATTTACGGTACTGTACGTTTACACATCTCTACCATTTTATCCAATATAATTTGTATCTTCCTCTTCAAGAAATAGTTTTAATGATTTGCTGATATGTTCACTGAAGTTTGATAACTTCCAAACCAATCATCTGCCGGATCCGGTAAAGTTGAATAACAACAGCAAGTGCACTCACACCGCAGTGAAAATCACATCAAGGTAAATTGTTAATAAACACCCTTCACTGCCGTCTCGTTAAATGACAAGCCAGGTATGATAGTTTTGAAGAAACTACAAGCAGGTATACTTGGTAAGGCAATAGGGAGACATCTAAGTGAATGCTGCCATTCCATTATGTACAATTCATTATTTTAATTTCAGGTTCCTAACAAAGAAACTCTGTGTCTAAATTTTAGAATAAAAGAAAAAGCTGAAGAGATTGTAAAATTCCGCCAACCAGCATCAGTAGTTGTTGTACAACCATCGAAACCAGGTATTGAAGCAGATTTCGTAAAATTTCAGATCCAAATCGTCGATTTTATAATTATTAAACAAAATAATTGACACCAACTCGAGGATTTATTTCACTTTCGAGCGCGACCCGTGTCTTGATTCTAAACTCGCGATTACCGTAAATACGACATTATTCAAGAACAACTTTATTATAAATATGCTGGTGTGTAGGTTGACAATCACTTATTGGTGCAGGAATAATTTGACACAACTGCTACTCATCCTGTTGTTCGTGTCCTTCAAGTACGAGTCTTGTTCCTTGGACAATTGTGCATCGATTGACGGAATTTCGAATTCCAAGATGGCCGCGATGATGTCATGCTCTATTCCTAGTCCATATAGTACATGTATTCTGTAACCTTACTCTGGTGTTGCTATTTATACGCAAATCGAAATGAACACGTGCAACGTTTAAATCGAATTGTCTTTGTCTCTTTCTAAAAGGAGTGGTTTGAATGCTTATCATATAATTATACTTTTGTTTATTCAATTGGTATTTAAAGTATGCTTTATTTGTTTTATTTACAGAAGAAATATGTCTACAGAATTATGATTCTGGTAATTCTGAAGACACATTACCTATGTATTGTATTGGTGAAGAAAATCGATATAAAGGAGAATGTACTTGTTTCTCTGGTAAATCATTACAGATACATTTTATAACAAGAAAAATAACTATTATGTTTTACAAGACGAATAATCCGATACCAGTCTCGATCATTTAGTTTATTCATTGTTTGAAATTATGAATGATAGAGATTAATATCTCGAACCAAGGCTTTTTTACGATATTTATTTCACTTAGTGTCACCCATTATGCCATAGATATTGTTAAACTTGACCAACTGGATAGTCCCTGTCACTTTGTATGTCCATTGGGAGGTATTAAAATATATATATAAAGATAATTTCAGTCGGATTTATAATGACCAGAAAATGGCGTGTTACGTTTTCGAGAGGCAACACAAATTTTTATACATGTTGAACCTGGGTCATACAATTATTGCAAGCAGTCCGTATAAATATGGAACTAAATTTAACTTTTGGTTTTGTTTTAGGAGAGTGTGGTACCTGTCATAAAAAGGCCATGGGCATAGCAAAACTTAAAGATATATTTTGCAAATCAGATTACGGTAAGTTGGTAATTTGAGAAATAAGCTTGATCATCCAGCTTTAATACAAAATAGAGATAATAATTATTTATATTCTTCAATATGAAAAACAAGTCTAAATATTATTACTGCGAAAGATGTGCAAAAAAGCCAAGTTTTTAATTTTACGCCTATTTGTTAATTGAATCCATTGGACGTTGTTTTTATACACCCACATTGAAATGTGGACGTATATTGCCGTCGCCCCCGTCCGTCCGTCTGTCGGTCGGTCGGTCCGTCCGTCCGTCCGTCCATCGTCCACAATTTCTTGTGAACGCTCTAAAGTTATCATCCAATTGTTTTAAAATTGATGTATGTTGTTTACATTAGTGAAACGAAGAAGTCTATTGAATTTCAATAATTTCTGTTTATTACGTCTAGAGTTATGGCCCTTGTTTCACTTTATTGAACCTTGTGAACGCTCTAACTCCAAAAGTTATCATTCGATCTTTCTGAAATTCATATGCATTATTTGAATTAGTGACACGAAGAAGCCTATTGAATTTTAGCAATTTCTGTTTACTACATCTAGAGTTATGGCCCTTGTTTCACTTTATTGAACCTTGTGAACGCTCTAAAGTCAAAAGTTATCATCCGATCTTTCTGATATTTATATGCATTATTTAGATTATTGAAACGAAGAAGCCTATTGAATTTCAGCAATTTCCGTTTATTATGTCTAGAGTTATGGCCCTTGTTTCACTTTATTGGTCCTTGTGATCGCTCTAACGTCAAAATTATCATCCAATCTTTCTGATATTTATATGCATTATTTAGAGTATTGAAACGAAGAAGCCTATTGAATTTCAGCAATTTCCGTTTATTATGTCTCGAGTTATGGCCCTTGTTTCACTTTATTGGTCCTTGTGAACGCTCTAACGTTAAAAGTTATCATTCGATCTTTCTGAAAATTATATGCATTATTTAAATTAGTGAGACGAAGAATCCTATTGAATGGCCCTTGTTTCACGTTGTTGATCCTTGTGAACGTTCTAACACCAAAAGTTACCACCCGATCTTTGTGAAATTTATAGGCATGATTTAAATTAGTGAAACGAAAAAGCCTATAGTATTTCAGCAATTTACAATAATTACTTCTAGAGTTATTGCCCTTGTTTCACTTTGTTAAATCTTGTGAACACTCTAATGACAACAGTTATCATCCGATATGTATATGAAATTTATATGCATCATTTAAATTAGTGAAACGAAAAAGCCTATAGTATTTCAGCAATTTACAATAATTACTTCTAGAGTTATTGCCCTTGTTTCACTTTGTTGAATCTTGTGAACACTCTATTGACAACAGTTATCATCCGATATGTATGAAATTTATATGCATCATTTAAATTTGTGAAACAGGTCTATTGAATTTCAGTAATTTCCGTCAATAATTTCTAGAGTTATGGCGATTGTGAACGTTGCAATGACAAAAGTGGTCATGTGACCTGTATGAAATTTATATGCATTATTTAAATTAGTAAAATGAAAAAGCCTGTCAAATTTCAACAATTTCTGTAGATTACTTCCAGAGTTGAGACCCTTGTTTCAGTTTGTAGAACCTTTGTAAACCCTCAAACGACAAAATTTTATAATCTCATCTGTATGAAACTGTCTTGTAAAGGCCTCCAATTACCTACAAAGGAATAAATATGCGACAACCCTTGACGACCGCCCGGACGATTTAGCTGCTGTGGGCGTATGTTTTGTTGCCTGGCAACCTATCTTTAATTTTATTAGATTTATCTGCTGCTTTCGACACGGTGGATCCTTCTATTCTTTTACCTAGATATTTTAAATTCGGCATTTGTGACTCTGCATTAAATCTTTTAGAAAGCTATCTTGTTGGTAGAAAACAATGTATTTTAGTTAATTGTAAATCGTCGACTGAATCTGTTTTGTCATCTGGGGTTCCTCAATGTTCTGCTCTTGGTTCGATTTTATTTACCCTTTATACGTCACCATTAGGTGATTTTGTCAGAAATTATGATCTCAGCTTTCATTTGTATGCCGATGATACGCAGTTATATATACTATTCAAAAAAAGTAGGGGATATTTGATTTTTAAGTGTTATTAAAGTCACCTAATGAAACTGACGAAGAAACAAATGACAAAATGAAATGAAGTTCACATTCATCGATTTATTCCAAATGATCGTTAGACTAAGTAAGGCACAGACTGACCATTATAAGGGTAAAATGATACCCGGACTCAAAAGGCAAAGTTACCACAGCATCACAACCAAGTCAGTAACGGGTAAATCCTCCTCTGTTTGCCAAACAAGCATTGATCCGACGTGGCATACTCCAGATTGTCCCATTCCTGTTGCAACGCAGCAGCAAGTTCTTGGACATTGGCAGGACGTTGTTGACGTTGACGTAACCTCTGTCCAAGCATGTCCCAGACATGCTCGATGGGGGAGAGGTCGGGACTCAGTGCTGGCCAAGGTAATGTGGTGATGTTCTGTTGTTGGAGGTAACCTGTAACGATCCTGGCACTGTGACATCTTGCGGTGTCATCCTGGAAGATGAAACGGCGGCCATGACGTCGTGCGAACGGCACAACATGGACTGCCAAGATGTTGTCCCGGTAGTACTGGCCTGTAACACGCCCTGCAACAACATGTAAAGCCGTTCTTCCAGCAACAGTGATGCCTCCCCACACCATAACAGAACCACCCCCAAATCGATCATGTCTGATGACGTTAACGTCTTGGAAGCGCTCGTTTCGACGACGCCACACCCTCCTACGTCTGTCCAAAAAATCAACAGTGAACCTTGACTCATCTGAAAACATCACATTGCTCCAGCGTCGATTATCCCAGTGTTGACGATCCCTACACAAACCTATCCAACCTCGTGGGTTTTCTCCGGGTCCTCCGGTTTCCTCCCACTGCTAAAGACCCCTACGCGCAAGCGAATTATGTAAATAAAATTAAACCATATGTTAGTCCCGAAATGACCTAGTTTGTGTCGAGTGGACGTTAAACCCCATTTCTCTCTCTCTCCCTACACCAACGACGTCTTGCCTGAATGTGATGATCTCTCAAACAAGGGATCACGCGAGGACGTCGGACGCGAAGGTGACCCCTATGCAGTCGATTCCGAATCGTCTGGCCACTCACTCTCACACCAGTGTCTGTTTGAAGACGAGCGCTGATCTGATTTGCTGTGATGACACGATTTCTCAAGGCCAAGGTACGGATAAATCGATCCTGGGCTTGAGTTGTCGCCCTTGGTCGACCTGAGCGTGGTCTGTCCTGTACAGATTGTGTATCACGGTATCTGGACCATAGCCTGCTTATGACAGACTGAGAAACATTCATCGTCCGCGCCACAACCGCCTGTGTTGTGCCGATCTGTAGCATGCCAAGGGCACGTAACCTTTCATTTTGGGTAAGCCGACGCATATCAAAATTTGTTTTCTGGTCACTAAAACACTTAAACTGATGTTTCCACCCTGGAATTCAATGCCACAATGACTGTAACATTCAAAGTCAGAGTCGTGCAAATCTTGGGTTGGACCCCCATGATGATCCCAAGCATCACCTGCATTCCATGCGGTAGCTATTGGTGCGTTTGGGCGTCACATGTAACTGGAAATGTTTCGTCTGTTAGGTTCTATAGTGACTTTTTTCGTAGTCATTTGCATATTTTAGTATTATGCCCCCAAAATCAAATATCCCCTACTTTTTTTGAATAGTATATTTCATTTACACCTAATTGTCCATCTTCTTTCAATTTATAAAAATTGCAACTTGAGAACTGTATTAGTGAAATTTAAAAAATGGATGTCAAAGACCTTTCTAAAATTGAATGATGATAAAACCGAATATTTTTTATTAGGCTCAAGGCATCAGTTAAGTAAATTTGTACATGATAATTCCCTACTTTTTTTGAATAGTATATTTCATTTACACCTAATTGTCCATCTTCTTTCAATTTATAAAAATTGCAACTTGAGAACTGTATTAGTGAAATTTAAAAAATAGATGTCAAAGACCTTTCTAAAATTGAATGATGATAAAACCGAATATTTTTTATTAGGCTCAAGGCATCAGTTAAGTAAATTTGTACATGATAATTCCCGCTTTTATAATTGGTAATTGGGTATATTTTCATCTTATTCTATCCTTAATATTGGCACAATCTTTGATAGTTTTATACTTATGGGAGCTCAAATAAATAATATTTGTAAATTGTGCTATTTTAATATCAGAAATATAGGTAAAATACGTAAATTTGTAACTGTAGAGGCCACTATACGTCACTTGTTAATTCTCTGGTCATTTCTCTCTCTACAACTGTCCATAATCTTGTTGTTTATTTATGTTTACATTGTCAGTTTGTAAAATCCCCCTGGAACATGTTATATGAATATGCTGTAATAATAAAGGAAGAGTTTGATAACGTTCTATTTTTCTGCCCTACCGGTCGTAGCCCTAGGAATGTGCTGCGATAGGAAATTTGTCCTGACAGGGACGTTATTGCCAGTTGTATGCTACCCCCCCCCCCCCCACACACACACACACCTCCCCACAATCCCCCCTCCCCCTCCCCCGACTCAAGTATAGAGTGCAGTATTCAGAAACATGAGAAAGGAAGACATTTTAGATGTGAAAAAAAAAAATATTCAAATTCAGCAGGGCAGTGTGTTCAGCAAGGCAGCTATCAAACTTACAAAAACAGCCCTCCTAGCAACAAACAGTACAGTCAATCTAAAATGACACAATGAATGAACCAATGTTAACCCTACTAAATCTAATATTTTATTTATTTACAGCCTATCAAGTTGTACTAGAAAGTAAAATGCTAAACAAATCTTTCAGGCACGTCTCGGCTTCTTTAAAATCTGCGCCCATAAAAGGTGAGTCTTAAATTTTGTCTATTTTCAGTTGTCAAGAATTTTTGTATGATAGCTTGGTTTACTTTCTTACATTCATTAATATATTCAACATCTTTTTTTTTACTTTCTTGACATATTTCTTGAAATGAAATGAAATGGGGTTTAACGTCCTACTCAATTTGCTTTGATTACCTGTAGCCGGGTGTGGTGGAAGCACGTGTTTCGTTAGGAATGAAATGAAATGGGGTATAACGGTCTAATGAAGACGGGATACAGTGTGCTATGATGGAAATTTTGCCCGGGCAGCAATTCAGTTACAACTGTCAAGAGTTCTTTGAGAATAAAGAGCCACGGTGGCTCAGTGGTTCAAGACGACGGGCCTGGCAAGGGACAATGTAAAGTTGTTCGAATCGGACGAAAAACCGAGGTCCCGTGTAAACATTGGCATGCACATAAAAGAATCCTTGGCAGTTGGAATTCGATATAAGAGATGGTCGTAGTGCCTCTGTCTGGGCAAAATTTCCCTCCGCGCACTATATGGCGTATGCCCGTCTTCATTAGCACAGTACGACTTTAAACCCCATTATTTTCATTTACATTATAGTAATAATAATAAAAACGCCTATGCGATTTCATTGCCATGTCCTCCACCCTTCATCATTGACAATAAAGAGAAACTCCCGAATAACTTTTGCGGCCAACACCATGATCGAGCCCGGGACCTCCTGGTTATCTAGCCAGTGCCTTACAAACTCAGTCACCGCGGCTCTCCCTTTGCTGGGGATTTTTGATCATAAGCTCAACTTTAAATATTATTTTTCTAGGTACTCACGACATCAGTGAAGGGAAGCCATTATCTTTTACCACATCGCCATCTTGTACATGTCCTAATTATAAAGAAGGGTCATCAGTATGGGTGATGGGAAAGAATCCGTATCGATTTATAAACCAAGATAGAGAGGAGATGTAAGTATTTTCAATGACATACAGAAGATGCAATTGGACTTTAAAAACTTTGTAACAAGATAATGTAATAAAAGCTTTGTAATTCGATTAAGTAATTACGATCTGTAATGTTATACTACTGGCATAGAATGTACGTTGGCAAGTGTTACTGTTTGATTTGAGGACGTAACTCAATCGGCATTTCTTGATAAATCCGATAGTTTTGTCGAGTTTGTATTTATCCTCGGACATTTGGGACTGTATAATCTTGGTGTAGAGAGACACACTATAAAACAAATCACTTATCAGGTGAAATAGTTCCATGAAATATAGTATATTGACTATATATTGGAGGGAATCGACGGCTATATGCAGTTATTAATCCCATTTATTTATTTTCAATAACATATCCAAGGCGGGGCATGTTGATGACCGAGTCTGGAAAATATTCTTTATTTTATGATCAGTAGTGGAATACCGCGTTTTATCAGTGAAATAAAAGTGTTATTCCACTGGCTAGAAGCGGACAAAGTAGTCCATGTTGTTTTTACCTAAAATGATTGTAAAATCATAAAATAAATAGAACATTTGTCGTTTTGTCGTGAATAACATATTTTATTTCATCTCTAAGCAAGAAAACGTTTATATTTTCACTCATGCTACGCATTCGTGAAAATATAAGTTTTCTTGCTTCTCGATGAAATAAAATATGTTATTCACTCTAAAACGAAAAATATCCTCTATTTATTTCGATCCCGTTAGTTCATACCATGGGATATTTGATTTGCTGATATTTTAATGGCGTTTTATAGTTGCATTTTATTTTTTATTTTTTCAGATATCGATATATCATTGATGAAAGTACAACATTTCTCAGCGTCACAGCTAGAAGAACACCAGAATCTACCAGCAAGTCATATTTTAATATTGCTATAAATAGTTACGATAAAGATTGTGAAAACTGATTTTTTATCTTGTGGGCCCACACAACTCATTGCAACACACGATTTAAAAAATTGAGTTGCTCAATTCCACGAAAACGTGTAAAAATGCTTCGAAAAAAAACAATTATGTATACAATGTCTTCTTTTGAATGTATACATATGTAGTAATATGGATGGAATGGACACATCACTGTTCTCTAGATTATGATTGATTTTATTCATCGTCATCGAACATTCATTCACCATGGCTGAACTCGCAAGAACTTTCCTACACATGTCACATGATCAATAAACATCTATACTGGAGTTATCTCCCATTTTACAGTAACATGAATATTAACATGATTGCTGGACACATGTGACAATCGATCAAAATAGAGCTGATTTTGTTGGTTTTTTGGGTTGTTTTTTTTTTTGTAAATTTCTGATCCTAGAGTATAGAAATATATGATCTTTTCCTACCGAATCAAAATCCGACACACTTTATATTAAATAAAATTAAACTTAAAAATATTTCCCTGGGTAGATTACATAATGTCTTAACACAACTGTAGGTTAAATAATGTCTTGTCATCGATGTTCGTGGAAACAAATTAAACATCAAAATCGGATCTGAAATTAAAGATGCATTATGTAAGAACTAAATCTGCTCATTGCAGGCCTTTCTTTTGGCTTTACGTGTTAATGAAACTATTAATTAGACATTTATTTACACAACAAATCTATAATGGGCTCTCTAGAACAATCAACGCTAAATCTTGTCAAACCTTAAAACTGTTATAATTTCGCGGAGAATAAAGTAATTTGAATGAAATTATCCATAATCCAATATATTCATTTTTCATTATCTATATTTGAACTATTATAGCAAGAACGGGCAGCTCTTTGTCTAAATCTTTAATAAAAATGTATCATGACTGGTTTTGAATAATTTGTAATGTCATCAATTGGTATCTCGTATTTAAGAAAAAAATACGCATGCACTGCCTTTATATTTTTATTTTATTCTGATGTATTGTCTCTTTATCCATGTCAATATATTTAAGACCTACCCATGCTATGAACATTATATTATATTTAATGTTTATTCTATAAACTCTACAATGTAAATATATAAAGTATACTTATATTTTGTATTTGATATCTATTTTATTATAACAGTGAAATAAACATACTAATAAATATTACATATGCCCCAGCTAGACCTAGTACACCGTGCCAACAGCGCGAATCCTATGTTAGTGATTATAATGCTTGACAAACTCATGGATGTGGCTGGATATAAGCCCCCCCCCCCCCCACGAGGCAACACACAAAGGTTAGTCTGGTTTCCATCTATAATTAAAATAATTCTTGGCGTGTTTTATTTCCTAGTATTCAAACGGGTTTACGAATGCGGATTTGATTTCACAGAAGACTACACCTTCTGCTGTTTGTTTGATAGTTACCGGCGTTTTGGATTTGAAGAATGCACACCACCTGATACCGGGTTTGTGTATCTGTGTTTGGTTTTGAAAATCTTTAGGAAACAAATCGAATAGATTCTGAATGTGGCGAAAATCTGTATATTCGGATTCACCGCAATCCAGCAAGCCTGACTTTTACACTCCATTGTAAAAAAACCCTCAATTTCTACCGTGTTCAGCGAGTAAGACTGCCATTATGATAACCTATAAAAAAAACAGTGTCAATTTTCTGTTTAATAATTCACCTGAGGGTGGTGGTTCACGAAGGTCTCAAACATTCACAATACTGAATAGAAGTATCAAGTGGTAAATTCGATTATGTAATTAAGATCTGTAATGTTATACTACAGACATAGAATGTACGTTGGAAAGTGTTACTGTTTCATTTGAGGACGTAAAGCAATCGGCATTTCTTGATAAATACGATAGTTTTGTCGTATTTGTATTTATCCTGGGATATTTGGGATTGTATAATCCTGGTGTTGAGACCCACTATCACTAAACAGGTGAAATAGTTCCATGAAATATGGGGATCACGTGGCTAAGTGGGTAAGACGCTAGCTCGCTAGCCTGGAGGTCGGGTGTTCGATCCCTGCATTGGCCGAGAATGTTCATCCAGATTTTCCGGCGTGGTTCTCCCTTGTCAGTGATGCAGGATGGAGGGGCTGACAAGGAAAGCTGTCTAGTCGTTCGGATGGGACGAAAAACCGAGGTCCCGTGTACACATTGGCGTGCACGTAAAAGATCCCTTGGCAGTTGGAATTCGATATAAGAGTAGGCCGTAGTGCCGCTGCCCGGGCAAAATTTCCCTCATAGCACACTGTATGGCGTATACCCGTCTTCATTAGCCCAGGTTAGGAGCAGAACAGTAGGACGTTAAACCCCATTTCATTTCATTTCATTTTCATTTCCATGAAATATAGTATATTGACTACATATTGGAGGGAAACAACGGCTATATAGGCCTACATTTATTACTCCCATTTTTTAAAGAACATTTTACAATATGGTGGTTGATTACCGAGATTATTTATCTCTGCACTATCAATAACATATCCAAGGCGGAGCAAGTTCATGACCGAGTCTTGATAATATTTTTTATTTCGATCCCGTTATTTTATACCATGTGATATTTGTTTTGCTGATATTTTAATGGCGTTTTATAGTTGCATTTTATTTTTTATTTTTTCAGATATCGATATATTATTGATAAAAGCACCACATTTCTCAACGTCACAGCTAGAAGAACAGAAAAATCTACCAGAATGTCATATATTAAAACTGCTATAAATAGTTACGATAAAGTTTGTAAAAATTGATTGTTTATCTTGTGTGCCCACACATCTCATTGCAATACACGCTTTAAAAAATTGAGTTGCTCAATTTCACAAAAATGTGTAAAAATGCTTCGAAAACAACAATTATATATGTAAGATAGGATGAAAAGTATTGTTTAGACAAATATGTTTAGAAGATAAGGACAACAACTATAGGTTACATAATGTCTTAACACAACTGTAGGTTAAATAATGTCTTGACATCGATGTTCGTGGAAATAAATTAAACATCAAAATCGGATCTGAAATTAAAGTTGCATTATGTAAGAACTAAATCTGCCCATTGCAGGTCTTTCTTTTGTCTTTACATGTTAATGAAACTATTAACTAGACATTTGATTTACACAACAAATCTATAATGAGCTCTCCAGACCATCGGATGGTTGGGATGTAAATGGATTAAAACACCCGAAAGATTTAACAGATTAACAATAAAATGAATAACCGAGGTTACCGCATCTTCAATAGAAGGCTTAATCTCGCCTTAACTACGTACATCTTATCAAGCCCTTCACGTAATACCCCGCATATTTTGGCACTATTTTTGATTGGGTATAAGCCAAGCTTGTGATCCTATCAGATTCCTTCGTAAAAAAAAATGTTACGATTATCAAGTCTCGCGCTTATAGCTAAAATGTCTACATGTGACAATCGAGTTGCAAAGTTCAAGGTTCGATCAATGTCAAGGTTGCTGGAAATCATACCTGATCAACAAAGAGTTTCTATGGAGGCCGCCATATTTGTTTACAGTGTGTTATGTGCGACGACCCATGATTGGACAATGCTAATTAATCACGTGTAAACACAACGAGCGCAAAATTTCGGGAATTGCCCAGTACTGAAGCAACGGTTAGATGTTGCTAGGATGATAAACAATCAACGCTAAATCTTGTCAAACCTTAAAACTGTTATAATTTCGCACAGAATAAAATAATTTGAATGAAATTATCCATATATTTATGTTTCATTATCTATTTTTGAACTATTATAGCAAGAACGGACAGCCTTTTTGTCTAAATCTTTAATAAAAATGTATCATGACTAGTTTTGAATAATTTGTAATGTCATCAATTGGTATCACGGATTTGAGAAAAAAAATACGCTTGCACTGCCTTTATATTTTCATTATATTCTGGTGTGTTGTCTCTTTATCCATGTCAATATAATTAAGACCTACCCATGCTTTGAACATTATATCATATTTAATCTTTATTCTATAAACTCTACAATGTAAATAATTAAAGTACACTTATATTTTGTATTTGATATCTATTTTATTATAACAGTGAAATAAACATCCTAATAAATATTACATATGCCCCAGCTAGACCCAGTATACCGTGTCAACAGCACGAATTCTATCTTAGTGTTTATAATGCTGGTCAAACTCATGGATGTGGCTGGATATAAGCCCCCCCCCCCCCCCCACGCGGCAACACACAAAGGTTAGTCTGGTTTCATCTATAATTAAAATAATTCTCGGCGTGTTTTATTTCCTAGCATTCAAACGGTTTTACGAATGCGAATTTGATTCCACAGAAGGCTACACCTTCTGCTGTTGATTTGATAGTTACCGGCGTTTTGGTTTTGAAGAATCCACCCCACCTGATACCGGGTTTGTATATCTGAGTACGGTTTTGAAAATCTTTAGGAAACAAATCGAATAGATTCTGAATTTGGCGAAGATCTGTATATTCGGATTCACTGCCATCCAGCAAGTCTTACTTTGTCAGATTTTTACACTCCATTGTAAAATAACTCAATTCCTACCGTGTTCAGCGTGTAAGATTGCCATTATGATAACCTATAAAAAAACATATTATTAGTAATTATACTAATGTGCTGTTATTTAACAATATTAGGTTGTTATTTGATCATATTGGGTAAAATTTGGAAGTATTTGATGAATATTTGGTAGTATTGCATCATTATGTTGTAGTATTGGGTAGTAGGTGGTGATATAGTACTGAGTAAATCGTCCCATCCACACAAAGGAGCTAAAGCCGCACAAAGGAGCTAAAAGCTCCAACTCAATATTATCCATAATATTCGAAATGAAAAATAAGAATACAATTAAAATATTAGATCCTAAAATCACCTATTTAAGACACAATGAACATTTTAAAATCGCACTACACGAGTCCTGTACTCAACGAATATAATGGTTTTGTAATGAACAAAGGAAAATTTATCCAACAAGTAATTAAATTCACAAACTACAAAATATAAAGACGTGTACATGAATTAAGCAGGCGCAAACGAATGCCGTTCATTTTGGACTGTTTGAATATTTCAAAGAACATGATTGATAATAAATTCAGATCAAAATTTGAACCACTGGTGGTGTAAATCACTTTTCATACGCTTATTTAACACTAATTTGTGCTTCTTAGACCCATTTTCGCCTATTTTAAGATTCCAAAGAATAGAGCTGTACGCTCTTTAAAGTAGCTAAGTCTCTAATTCAATATCATCAAAAATCTTCGACACTGAAAACACGAATTATTTGTCAATTCAAATCAACATTGGTCTTGTGATCTTACAAGAAAAAGATGGGCTTCTGATATCCAATATTCAAGACAAAATAAACATTTTACCATTGGTACACGAATCGTGTACCATAATGCGTTTCAGCGCCATTTGGAACAAGGGACTCAAAAAACAGGGCTAGACATATTCCACAAGTCATGTCAAATGGTGACGCTATATTCTTATCTGGAGAGCATTTGCAATAAATACCAACGGTGTAGATTGGAAAAACCAGAGGCTAAAGATTGCCATTCACATGAGACTTCTGGCGTATTTCGCCGAACATAACTGATTAGAAATTACAGTAAAAACAGAAACGATTGAATATAAATTAGTTAATATACATTCATATTACATTATTATATGCGTTGCGACCCATTTTTGTCAATTTCTAGGCCCCAAATATTAGCGATTTTGCTCCTTTAAGCTAAAGAATTCTGCCAGTTGTCGGAATAATTACTCTTCACAAGGCAATTTAAACTTATATAACCCAATATCGTTCTTGATAATAATATAATTAATGATTTATATAGTGTATGTCGAGCAAACCTTCCTGTATCTGCCTGTAAATTTCTTGTATGTAATGTCACGAACCAGTTACCTATATAATAAAGAGTTGATTTAATGACGTAATTATCACACAGATCCGATCTTCTGGGTAAGTACTGTTTCTTAAATTGAGAACTTGTCCGTTCTACAACTTATTTGTAGATGCGTTACTTTAGAATATGTAAAATAGCGTGAACACACTGATCACGGAGTTATTGCTATAGGAATTAAACGTCCAAATCCCCACAGGCATTCGAAAAGGGGACATTTTAGTTGACATTTTATTTCTAATGGTGCTGTCATCCCGGGCTGTCTGTTCATGGTTGCTTCTTAATGGTATATTGCCGATGTCCAAACATTTCTGAATTCCATAAGTAATATGCGATCAATATGAAAATTATTATACTTATATTTCAAAATAATCAACGTTGATGTCAATACTCTTTTTCCACCGTTTCTTAAGTATAGATGTAGCTAATCCGTCAGAAAACCAGTTTGTCATCAGTCCTAAATCCCCCCCCCCCCCCCCCAGGACAGAATTACACTGATGGAAGAAGTCAGGGCGATGTAGAATAGGCTGGAGAATAGGCTGAGAGAGGGGGATCTTGAAGCCACATTACTGTGTAGCACGCACTGCTACCTGGGTGATGTGAACTGGAGCATTGTCCTAGAACAGCCGGACCCCTCGGCGAAGTTATCTTCGGCGCTTTTCTTTGATTTGAGCATATAACCTGCGCAATTCATCTGCTGTGCACTATTTCGAACATCTTGCGTATATGACATTACTTGCTTCCACTGCACGCTTTGAGGTTTTATCTATGAGTGAAAGTGGTGAACCCAGGTTTCACCCTGAGTAACAATATGAACCACAAGGTAGTCCTCGAAAAGCTGTTGACTAATCCTGACTTAATGGAGAGAGAGAGAGAGAGAGAGAGAGAGAGAGAGATGGGGTTTGACGTCCACTCGACACAAACTAGGTCATTTCGGGACTAACACATGGTTCAATTTTATTTCAATAATTCGCTTGCGCGTAGGGGTCTTTAGCTGTGGGAGGAAACCGGAGGACCAGGAGAAAACCCACGAGGTTGGACAGGCGACCCTACTCCTTGTCACGTACAACCCAGGAAGCGAAACCCCGCCAGTTGACTCAATGACAGAGCGTATGCTACAGCGCGCGTGCTAACCATTCGGCCAGCCAACCCCCATCCCACCCACCCCTGACACCTTGTTCTTGTGCAAATGTTCATGGATTATAGTGTGCCAGGTTGATCTCGGCCACGTTTCCCTTTATAAATTGGCTTGTCAACTCTGTGTATTCAAGTCACTTATATTCCAACAATACTGTTTCTCGTTGTATTGTTTCATTGAATACCACCAGTGGTTTGTACAGAGCAGAGTATGCTTTTTTCTGGAACATCATGAATCCACTTCTGGTTTGTTCACAGAAATAACAATTTTCACCTAGACTGAAGGGTCTATTTTATGTTTGTAGGTTATTTATGATGGAGTCTCTTGATGAACATTACACCATACCAAACCGTTTAAAATACTGGGCCAACAAACAACCAGACTCACAGGCTTTTGTTTACGTTGCTAAAGATAAACCCAACATTGTTCTAACATCAAAAGAAATTTACGACCTCTCTGTGCAGTTTGGCCGTCGTTTGTCTAAGCTTGGAGTAGAACCAGGTAGTGTTGTTTGTATTTTGATTCCAGACTCCCCTGCAGCCCTGGTCGCCTACTTTGGAATCTTGTGTGCTGGTTGTAATGTCCAGAACGCATCCATCCAAATGTCTGATGGAACATATCTTCTACAAAATCTCCACAAGTCAAAATGCCGAGCTATGATTCTATCCTCGAGTCCTGATGACCAAGCTAATCGAATCATATCTCAACACTTTGATACCGTCTCTGGTAATTACGTCATCTCGAAAAAATTGCCTCACTTGAAGAACGTCATCTACACGAACTTGAATCTTGGCACTGAACTAGGATTCATCTGGCAAAAAGGGATAGTACCCACATATAATTATGATGCTGAAGAGGTTAATATCAGGACCGATGATATTACAGTTATCATGTCATCTTCTGGTACAACTGGTTTATCCAAATTAATCCCGGTAAAAAACGCATATTTCGATAGTGTCGAAGTCTTCATCAAATCTATATCAGAATCTATGTATGCTCTGAGCCCGTGCATTTCCATGTTTGACGAGCACAGCATCGCCTGGGTATGGGGATTACCCTTCTATTACACTCAGACGGGAGGCAGGACAATCCTGTTGGACCGGAGGGTGAAATCAGATGATAGTCTTGATATTCGATTTGTTAAAGATATTATTGCACGGGAAAATTGTCAAATTGCTAAACTGTCAGCAGCATCCTGCCTCGAGTTGACAAAGTTTATTCAACGGGAATCGCCTGGTCCTGTTACATGGCCTTTGAACACTGTCATACTTGCTGGTCAACCACTGAAAAAGAACATATTGACGACAATCGGCACGCTAGCTACGACGGTATATAATATGTATGGTAGTACAGAACTTGGGGGCGTTAGTATCAAGAAAATCGACCAAGAATCAGGATTCGAGGATTTTAATACAGGTTCGCTAATGAAAATGGTTAGTGTTAAGATAGTTGATGAACATTTGAAGGATGTCCCTACTGGGACCTATGGACAAGTTCTGGTTAAAACAACTGCCATCTGTAGACCTTATGTTGGAGACGAAGATGATCTGTGGATGTCAAAATTCACTGATGATGGTTGGTTTCTTACTAATGACTATGGATGTTTTACAGATAAGGGGGAGTTAATTGTACGGGGACGGTTTGATGACGTCATTATGAGAGGAATGAATTATTTCCACCCATCTTGGATTGAGAATATTATCAGAGGATGTGCAGGCGTAGCTGATATCCTGGTTGTTAAGGTTCCAGATGAAGCTTTATTAAATGAGATTTGTGCCTGCTATATTTCTGATAAAGATCCCGATATATGTCCCGAAGATGTGATGGATTTTTGTTGGAAGACATTTGCCAGTCATGATTCGAATGATAAAACAGCCTGTCCTAAGTACTTTCTGCAAATGGAATCTTTCCCTGTAAACAGAAATGGCAAATTGGACAGAAAGGTTTTGGAAGAAAAAGCGGCTAATTTGCTGAACTTGGTATGATGTAATCAGATGTAACCACCACCACATGTTCCCTTAAAGTATCCTACATGAAGTTTAATAATTTACGTTAATCTTTTATTTTGAAAAATTATAACTAATCTTTATAAATACAGGTTTGTATGTACCATTAAATGTTTAGAGCGTGATATTTAACTCCCAGAGAGAGAGAGAGAGGGGGGGGGGTATGTCCACAGTACACAAACTAGGTCATTTCGGGACTAACATATGGTTCAATTTGATTTCAATAATTCGCTTCCGCATAGGGTTCTTTAGCAGTGGGGAAATCCCACGAAGTTCAGGCGAGGAATCGAAACAAAACCACTTGACGCAATGGCAGACCTTGGCCCCGCGTGTTAAAAAATAATATAACGTAACTAAAATAATATAGCCTAACAAAGAGGGCACAACTTATAATCTGTGAGTGACAGTTCCATGTACAAGTCATACGATACCCCAAACCTCTCCAGACTCTCAAGTTTAAAAAACTTCATAATGCAACATAAAGGGAGCCACACTGATCCGCAGTGAATATTTGCTTGGCCGCGACAATCACTGATAAGGATGACATTGATGCGGCTTAATGAGCTAGAAATATTAACTTTTTTCCTGCGACAAATTAAATTCTAAAACTTTTTTTGTATATATTGGAAAAATAAATAAAGGCGTTTGACGTAATTGTAGGTAAAAATTATTTCCTATTTAGTATAAATGGGTATTAAAATGACTAAAATGCAGCATTCTCTCCGAAGCAGTGATGTCTTCTGTAAACAATGCACGCGTCATTCAGCCAATGATTCACACCGCGTGCTGTCAAGGCAGTCATCTATGACAGAGGTATTATTCGAGACTCGTAATTCTCTGTGAAACAGATTGAAAGGGAGCATGCAAGCTCAATCCGGCTCTGGCCCACTTTCAATATCACACTCTATTTGCACCACGTTTTGCGAGGGAATAACTTTCATTATCTGAAGAAAGTTTCCTAATTGCCTTGAAAAATCTATTTATAATGAAATTACTCCTTTTAAAAGAGTCATTACGGCAGATCAATCAGCCAATCTCTAAAAGACATTTGATTGTATTTCATACACCAATTATTGTCTCTCTTTTAGTCTAACGTAACGAATACATTAGTTTTTAATTGCAATAAACACGTTTGATTTTAATCCATACAACAATTATTTACGATCGATTAATTTAGCCCGAGGTATCCGAGATTGCTTTTGTTTAATTGTTTTCATCGTTAAATGGCGAACCAAGTTCTAACGATGTTATTTATATCAATACAAGACAAGAGCAAAACAAAACCTTTCAGCCATGTTTGATGTTGTTTGGTGTGTCAACCAATATCAGCGATGTTTTACTAAAATAAAAACCACGGTTGATTTCTCTGTACCAACATGTAGACCTTTCTGAACTAGCAGGCTAAAAGGAAAACTTTCAGAAATATTTCAGCGCATAAACAGATTAATTTTATGCCAGGGCTTCAGAAGCTCTGTAGTATGTTTTCATTCGGGGGCTGCGGTAGTTTTGAGTGTATGACGTTTCATCTTTAACCAGGTCGTACTGGGTTCGATCCCGGTGATGGCCAAATCGACACTTCATATCTGCAATCCAAATGCAACGTATTTCAGTGACACAAAATAGGTCCCTGTCACATTCTCAGCAACAAATCGGATGTAATTAGAATTGAAAGATGAGCCATCAACAAGAGGAAGCTGTCTCCGGTACAGTGCTTCAGTTGGGTCAATGAGGCTTTATTATCAAGGGTCAAGGTATGAAAATTGGCACAAATACTCCTTGGGGAACACCCATTCGAAAATGTTCATTTGACATACAAAAATCCAAGGACCATAGGGCACGGGCCATAAAACAAGAAGTTGCCGTCTGGTGCACTAACATTGAACTCCCAAACATATTCGCAAATTTCAGCTGAATTGGGGCAAACAATTGTGTGCTCTAGCGGGTCAACAAACTTCGCATATCTTTCAAAACTATGCTGAAAATACAGGGGCAATTAATCAAGAAATTGGAAATTCAAGTGACTAACGTAATTTTCTTAATAAATGACCCTAAACAAGGTCTTTGGAAATTGTATTGCGTATATCCATATTTGAACGATTGTTACAGATATTTAGCACACTGTATTATTTGGAACCTTACACAGAATAAAGTGGCTCAAATAGCACATATTTATAATGTAATATGAATAAACAAACCAAACTGATTTACATTCAACTGAATGGCAGCAGTTTGCCTCTGTTTAATCGAGTCCACAAATTTATCTTTTTCTCGATTTTTCATTTGTGGATCAGGCAATTTTGATTACTTTCGCACTGACATATGTGGGATATATTTTGCTTTGTCCATAAAGCCTTCTGATTACAAATGGCACTTAAGTCCATAAAGAACTTAACGCCGGTATAGTTCAATATAATATATTAAATACTGCATATCAGGAGGCCACCTTCACGGTAAGATATCAATATTAATTTAAATGGGTCAACATTGAATTCTAATTCGAGTTTTCAATTTCGAATATTATGAATAGTATCGAGTTATAGTTGTACGCCATTTCAGCAAATCAAGAGGATGTTCGATTATCAACCTGTAACTCGGTAGCCTACTGTCCCAAAAATAGCTGAAATGAAACATACGACGATTGGGTGTAAAACTCTACGCCCATCTGCGAAAGACCCGTACAACGTACATAGTTCCCTTCGACGTTTACACACTTTTGCCAACGATGTTGCAAGGCCGTGATTGCCGGTCAGGAAGATATTTTCTTCAGCGTTCACAGCTGTCATGGCCGTCATCATTACTAGGAAAATGACGAACGACTAGATCCCTTTTCATTTTTTTTTTAAACAGGTACGTGGAAGTCTGACGGGGCCAAATCGGGTAAGGTGGATGGTCAATGAGTTCGAAGTCACAATCATGGACCGCTGACATGACAATCACTGATTTATGAACAGCAGCATTAACTTGTTGGAACGAGAAGACTTTGGTGATCATTCCTCGTCGCTTTGTTTTGATAGCTTCACTAACGGTCTCAGTAGGTCAGCATTTTTTTAAGATAGTCCATCAGTAGAATATACTTGGAATCCCAAAAGACCGAAGCCATTACCTTTCCAGCTGAAGGAACTGACTTGGCTTTTTCGCGGGCCTGGCTACTTTGGATGCTTCCATTGTTAAGACTTAAATTTGGATTCTGGTTGGAAGTAATTAATCCCGGTATCACCAATGGTTACAAATCTTGCCAAACAATTATCAGGATCTGCTTCAAAACAACCTAGATGGTCATGACTGTTATCAGACACGTTACTGAAATCTCTCTCGAACTCCGAGACGGTCACTCGCTCGGCGGTCTCGGGCTGGGGAAATTTACCGGCCAACACAATGTGGAACGAACTTGTACTCCCAAACGAATCAACAATACACTCGCCCAGCTATCTCTCGGTCGACAGCGTGCGTCTGGGGACATCCACTCGGAAGTACTCCTGTCGCCGCAGTACTCGCACAGCCGGTGGCCGAGAGAAAGAGACGCGGGCCAAACCCAAAAAGCTCAGGAGCGCGGTTCGGCCGCCCCGAGGAACGCATTGGCCGTCCCGAGGAAATCCAGCCCGACCGTCTCTTCCCCGCATCTCTCTCGAATTCCGAGACGGGCGGATAAAATATAGCATATGCAATATTTATTAGTATGTTTATTTCACTGTTATAATAAAATAGATATCAAATACAAAATATAAGTATTCTTTAAATATTTACATTGTAGAGTTTATAGAATAAACATTAAATATAATATAATGTTCAAAGCATGGGTAGGTCTAAATTATATTGACATGGATCAAATGTCTGCTTAATTGTGATTACATCATTTATAAAATGACTTACTTAAAATTCAGTACATAATATTTCAGATAGGCAATACAATTTTTTTCCACCATTATAAACATTAAAAGGGCAACACACCAGAATAAAATGCAAATATAGAGGCGGTGCAATTGATGACATAACAAATAATTGACAACCAGTCATGATACATTTGTATTAAAGATGCATTATGTAAGATTTATATATGAGGAGCTGTCTGTTCTTGCTATAATAGTTCAAATATAGATAATGAAAAATGAATATATTGGATTATGGAAAATTTCATTCAAATTACTTTATTCTGCTCGACATTATAAGCGTTTTATAGTTTGACAAGATCTTACGTTGATTGTTTATCATCCTAGCAACGGTAACCTCGGTTATTCATTTTATTGTTAATCTGTTAAATCTTTCGGGTGTTTTAATCCATTTACATCTCAACCATCCGATGTTCTAGAGAGCTCATTATAGATTTGTTGTGTAAATAAAAGTCTAATTAATAGTTTCTATAACACGTAAAGACAAAAGAAAGACCCGCAATAAGCAGATTTAGTTCTTACATAATGCATCTTTAATTTCCGGTGCAATTTTTATATTCAATTTGTATCCACAAACATCGGTGTCAAGACATTATTTAACCTACAGTTGTGTCAAGACATTATGTAACCTAAAGCTGTTGTCTTAATCTTCTAAACATACTTGTCTAAATAATATTATATCTCGCCCTAAATGGTAAGTGTTATTGCCCTAGGGCTATTAATTGTTCAATATTTAGGATTTCATGTATGCGGTGACAGGGTCCTTTAAGCATATAGAACTTCAGTAAAGAGAAAGACCATATATTTCCATACCCAGAAAAAATTTATAATCCATACTTTGATTAACATAAAGTTAACTGGGGTATTAGAAAATATGTTTTTGGTTTTGGTCGAGAAAGGCCATATTGCCCTATATTTACCTAGTCAGGGGAAATATTTTTAAGTACAATTTTATTTAATATAAAGTTGGTTGGATTTTGATTTGGTAGAAAAAGATCATATCTTTCCATACTCCAGGATCAGAAATTTACAAAAAATCAAAATCAGCTCTATTTTGACCGATTGTCACATGTGTCCAGCAATCATGTTATTAGTCATGTTACTGTAAAATGGGAGATAACTCCAGTATAGATGTTTATTGATCATGTGACATATATGACGTGTTAGTAAGTTCAAAGGCGTGTTCAACTGTGATGTATGAATGAACCATCATGATGAATAAAACCAACCAGACAACAATGCTGTGCCCATTCCATCATATACATTCAAAAACGCGTGTGTTGCAATGAGATGTGTGGGCCCACAAGACAAAAAAAATCAGTTTTCACAATCTTTATCGTAACTATTTATAGCAATTGTAATATATGATTTTCTGGTAGATTTTGGGGTGTCTATAGCTGTGACGTTGAGAAATGTTGTACTTTCATCAATGATATATCGATATCTGAAAAATAAGGAATAAAATATGTGCAAAACAAAACCAATTAATTCATTGAAACCTCACATAAAAATAACAAGCAGATTTATATTATATCTCATGGTATAAAATAACGGGATCGAAATAAAGAATATTATCCAGACTCGGTCATCAACATGCCCCGTCTTGGATATGTTATTGAAAGAGATAAACAATCTCGGTAATCAACCATCATAATTATTGAAAATGTTCTTCAAATAAATGGGAGTAATAAATGTAGGCCTATATAGCCGTTGTTTCCCTCCAATATGTAGTCCATATACTATATTTAATGGAACTATTTCACCTGATAAGTGATTTGCTTTATAGTGGGTCTCAACACCAGGACTATACAGTCCCAAATATCCGAGAAAAAATATAAATAGAAGAACGACAAAACTATCGGATTTATCAAGAAATGCCGATTGCGTTACGTCCTCAAATGAAACAGTAACACTTGCCAACGTACATTCTATGCCAGTGGCATAACATTACAAATCTTAATTACATAATCTAATTACAAAGTTCAATTGCATCTTCTGAATGTCATTTAAAATACTTACATCTCCTCTCTATCTTGGTTTATAAATCGATATGGATTCTTTCCCATCACCCATACTGATGACCCTTCTTTATAATTAGGACATACACAAGATGGCGATGTGGTAAAAGATAATGGCTTCCCTTCACTGATGTCGTGATTACCTAGAAAAATAATGTTTAAAGTTGAGCTTATGATCAAAAATCCCCAACCGGGCTCGATCACTGTGTTGGTCGCGAAAGTTCCTACGGAGTTTCGCTTTGTTGTCAATGACGCAGGAGGGAGGGCATGAAAATGACATCGCATTGGCCTTTTTATTATTATTATTATTATTATAAAAGAAATGAAATGAATGGGGTTTAACGTCGTACCCGGCTAATTAAGACGGGAAAATTTTGCCCAAACAGCAGCACTACAGCCTACTCTTATATTGAATTCTAACTGCCAATGGTACTTTTACGTGCATGCCAATGTGTATACGGGACCTCGGTTTTTCGTCCCATTCGGACAATTACCAGGCTCTCCGTCTTACACCACAGCCCAGGGGGAACCACGCCGATGAACTTTCTCGAGCAACACCGGGATCGAACCCGGGATCTTAAGCTCTGTGCACACTGCCAACATTTTCGGTAACATGTTGAGAGAGAGAGAGAAATGGGGTTTAACGTCCACTCGACACAAACTAGGTCATTTCGGGACTAACATATGGTTTTATTTTATTTCAATAATTCGCTTGCGCGTAGGGGTCTTTAGCAGTGGGAGGAAACCGGAGGACACGGAGAAAACCCACGAGGTTGGACAGGCGACCCTACTCCTTGTCACGTTGTTAGTGAAAAAGTTTATAGTGTGTACAGTTCGGTAACATTCGGCAACATGTTGTCCAAATGTTGCCAAAATAAATACAAGATCAATTTTGTTGCCGAGATGCTAATGATGTTGCCGAGTTTTATCCAATTAGAATTTGGCCATAAATCACATCATCTACCTGGAGAGAAACAGAGAAAATGGCAGCTACCAGCAATGAATGGTTCTTAAGTTGCCCAACGTGTTGTTGAACTGTTGCCGTGTATATACAGGGTCAAAGTTTCTGTTGCCCAGCCGAGATGTTTCCAAAAATGTTACCGAAAATGTTGGCAGTGTGTACAGAGCTTTACTCATGACTGGGCCACCGTGGCTCTTTATTATCAAAGAGCTCTTGACAGTAGTAACTGAAATGTGGCCGGGACAAAATTTCCATCATAACACACTGCATGACGCATACCCGTCTTCATTAGCCCGCTATACCCCATTTCATTTCACTCCTAACGAAACGCTTGCTTCCACTCCACTTGGGTACACTCAAAGCAAATTGAGTCGGACGTTAAACCCCATTTCATTTCAAGAAATAAATCAAGAAAGTAAAAAAAAAAGGTGTTGAATATATTTATAAATGTAAGAAAAGAAAGTAAACCAAGCTATCATACAGGAACAGAACAAAAATTCTTGACAACTTGAACTAACAAAAATTTAAGACTCACCTTTTATAGACGCTGATTTTAAAGAAGCCGAGACGTGCCTGGAAGATTCTTTTCGCGTTACATTTCCTATTCCAACTTGATAGGCTGTAAATAAATAGAATATTAGATATCTCTGCAAGCCACTGGTAATAAGGTCCCTGTCAGGGTAAAATTCCCATCGTAGCACATTCCTTGGGCTATGAACGTTAGGGCAGAAAAGTAGAACATTATCAAACTCTTTCTTCATTTCATTTGTCTGAGAGTGACATGGGTCTATCATAATCCCCGTTACAGATTCAATTAACAAATCGACCTAAAATAAAAACTTGGCTTTTTTGCACACCTTTCCTAATAATAATATTTAGACTTGTTTTTCATATTGAAGAATATAAATGATTAGTGTCTCTCTTTTGTATTAAAACTGAAGAACCAGCTTATTTCTCAAATTATCAACTTACCGTAATCTGTTTTGCATAATATATCTTTAAGATCCGCTATACCAATGGACGTTTTATGGCAGGTACCACACTCACCTAAAACAAAACAAAAATTTGATTCCTTATTTATGCGGATTGTTTGCAATAATTGTATGCTCCAATGTCAACATGTATAAAAATTTGTGTCGCCTCTCGAAAACGTCATTTTCTCGTCATTATAAATTTGACTGAAATGATCTTTATATATTTAAATATTACCCAGTTGGACATACAAAGTGACAGGGGCTATCCATTTAGACAAGTTTATGGCGTAATGGGTGACACTAAGTGAAATAAATATCGTAAAAAAGCCTTGGTTGAGATATAAATCTCTATCATCGGATTTATAATTTCAAACAATGAATAGACTAAATGATCGAGACTGGTATCGGATTTTTCGTCCTGTAAAAGATAATAGTTATTTTTTTCTTGTTATAAAAATGTATTTGTACTGATTTACCAGAGAAACAAGTACATTCTCCTTTATATCGATTTTCTTCACCAATACAATACACAGGTAATGTGTCTTCAGAATTACCAGAATCATAATTCTGTAGACATATTTCTTCTGTAAAAAAAACCAAACAAGCATACAGTGAGGCTGATGTTCCCCGCCGCATTCCCAAAATAAAAAGATGACGCATATTAATTAATTGTACATTTATTTTTTTTGAAAATCAAACTGATTATCTATTCTTAGACCTCAGTCAAAGTTTTGAAGTACCTGACAGTGAAACTCTACAGTGTGGCAGACGCAGGGGCGAATGAGGCAGGAAGTTTTGCAGAAGGGGGTCACCAGGTTACTGAGACAAAGTATCTTGGCAGTGGGGGGGGGGGGGGTCTCCCCCGCGGCCTTGAAAAGTTTTGAGAAATACATGGTCTCTATCGTCATTTCGGCTTATATACATATACGCACTCAGCTTTTTAGAGAGAGAGAATCCAACACCCGGTTTGACGTCAATTTTTATTATGAATTAATAGGATCACATTTTGATTCAATTTCATTGATGCAAAGCATTATTTGTGATATCACATATGTCTATATCATTGTTCTGGTGGAGGTAACCGTCCACTGGGAGGCAAGAATGGAAGAGGCCTATGCAAAGAAATTGAGCAAATACCAACCATTCTTAATGCAGTGCCAGCAAAATGGTTGGAAGGCCTGGAATTTTCCTGTGGAGATAGGGTGTCGAGGATTGGTGTCTCAAGAACTCAGGCATCACAGGACCAACACGCAGGACCTTAGTTACCAAAGAACGCAAACAAGCCGAGGAAGCCTCAGTGGAAGAGCAGTGGAAGTGCTAACTGGTTCTGGGTTGTGTCTGATCAACTCAGTTGGCGTACCTCAAGAGAGCGTTGTGGAAAGCGCCGAAACGCTTGAAGACAGAGGACCTCCACCTGATGACAGAACCAGTTCGGCAGTGGAAACACTGTATTCAAGATATCTCGCGCTTCTAATGCCATCCCAACCCAACCCACCATCTGACGATAAAAGATAAAGCACACGACCGTGACACTTTTCTCATAAAAAGGGTAGTTTTACATAAAAAAATTATGAAGCTGAGCAGGGGATAACCCAAACCCCCTTCTGGATGCGCCCATGGGACGGTCGAAAGAACTGACGGACTCATTTTAATAGTCCCCTGCTTTCTACGAAAGGGGGACAATCGGACATACTTTAAATACTAATTGAATAAGCAAAACCATAACCAATTGAACAAGCATTCAAAACAAGCCTTTTAGAAAGTCACAAAAACAATTCGATTTAAACTTAATGGATTGGGATGAACTCGAAATGAACAACTGCGTATAAATAGCGACACCAGAGCTATATACCCAGCTGAGTAAGGTTACAAAATACATGTACTATATAGACCAGGATCATCGCGTCCATCTTGGAATTCACAATTCCGTCAATCAATGCACAAGCTATTTTTTGCATGATGTCGTATTTACAGTAATCACAATTCACAAGTTTAGAATCAAGACGAGAAGTGCTCGAATGTGAAATCAATGCTCGAGTTGGTATCAATTAATGTTTTGAAATAATTACAAAATCGACGATATGGATCTGCAATTTTAAGAAATCAATTTTAATACCTGGTTTCGATGGTTGTACAACAACTACTGATGCTGGTTGGCGGAATTTTACAATCTCTTCAGCTTTTTCTTTTATTCTAAAATTTAGACACAGGGTTTCGTTGTTAGGGACCTGAAATTAAAATAATGAATTGTAGGGTGTCCAACCATAAACAAATATCTCGGCAATTACACCACAATATGTATATGTATACCAAGTCTTAGATCAGCTTCGCACATTTACAGTCACTAAATAAGCTATGACGATTTAACCATCAATAAATAATAGACTGAAAAACGGTTACGAGTGTCGGGCATAACACTTTTCAGGAAAAAAATAGGTTACGCGCCCTTGTTTTGAAATTACTCTCGCTTAACCAGTCTACCGACCATTCTACATCTGACTGACAGACCGGGATAATCAAGACTACATTTTTACTAAATATAACAGAAAGCTGGAACAAGAAATTGAATTTAGAAATACGCAAGTTAGACAACTAAACAATTGTTTTAAGAACCTTGTAAAAGTAAAATGAAACTACTGCTAGTATCATATTCTTGCCTAACCTCAGTGTTTAAGAGATATTATTTTTACTAAACCAAAAGATGCCGCTCCTAATGGTACAGTTAAAGTAGCTAATTCTCTAACTCAATATCATCCAAAGTCTGGCAGTGTGAAGTTGGATCGTTTTTCGTTATTCAGCTTTTTACTCGCGATTCAAATATGCAGCCAGCCATGACTAGAATGATGGATGTCAAGTATCCCCCAGTAGTATAAAAGACAGTAAAACGACTTCTAGACGAAAACAGTCCACATTTTTATTCAAGCAGCGAATAACGAGCTGTTTGTTATTCGTTTTTCACCTCGTTATTCAGGATTCACATATAAAGGGGTTCATGCATAATTAATGAGGATAATTCAGAATTTAATTCAAAACGATCACAATACAACAATAGAATAATGGATTTCAAAGTATCCCCTAGCAGTAGAAAACATATTAAATGACGTATAGTCGTTAAATAAACCAGATTGTTATTCAGGCGGTGAATAACGAGCTGTTTGTTATTCGTTTTTCACCTCGTTATTCGGGATTCACATATGAAGGGGTTCATGCATCTTTAATGAGGATAATTCAGGCTTTAATTCAAAACGATCACTATACAACAATAGAATAATGGATTGTAAAGTATACCCTAGCAGTGGAAAACTCATTAGTAGACGTATAGTCGGTAAATAAACCAGATTGTTATTCAAGCGGTGAATAACGAATAACGAGCTGTTTGTTATTCGTTTTTCACCTCGTTATTCGGGATTCACATATGAAGTGGTTTATGCATCTTTAATGAGGATAATTCAGGATTTAATTCAAAACGATCACTATACAACAATAGAATAATGGATTGTAAAGTATACCATAGCAGTGGAAAACTCATTAGTAGACGTATAGTCGATAAATAAACCAGATTGTTATTCAAGCAGTGAATAACGAATAACGAGCTGTTTGTTATTCATTTTTCACCTCGTTATTCGGGATTCACATATGAAGTGGTTTATGCATCTTTAATGAGGATAATTCAGGATTTAATTCAAAACGATCACTATACAACAATAGAATAATGTATTGTAAAGTATCCCCTAGCAGTAGAAAACATATTAAATGACGTATAGTCGATAAATAAACCAGATCGTTATTCAAGCGGTGAATAACGAAACACGAATAACGAGCTGTTTGTTATTCGTTTTTCACCTAGTTATTTGGGATTCACCTATAAGGCGTTCATGTATCTTTAATGAAGATATTTCAGGATTGAATTCTAAACGATCATTAGACAACAATAGAATAATGGATTGCAAAGTATCCCCTAGCAGTAGAAAACATATTAAATGATGCATATTCGGTAAATAAACCAGATTGTTATTCAAGCGGTGAATAACGAATAACGAGCTGTTTGTTATTCGGGATTCACATATAAAGTGGTTCATACATCTTTAATGAAGATATTTCAGGATTTACTTCTAAACGATCATTAGACAACAATAGACTAATGGATTGCAAAAATAAACATTTTACCATTGGTACACGATTCGTGTACCATAGTGCGTTTCGTCGTCATTTGTAACAAGTGACCAGATATTAACTCCTTTGATATAGTAATTTAAAAGATAGGTTGTCAGGCAACGAAACATACGCCCACAGTGGCTAAATCGTCCGGGCGGTCGACAAGGGTTGTCGCATATTTAATCCTTTGTAGGTAATTGGGGGCCTTTACAAGACATTTCCATACAGATCAAATTATAATTTTTGCCGTTTGAAGGTTCACAAGGTTCTACAAATTGAAACAAGGGTCTCAACTCTGGAAGTAATCTACAGAAATTGTTGAAATTTGACAGGCTTTTTCGTTTCACAAATTTAAATGATGCATATACATTTCATACATATCGGATGATAACTTTCATCAATCGAGCATTAACAAGGTTGAACAAAGTTAAACAAAGGCAATAACTCTAGAAGTAATAAACGGAAATTGCTGAAATTTAATAGGATTCTTCTCTTTACTAATTCAAATGACGCATGTAAATTTCATACAGATCGGCAGATAACTTTTGATATTAGAGCATTCACTAAGTTCAATAAAGTGAAACAAGAGCCATAACTCTAGACGTAATAAACAGAAATTGCTGAAATTCAATAAGCTTCTTCGTTTCATTTATTTAAATAATGCATATAAATTTCAATAAGGTTCAATAAAGTGAAAAAAGGGCCATAACTCTAGACATAATACGCAGAAATTGATGAAATTCAACAGGCTTCTTCGTTTCACTAATTGAAATAATGCATATAAATTTCAGAAAGATAGGATGATAATTTTTGGGGTTAGAGCATTCACAAGGTGAAACAAAGTGAAACAAGGGCCATAACTCTAGAAGTAATAAACGGAAATTGCTGAAATTCAATAGGCTTCTTCGTTTCCCTAATTTAAATATTGCATATAAATTTCACAAAGATCGGATTCTAACTTTTGGCATTAGAGCGTTCACAAGGTTCAATAAAGTGAAACAAGGGCCATAACTCTAGACGTTATTAACGGAAATTATTGAAATTAAATAGGCTTCTTCATCTCACTAATGTAAACAACATATATCAATTTTAAAACAATTGGATGATAACTTTTGACGTTAGAGCGTTCACAAGAAATTGTGGAAGACGGACGGACGTGCGTACGGCAATATACGTCCACATTTCTATGTGGGCGTATACAAATGAGAGAACGTAATTTCTAAATCTGCTGTAATGACCAAAAATCTAAATATTACTGCTATTCAGAATCGTCAACAATAGAATTTTTACGTGCGATGGCTATTTATAGATTCAGGCTCTAGTGCTGAGTATTATTATCACTGCGTGATTAGCCAGAAATCACTTTGAGACAAGTCACTGAAGCGTGCACATTCGCCTTGTCGAGTTCAACTCTCTGTAGGGAAAAGTTTCTCTGCACGGGGCACCCTATTCTGAATTGCACATAATGGAATGGCAGCATTCACTTAGATATCTCCATATTGTCATACCAAGAATACCTGCTTGTAGTTTCTTCAAACCTATCATACCCGGCTTATCATTTAGCGACGTTTTGTAAGCCACAGAAAGATTGCTCCACCCATCCCACCCCTTCTTCTTGTTACCTGTAGAACAATTGAGACACATGGCACATATCTCAATGTTGAAAGTTTCAACACGTAGTCGCCGATATAGTTAAATAAGATGATTAGTAACAAACCTCATCAAGATAAATTGTAACCAAACCATAATCATCTCTGTATGTTCTAACTCGTTCCTCACTCAACGAATTTAACTGAAACAAAAATATTGTTTATTGCTGTAAGTGTATACAATTAACATTGGCTTTATGTACATACCACTTTCATATGGTCACTTTATGTTTCCGTGGTTTTTTTGTTGGTTTTTTTTGGGGCGGGGGGTTCTTGAATATTTATTCACTAATTTCTAATTAATTACATTTTGTTTCACAATTATAATCAAAAGTGGAAATGCAGATTTAATTATTACAACAGTTTACGATATGGCTGTATATAAATGTATATTTAAATAATATTCCAAATATAAGCTGACATTATCAAATTGCTTTAAATGGTTAATTGTAATGTTCAAAATATGTCAATATAATGTGTCAGTGCATACATGCAGAATATTAGGTTAAATGTGCGTTTAATCGAGTCTAATTAGCATATGTAGAATAATAACCAGTGTCTAGTAAATCGAGTCAATTGCTTAGCAACCTAGCGGATGTTGAGAACATGTGAAAAAGTGAAGTTGAAAGTGTATGATGTTAGCTGGTGACAGCGTACTGTTTTCTACCGCAACGCTATGCCACATTATCAAAATTATGATTAACTTTACCTTTGACAATTGATTCTCTGTGTATGTATCTAAGAATGTGACTTGCAACATGTGAACGTTTTGTGTTATATACACATGACGGTGAATAAATAGTTGTTATTGTGTGCAGTAGGCCTATCGTGTTTCTTTGACATGTCATGGGTTTTCGAGCGCGTATGTACCGATATGCCGAAAAGGGACTAGATAACGGTGTCGTGAAATGAAAATAATCAAACTTAGTCTTCGCCAGCTCAGCCTCTACAACAATAATAATCATATTGTAACTATGTAGATGCTGTATATAAATATAATCGTGTTATATTTAATTATATTGAAATGCGTTAACCAAAAACCAAAAAGTATATAACCAACCTACCAGATTCAAATCTTCAATTATTGGTTCAAATCCACTTAACATATCTATTTCAACTCTTGTTGGTCCACTCTTTGATGCACCACGATATCTATTTAAAACATACAACAGTTAAAATTTGGGTAAAGTGTGATAACTGATATGAGGGAAGTTTTGTCCGGACAAAGGTGCTACAACCCACTTGTATTTCCAACTGACAAGGGTTCTTTTACGTGGACGCTGGAGTGTACACGGGACCTAGGTTTTTCGTCGGATCCGGGGGGTTGGATGGCTGAATGGTTAGCACGTGCGTGCTGTATCATAAAGTCTGTCATTGAGTCAACTGGCGTGGTTTCGAATCCCCGGTTGCACGTGACAAGGAGTAGGGCCGCCTAGCCAACCTCGTGGGTTTTCTCCTGGTCCTCCGGTTTCCTACCACTGCTAAAGACCCCTACGGAGCGAATTATGGAAATAAAATTGAACCATGTGAGTCCCGAAATGGCCTAGTTTGTGTCGAGTGGACGTTAAACCCCATTTCTCTCTCTCTCGCTATTTCGTCGAATCCGAACGACCGGACACTGGTCCTTGTCGGAGCCTTCCCGCACCTCTGACAAAGAGAACCCGTTTTTGAACCCTTATCTCTTGGTTAATGAGCCAGCTCTTAGATCACTTAATGCAGCCGTGCAATCCTAGGAAAACTGACAGTATGTAACAGTTGATAGTGTAAGCCAAATTTAACATTCACGCGTTACCCATTACTAACTGAATTAACATCAACTTATTATCCATCACTAACTGAATTAACATCCACTCATTATCCATCACTAACTGAATTAACATCCACTCATTACAGAATTAACATCCACACATTACCCATCACTAACTGACTTAACATCCACTTATTACACATCACTAACTGAATTAACATCCACTCATTACACATCACTAACTGAATTAACATCCACTCATTACCCATCACTAACTGAATTAACATCCACTCATTACCCATCACTAACTGAATTAACATCCACTCATTGCACATCACTAACTGAATTAACATCCACACATTACCCATCACTAACTGAATGAACATCCACTCATTACCCATCACTAACTGAATTAACATTCACTCATTACCCATCACTAACTGAATTAACATCCACGCATTACACATCACTAACTGAATTAACATCCACACATTACCCATCACTAACTGAATTAACATCCACACATTACACATCACTAACTGAATTAACATCCACTCATTACCCATCACTAACTGAATTAACATGCACTCATTACCCATCACTAACTGAATTAACATCCACGCATTACACATCACTAACTGAATTAACATCCACACATTAGACATCACTAACTGAATTAACATCAACTCATTACCCATCACTAACTGAATTAACATCCACACATTACACATCACTAACTGAATTAACATCCACACATTACCCATCACTAACTGAATTAACATCCACACATTACACATCACTAACTGAATTAACATGCACTCATTACCACACATTACACATCACTAACTGAATTAACATTTACACATTACCCATCACTAACTGAATTAACATTAACTCATTACCCATCACTAATTGAATAAACATGCACTCATTACCCATCACTAACTGAATTAACATCCACTCATTACCCTTCACTAACTGAATTAACATTTAATTTAGTGCGTTCACGGGTTACATGCCTGATTGGCCAAAAGCTGTAACGAAACGGTCCTCTGCACATCAGAGCTACAGTGGTGCTCAGATGCCTCCGTGTGACACCTTGTCAAATCAAAGGAAAATTAGTTGAACTAGCCTCGTCATTACTGCAGCTTTTTGACGCCATGTTTCCACGTATCCCCCCCGTCAGTGACCATAACGACGCATAGATTTTACGGGCTTCCAACTGAATTTCAACAGGGTTCTCCTGCCTAACAATTATCCGAATATCCCCAGCAAGCTTGAAGAAAAGTCTCAATAACTCAGACATATAGGGGCTTTATACGGTTTCGGTAACAGGGACTTTAACTCTGCGATCAATCATTGTGAGTATCTGAATTTCGGCAGGATTACTTCTTGAGTCTAACCAAAACATTCCAAGTGATTTTTTAAAGCCACGAGTTTAATATAATAAATGGATAAACGAACCTTACCGTAAACATATCTCTAGACATAGTGTAACACTAGAAATTGAATTTCTTCCTCGTCTTCTAACCCTTATCCTTCGACGATTTCTTCTTAGATGTCCACTTCGATTCCCACCTCTCTGTCGATCTCCATTCCTCTGTCTGTTACTCCCTCGGCGATTTCGATCTCGGTGATTTCTTCTCCGTTCCCTCCCAAACACGCCAGCTGGATTTCTCGTGTTCCTTTTTGCCCTTAATACTTTTTTGGCTTTTGATTTCAGATCACTTGTATTAATTTCATCCTTTTCTTTATCGACTATACGACAGCCAGCAGTACAGTAATTACACAATGATGTCCTTAAATAAAGATTGGTTGCCAGGCAATAAAACATACGCTCACAGCAGCTAAATCGTTCGAGCAGTTGACAAGGGTCGTCGCATATTTAGTTTTTTTGTAGCTAATAAGAGCATTTGCAAGAAACTGAATTATAAAGTTTGTCGTTAGAGCTTTCACAAAGTGAAACAAGGCCCATAACTCTATACGTATTTAATGGAAATTGCTGAATTTCAATAGGATTCTCCAGTTTACTAATCTAAATAATGCATATAAATACAGATACGATGATAATTTTGTCATTAGAGCGATCACACAGGGTTCAACAACAGAGTGAAACATGGAATTTAACTATTTAAGTAATTAATGGGAATTGTCGAATGTCAATTGGCTTCTTGTGTTGGTTTTACTTATCTAAATAATGCATATCAATTTGATACAGATCCGATGAGAATGTTTGTCTTTAGAGTGAAAGGGAAACAGGGGTCATAACTCTAGAAGTAATTAACGGAAATTGTTGAAATTCAATATATCGGATGATAACTTTGGTTGATAGAGCGTTAAAATGGTTCAACAAAGTGAAACAAGGGTCATAACTTACGAAATTATAAACCGGAAATTGCAGAAATCGTACTCTTCGTCGGACTGTTGAGTGTTCACAAGAATTTGTGGACAACGGGCGGACCTACGGGGGCGACGGCAATATATGACTAAATTTCCATGTGGGTGTATAAAAAGAAAACAATTTAGACAATTTTCATAATTAGGAAGTTTACACTATATATTCCTGTACGTTGTCCGAATACCAGTTACAACAAAATCGCGTATTTCTCTTTTTTAATGCATTCTTTTATCTTTCAACAAGCCAACAACGAGGCTGATATCTTGCCCTTTTAACTTTTCATAAAGCACCGAACAAACAATTTATAATTCTTGCGGTAAATAATTGTTTTACACCATAACATACGACTGGGGTGTTGACAATCATCAGGGGCAATAAAGAAACTATTAGTAATTAATAATTGTGTTGTTAAAGAGTTCACAAGATTCTACAAAGTGATCATGTGCACCACGAACCATAAGGCATATTATACATCAAGCAGATTGCGGTTTGTCAAGCGACCAAGGGCAATTACTCCGGTAGTAGATATCAGAAATTGCTGAAAATCTACGTTTCACTGATGAATACGTTTGTAAATCTTTAAAAGACCGGATACTAAACAAAGACTATATAATGTTCACAAGAAATTGTGAACGATGAATGATGATAATATAAACAAAACTTCTATTCCATACTTACTCGTTGTCTTTTATTTTCCTTGGTCTAGAGACCTCCTTTCTCGTTACTTTGAGTTCATACATACAGTTATCATTTGGTGCCGTAGGGACATTATAAGCTACGTTAATTTGAACCTGTCCCAAACCGGTTCCATTAGTTTTAAGATTAATCTTTTCTCCTACAGGAACCTTAATTAAGATGAATATAATCAGAGTTATCAAAAGTAGAGAAGTAAAACAAGAGCCCGATTGGGTTTAATTTATCAATATAATTTTAGTGTTTAGATATTTTACGGGATTATTAAAATCTATCAAAAATCAATGACTTCCAAATAATTTTAACATACTTACATCCATTAGATATTTCTGTTCAATAGCATCTTCTTGATTAAAGGCAATCACGTGATTATAATTTATAGATGAGTCTGATGATATCTCAAGACGAAGATCTGTTGTAGTTGAATGTTTTAATGAGGAGAATTCTGCCAAGGCCTGAATTGCTATTGCTGTATCCTAATAAAATAATAATAAAACAGGTATATCATCATTTTCATGGCCAACACGGGATAAGTAATAACATTGTCGAACACGTAGCAGCTTGTCAGCTGCTATTCTGTACTCAGTTCTTTGTTTACAAAATGTAAAACAACACATGCCTAGCCAAGAAATCTGGTCTCCAATTTAGCTGTTTATACTGTAATGGCAACATCATAAACTTTGGTTGGTATGTTGTCAATAAAGCTTCATTAGGTCTATGTATCGATGGCTCAAGAAAGGCAGCTTGGCATACAAATAAATGGCTCATGAGAATGAGAGAGAAATGGGGTTTAACGTCCACTCGACACAAACTAGGTCTTTCCGGGACTAACATATGGTTTAATTTTATTTACATAATTCGCTTGCGCGTAGGGGTCTTTAGCAGTGGGAGGAAACCGGAGGACCCAGGGAAAACCCACGAGGTTGGACAGGCGACCCTACTCCTTGTCACGTACAACCGGGGATTCGAAACCACACCAGTCGACTCAATGACAGACTTTATGATACAGCGCGCGCACGCTAACCATTCAGCCATCCAACCCCCCAAATGGCTCATGAAAGCCACATTAAGCCTATGTATCGATGGACCAAGAAAGCCTCATTTATAGGCAAATGTACAAATGGCTATTAACCATATCAACTGGGTGTGTCTGTTTGCTCAAAATTTGGATCTTGATCAGTTTTATTGGCATTACATAATGTGTTGGAATATTTTATGTAGAATACTCCATATTCATACAGTGAGTAATTAACAAATGGATTTCCAATTATCAGAAGTTGAATTAATAACGAATCCGGATTCAGAATGAATCACCAGCATTAGCTGCAATCAAACACTTTCAAAATCACAAGACTATTTTAAAGGACCGGCGACTCCCAGTCAGTGTAACATTTGAGGACTGGCTGAAAAGTTCTAAGCTTATGGTTTCCATTTATTTTTCTACGTAGTCCCCTTCGAGGTGTACATATTTTCACCTACGACGTTGCAAAACCTGGATGCTGGCCCGGAAGACATTTTCATCAGCCATCCTAAAGAAGTCGTTTAAAGCTGGCATGACGTCATCATTAATATAAAGATAGGTTGACAGGCAACGAAACATACGCCCACAGTAGTTAAATAGTCCGGGCGGTCGACAAGGGTTGTCGCATACTTATTCCTTTGTAGGTAATTGGGGACATTTTCAAGGCAGTTCCATACAGATCAGATTACAAGGTTCTACAAACTGAAACAAGGGTCTAAACTCTGGAAGTTGTTGAAATTTGACAGGCCTTTTCGTTTTACTAATTTAAATAATGCAATAAATTTCATACAGATTAGATGATCACTTTTGTCACACGGTTCACAACCGCCATAACTCTAGAAATTATTGACGGAAATTGCTGAAATTCAAAAGACCTCTGTTTCACAAATTTAAATGATGCATATAAATTTCATACAGATTGGATGATAACTTTCATCAACCGAGCATTAACAAGGTTGAACAAAGTGAAACAAGGGCCGTAACTCTAGAAGTAATAAACGGAAATTGCTGAAATTCAATAGGATTCTTCTCTTTACTAATTTAAATGACGCATGAAAATTTCATACAGATCGGCAAATAACTTATGATGTTAAAGCGTTCACAAGGTTCAATAAAGTGAAACAAGGGCCTTAATTCTAGAAGTAATAAACGGAAATTGCTGAAATTCAATAGGATTCTTCTTTTTACCAATTTAAATGACGCATGCAAATTTCATACAGATCGGCAGATAACGTTTGATGTTAGAGCGTTCACAGGGTTCAATAAAGTGAAACAAAGGTCATAACTCTAGCGTTCACAAAGTGAAACAACGGCCATAACTCTAGAAATAATAAACGGAAATTGCTGAAATTCAATAGGCTTCTTCATTTCACTAATTTAAATAATGCATATCAATTTCAGAAAGATAACCTTTGGCGTTAAAGAGTTCACAATGTTCAATAAGTGAAACAAAGACCATAACTCTAGATGTAATAAACGGAAATTGCTGAAATTCAATAGGATTCTTCGTTTCACTAATTTAAATAATGCATATAAGTTTCAGAAAGATAGGATGATAACTTTTGGCGTTAGAGTGTTCACAAGGTTAAACAAAGTGAAACAAAGGCCATAACTCTAGAAGTAATAAACGGAAATTGCTGAAATTCAATAGGCTTCTTTGTTTCCCTAATTTAAATATTGCATATAAATTTCACAAAGATCAGATGTTATTTTTTGGCATTAGAGTGTTCACAAGGTTCAACAAAGTGAAACAATTGCCATAACTCTAGATGTAATAAACAAAAATTATTGAGATTAAATAGGCTTCTTCATCTAACTAATGCAAACAGCATATATCAAGTTTAAAACAACTGGATGATAACTTTTGGCGTTAGAGCTTTCACAAGAAATTGTGGACGACGGACGGACCGACAGACGGACGGACGGGGGCGACGGCAATATACGTACACATTTCTATGTGGGCGTATAAAAATGTTGACTGTCTAGCTCCTTTTCCATTATTGGAAACGGGTGGAAGTATTCAAAACGGCGCAGAATTTTTGGGATCTGAGACGTTTCTGATCCGCAGTTGAGAGCTTTGGCATCCATCTTGCAGAAACTTTTGTCATTTCTAATTCGTTGACGATAATGTGCCCCAACTCCCTCATGAGAGATGCCCCAATACTTCCAATATGTCGAGTGGTCAGTCGTCGATCAGCCATCACCATGTCATGCACCCGGGTAATGTTTCTTGAATGGTTGCTGTTGATGGCCTTCCAGGACGCGGCTCATCGTCAAATCCCTCTCTGCCACGCTTAAATTCCGCAGCCCACTTCTTTATTGTTGAAAAGGAGGGGGTATGATCCTCTAAAGTGGAGACCATGTCGGCATGTATCTGTGTTGGGGTTAGTCCTTTCAGTTGCAGGTACTTGATGACTGTCCTATAGCCAGTTCTGGTGATTTCAATGGGTAGGTTCACAAGATGGTCTGGTAAAAAGACAATAATAACACTGCAGTTGCAGTTCTTATGTTTATGATTCATTCAATGATTGTATTTGTTGGCGACAAAAGTTTGTTTCAACCGAATTCATCTATCCTTTCAGACCGAGAACTTTCAGCCAGCCCTCGTATAACAAGTTAAAATGTGAATTAATAAAGACAAAACAACGATCAACATACTATAGGGCTAATAAATCCACCATGACCATTTCTCTGACGAATCAACCAATCGGCTAATGAGTGGGGGTCTAGTTTTCTATGGCGGTTGTAGACAAGCAGTGCATAGGCCGTTGATTCAATAGAAAAGGCATCAGCACTTTGACGATACCAGTATGGTTTACCATCAGACACACGATGTTCTGTCCAGTAAGTTACACCTGAAACAGAAATAGTCAAATATCAAAAACTATGGTTACTATATACACATGTAATGAAATAATATCTGTACAATACATAGGAATAATGTATCCACCATATAACGGAATATAGTCTTCGCTATGTTGTTGAATGTCTCTACCATATAATGAAATAATGTCTCCACTATATAATGTCTGTACTATACATAGGAATAATGTATCCACCTTATAACGGAATATAGTCTTCGATATGTTGTCGTAGAATGTCTCCACCATATAATGAAATGATGTCACCACTATATAATGTCTGTACTATACATCGGAATAATGGCTCCACCATATAACGGAATATATAGTCTTCACTATATTGTAACCGAATAATGTCTGGTCTATATGATAAATACTGCCTTTCACTATATGGAATAATGGCTCTCCAATATACATTGGAAAACTGTCTCCACCATATAACGGAATATAGTCTTCACTACTCTTCACTATCTGGTAGAATTTCTCCACTATATAATGAAAAAATCTCCGCTATATAACGGAATATAGTCTTCACTATGTTGTAGAATTTCTCGACCATATATAACGAAATAATGTCTCCACTATATAACGAAATAATGTCTTCACTATATGACGACTTCACTATATAACGGACAAGGACAGCTGTTTAGTCCTTCGGATGAGACGAAAAACCGAGGTTGTCAGGCCCTTCGTCCTGCATCACTGACAATGGGAAATCACGGCGGAAAATCTGGATGAACTTTCTCGGCCAATGCAGGGATCGAACACCCGACCTCCAGGCTAGCGAGCCAGCGTCTTACCCACTTAGCCACGTGATCCTATTGACTTCCCTATATAACGGAATAATGTTTTCACCATTTCAATACAATAATGTCTCCACTATACGTATTGTTAAATGGTCGAGAGCGAGACATTAAGTAATATATTGTAACAACAAGAGGGCCGCAATCTCTTAAGCTCGAGACTTCAAATACAGACATTCCGCACGTGCTTTTACAGTGAAATACGTCACACGAGTCTAATATTTCACTGGTATAAATAATGTACGATTGGCAAGTTGCCGCACGTGCCTTTATAGTGAAATACGTCACGCGAGTCTAATATTTCACTAGTATAAATAATGTACGATTGGCAAGTTGCCCGTGCGATTATTTGAAATAATGGTACGCCAACCTCAAAGGGTGACGTCACATCTGTATTTTAAACCGTAATAATGTCTTCATTGTAAGCAAATATCGTCTTCTCTATATGATGAATACTGCCTTTCACTATACGGAATAATGGCTCTACCCCATAACCCCACCCCACCTCACCACTACAGTTTTTGTCAATACCCATAGCAGCGTTAATGCCATACCTACTAAAAGTGTGTTTTTATAAAATACATCATTTTGAAATGAAATTGATTGAAATCTTACCGTGCTCCCCAGAAGAGGATTTTCCAGCTCGGACCATCTTTTTAATGACACAGTCAACATCTGGGCTATCTGACAACTGAAGGGCATACGCCATTTTAGATAAAGCCATAGAATTACTGACGTTGTCGATATTCTCTTCGATGAATGACAACATACGGATCTCTAGACCTAATAGACTTTCCTATTAATTCACAATTATAATAGTATTAATGAAATTGAAATGAAATGGGATGTATAAAACGTTTAGGTTATCGGCACCTGTCACGTTAATAAAGACATGGAATTGCCACCAGTCTGTTATGACGACTACTCTTATTACAATGTCCGTCAATTGGGGTATGTTGGGATATTTCCTTGCTTTAGAGCGCGCACAAGATTTTTCTACTTGATCAAGGGCCATAACTTCAACAGTAATTGTCGGAATTCATTAAAAGTCAATAGGGATCTTGATGTTAGGAACATAAACACTAATCATTTTTTTCCAAATGACAACTTTGACAGCTTATGAACTCCGACCAGGGGTTGAAACCATTAAGACCTTATTTCAATATGGGTGCATACAAATGTCCTCCAGTGCCTTTCCCACTTCACAATTCTGGGTCAAATGTTTGATCCTATGCAATAAATTTCCTGGGTTAGGGCTACGAATATGATAACCAGGTCAATTAATGTCTTAGATGACATCAGAATATATCAACTTTCTACTTACCAAATACTCTTCTTTTAACATGTCCTTAGTCTCACATTCCTTTAAAGCAATCATTATCTCGGCTGCTAGAATAACAGCATATTCATGGGAATCCTGTGAAGAAAAAACATGTAGAGTTATGATATATTCGGTACAAGTGTCGAATTTTTGGGGTGTGCAAACGTTTCAGCTGCACAGGATCCAATCTTTAAATGAACGCAGCTTCTGTAGAGATTAACATTGTATTGGGTAAATGGTATTCTTTCATTTTATAATTATGCGAGGCGCTATTGCCTCAAGATGATATGACGAAAACGTAAACTTGGAATCAGATGTAATTATATTTAGTAAAACATGCAATCGGATGTAATCATATATAGCACAAACTTGCAATCGAATTTAATCATATTTAGCACAGGATTTAAACATTTTTAGCACAAACTTGCAATCAGATGTAATCATTTTAAACATAAACTTTAAATCGGGTGTTATCATTTTAGCACAAAATATGTGCAATTAGATGTAATCATATTTAGCACAACTTGCGATCAGATGTAATCATACGTGCCACAAACTTACAATCAGGTGTAATCATTTTAGTACAAACTTACAATAGATGCAATAAGTAATCATATTAATACTCTTGCAATCATATGTAAGCATATTAATACTACCTTACAATCAGATGTAATCATATTAGTACAACCTTGCAATCAGATGTAATCATATTAGTACTACCTTGCAATTGGGTGCAATCATTTTAGCACACACTTACAATCAGATTTAAACATATTTAGCACAAACATTGCAATCGGATGTAATCACATTGAGTTACAATCATACTTATCATAAACTTACTGTACATGCAATAAGTAATTACTGAGTGTGCGTTACCTCTGGAGTTATCTGGTCGTTTGCTGGACGCCCTTCTTCATCTACCTGATCTAACAACCATAGAAAACCAGTATTAATGAGTTCCTCATCCACGTAACTCAGATCCTTGGCATGACACAATGTTTTTAATACGAGAGATGTTAACCTTTTAATATAAATTTCGTAGAAAAGTAATTTAACAATTAATTATTAAAGAGCATAATAATTGGCAGCAAAGGAACTTGGGAAGGTCGTGAAGGGCAGTTGGTTCGGGTCTTCAAAATTAACGCAGCCCCCCACCCATATTGATACATATTTAATAGATGTTCAACAAAAATAATCTGAAAGAATCCCGTTTTAGTGCCTGTAGGCGTTTGTATTAATAGAGAAATCCCAGATATATTCAAAGCCCAGCTTAGGCATGGGCGGCGCGAGGGCGGAGACTGATATATCCCTCAAACTTCAGAAGGATATGAAATAATCTTTTCGTCGCGTTAGGGGCCCCGCGATTCTACTCAGGCCCAGGGGCCCGCTCCTGTTAAGCTTGGTTTGGATATATTGCAGTAAATAAAACTGGTGAATTCCGTGTGGAAGGCTCGTATGACCCTGTGCTACATTTTCAAAGACACCAACGTCTAGTTGTCAGATGGTGTTGAGAAATACTTCTTGACTAACAATCAACTTGTGGCTGGATAAACCTGTGTAGTGACAATAGGTAGCTGCTGTGTTTTAATCGGCCCTTAGCAAAGCTTACAAATGGTATCCAATAAACATATTGGAGTTCAGCACCCTATTACAGTTACATAAGAACGATAAACTATTTCGACGATCATTTCCAAATCATGGGCTTAATATTTTGAGCTGAATTTTACAGTGTTACAGTGGACCAATGCTTCACACTTTAACATCGTTTTTGGCTCTGAATTCTCCTGTAGAACACCTGTCACAACCCATGCAATATTTGGGCAAGGATCTGGTGAATTGTCCAGAATATTTTTAGGAATGTAGATAGGTTTAAATAAGACTACCTGTACCTACCAAGTTATAGGGGGTAAATCTTCATATAAACTATAGCCACCATTTTCATTCCTGAATTTCATCAGTCTGGTAATTCCTGGAAAACGATTTCAGAAATGTGGGTATTTCTATATAGGTCTAAGACACTTAACAAGTTTGATATAATTTTATAAAGACAGAAAAACAAAACCATAGCCATAAAGTGATTAATAAGCTCACAATAAGCATAATAAGAAAGAAATCCTTGGATGCCTGTCGCACGTTGGAAGACGACTAGGGTGACCCACCATAAATAAATATCTCCATATATCTCCATATATCTCGACAATTACGCCACAATATTTATATATATGCCAAGCCTTAAATCAGTTTCACACAATTATAGTCACTAAATAAACGATCATGTTGTACTTAATAAGCTATGACCATTAATGATCTATAAATAATAGACTGAAAACTGGTTCCAAGTGTCGTCCATAACATCCAGACACTTTTGAGTAAAAGATAGGTTACGTGCCCTTGTTTTGAAATTAGTCTCGCTTAACCAGTCTATCGACCATTCTACGTCTGATTGACAGGTCGGGATAATCAAGACTACTTTTTTACGAAACATAACAGAAAGCTAGAACAAGAAATTGAATTTTGAAATAAGCACGTTAGGTAGCTCAACAATCGTTTTAAGAAACTTGTAAAAGTAAAATGAAACTACTGCTAGTATCATGTTCCTGTCTAACCCGAGTGATTCAGAGATATTATTTGTACTAAACCAAAAGATGCCGCTCTTAACGGTACAGTTAATGATAAAGCGATTTAAAAAATGAAACGAACGTAATTTCTAAATCTGCTGTAATAACCAAGAAGCTTAATTTCACTGCTATTCAAAATCGTCAACAATAATTTTTTTACGGCTGTAATAGTTGATAGATTTGTAGAGAATTGCACGTGCCATGGCTATTTATAGTATCATACTGTCAGAAAGTTGGTCTCGGCACGGCGAATGTGCACGCTTCAGTGGTAGTCTCGAACTATCAGCAGTGGACTTTATTTCTGTAGAGTACATAGGTCTAAGACCTTTAAGAAGTTTGCTATTTTTCAACAAAAAAAACAACAGAAAATTAAAACCATGGCCATAATGGGATAAGTAAGACCATAATAAGCAAAATAAGAAAGAAATCCCTGGATGCCGCCCGCATGTTTGGCAGACGACAAGTCCTCATTAGAACATGCAAAGATATTCATTAGTGTGCGCACAAACTTATCAACATATCAGTTGTACTATTTATGGTGGTAATTTTGGACCTGACATTAACGGGGTTTCACATTTATAACATTTTAACAACACGATATGGTTAGCTAAATAGGAGGTCTAAATTTATGTAATCGTTTATAACACAAAGTATAAATTTATGTCATCGTTTATAACAGAAAGCAAATTAGTTCAAATTGTTAAATAAATTTTAACATAAAAACTTACCTTGCATAATATAGTTTCTACCTTTTAAATACATTTCTTTATTTAATAGGGCAGATGAGTTGAGGTATTGGAGAGCGTGGACAACAGGAGCCATATTGCCGATAACTTCTTCAGCCACGTGAAACGATGAAACAAAAATGTTACCTTTGCCCGCCACAGTACCAGTTATAATATCCCCCATTAAATCACCTGCAAAAGTTATAACAGAATATAACGTAACAAATAGAAAAATAAACAAAATTATAACATAACATCAATTCACAAAATGAGCAATCTCTAGCATAAAAGAAAATACCACAGCACGCCTAGTACTATACTACCAGTTAGGAGTTTGGACAGTCTGTTATTTAAATACCATGGACATATTAAATATGATGGACAACTGCTTTGCTGTTGACCAGTTGCGCGAGGGTATACAATACATCATTACCAACACATAAGATAATAGACTCTGTCAACCCATGACTGTGATATTATATAAGATTACATGTATTATAGCTTATATCGGTTTCCAAAATTTCAATAGGTGCTAAAGAACAATGGTATATTTGCAACATGATATTTGATGTTAATTATAATCTATTTTCTTGATAAACACCCCGAATGTCTCTTTATACATTAAATTTAGAATTTATTCTGGCATACTGGGCTTTAAGATTGCAAATGATGCCTGAAAACGTATAATTTGGGTATAAATTTAACAATGATGTAATAAAAGTACAAAATGGAAATAATAAAAGTATAAATGGATAGTATATGATGTAATAAAAGTTCAAAATGGATAGTTATGATGTAATAAAAGTTTAAATGGATAGTTAGGATATAGTAAAGGTACAAAATGGATAGTTGTGATATAATAAAAGTATAAATGGATAGTTATGAGATATAAAGCTTACCACACGCCTGAATAGCACAATCTTCAGTTCCTGGTATTATTTCTACTGGCAGTGCTAAATCAACTTCTGTCTTTTGTGTATTTTCTCCTGCGTTAAGTGTATCTAGGTCAAAGCAATGGAATACAATAAATTCTTCAATGTTACTTTTGAATAAAATTATATTTTGTGGAAAATAGCCCAGATTATTGTAATTGCCATACGACGAGGAGTTAATCTACTTACAGGCTAGGATTCTAATGCGTAATGAGCAATAACAACATTCTGATACATAAATCATTCAAAATTGGTTGCAGGGATGTTATGCATACATTTTCGGTGCAGTGTAAAGTGTCTTTACGTAGCGTGTTTACTACTCCTGGGGGGTACTCCGCAGACACCACGCCTGGAAAATCTCCGTCATATGACGTAAAATGAGCTTTCTTCCTGTTGCATCAAGCTCCTAAACGGAATGTTTATTCCTTGCCGAAAAAGAGAGGTCTTCATTCGAGGGGGGTTGGATGGCTGAATGATTAGCGTGCTCGCGCTGTATCATACAGTCTGTCATTGAGTCGACTGGCGTGGTTTCGAATCCCTGGTTGTACGTGACAAGGAGTAGGGTCACCTGTCCAACCTCGTGGGTTTTCTCCGGGTCCTCCGGTTTCCTCCCACTGCTAAAGACCCCTACACGCAAGCAAATTATTGAAATAAAATTAAAACCATATGTTAGTCCCGCAATGACCAAGTTTGTGTCGAGTGGACGTTAAACCCCATTTCTCTCTCTCTCTCTCAGATCTTCACTCTCTCTCTCCTCTCTTTCTTTCTCTCTCAGGTCTTCATTCTACACATTAAACCGTTTGATGAACACATGGGAGCATCACAGAAATGCATACACATGGAATCCAAGCTTAACGACAGTTTAGAAAACAATTTTAACCATTGCTCTTCTTAGGTCTGTGTACTTAACTGTGTACTTGACTTATCTTGGGAAAAAGAATCTCAATGAATTGATTAAATCAACTGGAAGGTATTGATAATAGGATTACTCATTCTTTGGTCTCTGGAGGCGTCGACGCGGGAAGGTGGGGGGGATAGGTCATACAGTCTGTCACTGCATCAAGGTGGCATGCTTTGGACCCCGCACGTGTACGTGACAAAGAGTAGGATCACATGTCTAACCATATGGATTTTCTCTGGGTTTTCCAGTTTACTCTATCTTTACTCATTCCTTGGTCTCTAGGAGAGGAAAGGGTGGGGGGTAGATGATATAGTCTGTCACTGCATCAAGGTGGCATGCTTTGGACCCTGCACGTGTACGTGACAAAGAGTAGGATCACATGTCTAACCATATGGATTTTCTCTGGGTTTTCCAGTTTACTCTATCTTTACTCATTCCTTGGTCTCTAGGAGAGGAAGGGGTGGGGGGGTAGATCATACAGTCTGTCATTGCATCAAGGTGGCGTGGTTTGGACCCCGCACGCGTAGGTGACAAGAGTAGGATCACATGTCTAACCAAAAACCAAATGGACTCTCTCTCTCTCTCTTCTGGAAAATGATTGAACTTACGATTAATGGTGGGCGTATCACTAATATTTATTTCAGTAGATTTTGTTTGTCTACTTATTTTGTTTCCTTCCGGATCGAGAGCAAATGTTATTGTTTTCCTCAATCTTTTTCCTTCAGGCTGTAATAAACCAATTTCACATAGGTTCTCAAAGACTTTGCATCCGATTAAACGTTTAAAAACATAAATACAAAGATAGTCACGAAAAGCGTGGATATACGCACACACAGAAGCAGCTTATCCGGAATGAATATTTAAAAGTGATCTAATCTAATCTTTATTATCTTCATAAACTTTTCCGGACACATAATAACACAATATATATTTTTTCTGAAAATCAATAGGGTTCATCTTATCCGATTCCAATGCTTCCATTTGGAAAGTAACCCATTCAATATTACGACCACCCGAGGATCTATATATAACATTTAAACACTCACCACCACATAAAGCTGCTTTTCCACCACATCAACAAGTTTTTCTTTATTACGATTCGTAATGTCCCACACCCCAACACGGATAGTAAGATCTCCAGTTTTTAAGGGTATGATGAAGAAATTGGTTGACCAGGATTTTTCTGCTTTAAGAGTTGTTTTAATTGTGGACATTTGATTTGGCAAACACAAGCTAACGTCTCCAGTATAGTTCATCTTAATCTTAAAACATAAAAAGAAAGAGAGTTTAAAAATTAAAGGCCTGGCCTGTCCACACCAAGTCTAATCTCTCGTTGGTGACCATCTGTCGTGTAAAAACACCCCATCGAACACTACGGGGTTTTCTGTCACGGACAATTCGTTAACAAGTATTTAAGCGTTCGCCAATAAAATGAGTTGTTTATGCATAGCTAAATACCCGGGCATCCACCGACGGCTTAATCAAAAGTGTATATTTGGAACTATTTGGATATACATTAAGATAAAATGTCGGCCAGTAGCAGTTTAAACATATTTTATTGCAAATAACTGGGGAAAGGGATTAGGACAATTTATAGAAATTACGAACCTTCTTCCAGAGTAGCACACACATGGGACATTTTGTCAAATGCTATTTATTTACTGCAGACTAATGAAGGACGAATTCCGGTAAATAATCCGTGGTATCCACAATCCCTATAACCTCCACTCAGCCAGTGGCCAGGGTGGGGGCCCCCCATTAATCTGGTCTGTCCTCTGTTTGCCACCCCAATAATTTTAGAAAATAAAAAAAAGTATTTGTAATAAATCCCACATCCCCACTCAGTCATAAACTTGCATGTTGTAGAGCATTTCCGACAGTCTATTTTTCAAAATTTTCTTGGCGAGGTCCCCAATGGACTCGCTACTTTGGCGCTCACAAGGGGAATTCGTTGAGGTTCGCACGTCCGTTCGTTTGACATTTTGTTCTCTAGTCGGATAAACTAGTGATCAGGCGACGAACGGTATCTGGGCAGATCTATTTATCTCGACGATCGGTGCCCGACAGAATACTGTAAGACAGCATTTCCGGCAGTCTAGTATTTTTCAAAAATTTCTGGGGGAGGACTCCCTACTTTGACGCTCGTGGGTGGGCTTCGTCGTGATTGGCAAGTCCGTTCGTTTGACACTTTACCTCATCGATCAGTGCCTGAAATACTGCCAGGCTGCATTTCCGGCGACCTGTTTTTCAAAATTTTCTGGGGGAGGCCCCCTACCCCTAGTTGAAGCTCGTGCCTTTGCCCCCTTAACCTTGGACTTTGCCCCAGCTTTGTCCCTCCAATCTATGGAAGGATAACGTTGCCAATATTATTTCATTGTTCACGGTGCAAACTGCAAATGTCAGTAGTTCACAATACGTATTTTAGTTTTACAATTTACAATTTCCATTGCTCAACAATACCAATGTCACGGTGTTAAAATACAGAATACACTTTTCAATAATACAAAATACAGTATAATAGTTATTTTGCACATTACACTTCTGCATTCTGCATTTTGCATAATAGACACATGCATAATAGAACCTTGCATAGTAGAACATATACCTTATATGGGATGTACGACGTACGTCATTTGCATACGGAAAAAAATCCGGACTATGGCGGAAATTAATGATTTACGCGATAAAGCCAGAAGGCCGAGGTCATTAGAAGGGGATAGTACTCGATTTTGTTAGTCTTCAACGTCCAGGCTCTATAATGTAATCAGTTCGACGATTAGAGGATTCTGAAAGATAATAGTCTGATTTAACGAGACTATTCTTATTTGTTCTCATCGGTAAAAAAACAGATATTTCAAGAGAATCAATTTCTTGTTAAAAATTAAATTGAATATCTTATTTAATTGACAGGTCTCTAAAACCCTTTTTTTGGGTAAGGTTAAAGAATCTTATATATACTATTCAAAAAAAGTAGGGGATATTTGATTTTGGGGGCATAATACTAAAATATGCAAATGACTACGAAAAAAGTCACTATAGAACCTAACAGAAGAAACATTTCCAGTTACATGTGACGCCCAAACGCACCAATAGCTACCGCATGGAATGCAGGTGATGCTTGGGATCATCATGGGGGTCCAACCCAAGATTTGCACGACTCTGACTTTGAATGTTACAGTCATTGTGGCATTGAATTCCAGGATGGAAACATCAGTTTAATTGTTTTAGTGACCAAAAAACAAATTTTGATATGCGTCGGCTTACCCAAAATGAAAGGTTACGTGCCCTTGGCATGCTACAGATCGGCACAACACAGGCGGTTGTGGCGCGGACGATGAATGTTTCTCAGTCTGTCATAAGCAGGCTATGGTCCAGATACCGTGATACACAATCTGTACAGGACAGACCACGCTCAGGTCGACCAAGGGCGACAACTCAAGCCCAGGATAGATTTATCCGTACCTTGGCCTTGAGAAATCGTGTCATCACAGCAAATCAGATCAGCGCTCGTCTTCAAACAGACACTGGTGTGAGAGTGAGTGGCCAGACGATTCGGAATCGACTGCATAGGGGTCACCTTCGCGCCCGACGTCCTCGCGTGATCCCTTGTTTGAGAGATCATCACATTCAGGCAAGACGTCGTTGGTGTAGGGATCGTCAACACTGGGATAATCGACGCTGGAGCAATGTGATGTTTTCAGATGAGTCAAGGTTCACTGTTGATTTTTTGGACAGACGTAGGAGGGTGTGGCGTCGTCGAAACGAGCGCTTCCAAGACGTTAACGTCATCAGACATGATCGATTTGGGGGTGGTTCTGTTATGGTGTGGGGAGGCATCACTGTTGCTGGAAGAACGGCTTTACATGTTGTTGCAGGGCGTGTTACAGGCCAGTACTACCGGGACAACATCTTGGCAGTCCATGTTGTGCCGTTCGCACGACGTCATGGCCGCCGTTTCATCTTCCAGGATGACAACGCAAGATGTCACAGGGCCAGGATCGTTACAGGTTACCTCCAACAATAGAACATCACCACATTACCTTGGCCAGCACTGAGTCCCGACCTCTCCCCCATCGAGCATGTCTGGGACATGCTTGGACAGAGGTTACGTCAACGTCAACAACGTCCTGCCAACGTCCAAGAACTTGCTGCTGCGTTGCAACAGAAATGGGACAATCTGGACCAAAATGACCTTAGACGTCTCATTAGGAGTATGCCACGTTGGATCAATGCTTGTTTGGCAAACAGAGGAGGATTTACCCGTTACTGACTTGGTTGTGATGCTGTGGTAACTTTGCTGTTTGACCCCGGGTATCATTTTACCCTTATAATGGTCAGTCTGTGTCTTACTTAGTCTAACGATCATTTGGAATAAATCGATGAATGTGAACTTCATTTCATTTTGTCATTTGTTTCTTCGTCAGTTTCATTAGGTGACTTTAATAACACTTAAAAATCAAATATCCCCTACTTTTTTTGAATAGTATATAGTAACCGAGCGGAATCTCTCACCCGTATTCCCACACTGATCCGCAGTGAATATTCGCTTGGCCGCTACAATCACTGATAAGGATGACATCGATGCGACTTAATGACTACAAAATATTAACTTTTTTCTTTCGACAAATTAAATTCTGAAACATTTTTTTTTAGTATTAGAAAAATAAATAAAGGTGTTTGAAGTATATCTTGATAAAAAATATTCCATATTTAGCGTAAATAGGTACAGAAAATAGTACGCGGAGGCGTAAAATGGGTAAAACGATATAATTTTGCCCGTACCAGTTCATATTACTACGTTCAATGTAAACAACGCACGTGTGACCATCAATTTGACGTTTTTTTCTGTTTGTCTACTCTGAATTCTTTCAGAAGTACATTTTTACCGTCTAATCTGATTGACCTGCTCGTAATTGTTTTAAAACAACAAAAAAAAGCCACAGAAGTAATCTTTTTTGGCGTTATCGATGCCATCTTGCTTTGTTGGTAAACATTGTGATGTGACGTCACCCTTAGAACTACAGCGGTCTGACCTTTTAAAGGTCAGTCATCTTGGACAGAGATAAAAGACGGATGTCGCATTAGGTCTGTAAAACAGATGGCCGTATTCCAGCACTCGGATTCGAAATGAAGTTAGCACACAGATTCCTAGCGCCAATAAAAAAAAAACCTAGATGTAATTATCAGGAAAATAATTGTTACCTTTATATTAGAAAATAACATTTTAAGACATATTAATGCAAAGTATATAATAATGTGTAATGTGTAATAGACCCCTCCCCCAAAGAAATTTGCTGAAATAAAGATCTTGGAGCCACCAAAGCTAGTTTAGAAGCTATTGTGTGCGGAGTGAGCCTACCCTAACTCGATTCCCCACATATTTAGTACGTTTACGGTAATATAATTCCAAAAGCCAGCTTAGAAGGCTTCTGGATTTTTGTATTCTCGTAATTTATACATCCCTTGACTCTGTGAAATACAATACATGTTGCCACCAAAGCTGGTTCGGGTGCTTTTTGATGAAACGTGGGCGTATCCCTTTAGGTGGGTAGAGATAACAATATGTGTCGGGGGACCTAGAACAAACTGCAACAGAAATCATTTCTTTGGGAACCGTTCAGGTATGGCCTCTAGTACTCCCATAACAAAAGCGGCCGTTATCGGTCTTGGGGAAATTTGAATAATTAACATAATTGCAAGATGGCCGCCAGTGGACCATAAAATCGACGAAATCTCTGAAACCGTGTACTTTAGTGCAAATAAATGTATTACCGACCTATAGGAAATCGATACTCGCGAGTTAAAAAATGCTGCCATTTTATCCCTACGACCTTACCGTAACCAAAGCCATATATAGGGAAAGTTAAGACAACTCATTTCCAGGCGCCATTTTGGGTCCCAACTATGACGCCACAAAAACCATGACGTACCATGGCGTCTTACAGCTTTATATACTTCTTGCAGTATTATTATGTTGGGTGGGATAGCGTTTTACCTTAAACAAATTGAAAAAGAAACCAATGCAGCATTTCAATGATAAATATGTCAGACAAAATGACGTAATCAACATAATTGAATATGGCGGTCTTCAGGAATTTTCGAAGAGCCATATCTCGTAATAAGTGTGTTTTATTAGTGGGAGGATAAATAATTTATTTTTAAATTCCTCAAACACAGAGGGATTATGCGAGCGAAATGTGCCGAAAAATTCAATTTGACAAACATCAATTAAAAAAATGCATTTGGCGCCGGGCATTTCTTT